TTGCTTGAATCTTTCTTTTTGCAATGCGTGAGAAACTATAACGCTAGTGATTCATCCATAAAAGAAGGATTGACTCATGTTTTTCAATATAACTACCGTTCGTATCTAAGGATGCAAGTAATTATTTCTATCACATAGAATTACCTCAGTGACTTAAAATTAAAACGAATTGTGTCAAAGAAATGTGGACCAGCAGAGAAGTGGGACCTCAACAAATATTCTTATCTTATCTTTGCATAAGTGCATGCAAAGCTTTTACTTACTTATGGTTTCAATTAATACATATTTTCTTTATCGTATGATTTGAGTCATATAAGATTGACTTTTTTTAAAATTGGAAAAGCAAGGCTCACCCAACATGAGTGAAATGCCATTGACAAAACACGAAAAAAATACAATGAGGTTTCATTGCATTACACTCTATATGACTGACTGAAAATTGAAATATGCATGTTTAATTGCTTTAAATAATGAGGTCACAAAATATATCCTGAAAGATAAAGCTCGTTTAAATTACTGTCAAACTCCTACAATAAATCATTTGCAATTCCCGCACACAACAAACAGACGTTCGTCTTACATCTGCGTCCGTCGTCCGCGCCCGCTTTTTATCTACACCCGTGTAATTGTTTACAATCTCAAAATTAATATTGGATTAATGTGTTGTAAGACAAAGAAAACCTTTTTGTAAGGCCCGGTTCAAACGTCGCATTTTACATGCGCCGAATCAAATCTGAGTTTTAGTCGACTAAAATAGTTTTATGCGGTAGTTTGATTCAGACGTCGAATTTAATAGTCGCATTTATTATAGTTATGCTTCCACTTTTTCATGTTTATTCATTTTCTTGTACTAATTTCCTAAAATGGCGGACAGGAAAATGTTGAGTTTGTGCATTTCAAATATGATTCGTGTTAATAGGAGAAGGCGAATATTGATGCATGTTGCAGCAAATAAAGTATTAGAAAGGAGACGGCGGCTTCTGCAAATTTTCCATATTTTGCTACTGTTAATTGGTCAAAAAATATGCCTTCATACGTAGCCCTCTTTATCGATCTTGTCGAAGACATGATAGAAATTCCGGCTGGTGGAAGAAAGTTTGGAGTGTTTATTCTGATTTTCGTTTCAAAAAACATTTCGTGTATCTCGAGGAACCTTTCTTTTTATTTTAAGTCGTATTCGACCTATACTTCAAAAGCAAACTGTCACAGAGGAACCCATTTCTCCGGAGGAGAGACTTGGTATATGCCTTTACAGATTGGGACGAGGAGATTACTTTTACACCATCGCTGAGATGTCAGGAAGAGGAGTATCAACGGTGAGCACCATTGTGCAGCAGGTATGTCAACTTCTCGTTGAATACTTATGGCATGAAACAGTTTCAAAAAACATGCCGAAATGTCAGACTGATTTCGAGAAAAAAATCGTGGACATGGAAGAATTATGGCAATTTCCCTGTAGCTGGGCTGCTTTGGATGGTTGTCATATTCCTATGAAATGCCCCCCCCCGGTGGTCTTCAAGCGTGCAAAGAATATCATAACTACAAGAATTTTTATTCCATTGTTTTAATGGCCTTGGTTGATTCTAACTACCAATTTGTGTGGGGTAGCTGCGGTTTTCCTGGGAATTCCCATGATGCTATCATCTTCCAGTCTACAAACTTGTGGAATTCAATTCAAGAAGGCATGATACCAAGCATGCACAAACATGTTGACAAAGTTGAAATACCACCATTAATATTGGCTGACTCAGCCTTTCCACTTCGTAACTGGTTAATGAAACCGTACTCAAATGCTGTACTTAGTCCCATACAAAAATACTTCAACTACAGACTAAGTAGAGCAATGGTAACTGAATGTGCTTTTGGGCAACTGAAAGGGCGATGGCGAGTGCTCTTAAGGAAAATGAAGGCAACATGGACCATGTTCGCATTTCGGTTCTTGCATGCATGGTTCTTCACAATATTTGTATCATGCGAGGAGATACAATTTCTAAAAGCTGGACCTGACATTTAACCCTGACAACAACGAGAGAAGAGACAGAGAAGAAGTACGAAAACTGTTGCAAATGAGAAAATGTCAAAAAACCCCAGATGTTTCAAAAGAAGCGAAAAAAATTAGAAATGCACTATCTGGTAAATTGTGGACAGAAAAGGAAACTGGGAAAGTTTGTTGACTTAATACTGAAGCAGTATGTTTCATGAGTGGAAAACTTTCACAAATTGGTTAACTTTATTACCTTATTAAAGTGTTTTGTATGCTTGTATGTTATATATTATTTGATGTTAATGTTAGTTAATGAGATGACACAATTAGTGTCCTGTTGGATATTAATAAACACGAAGACAACTTGATGTGTAGTAGTGATTTGAGCTATTGTATCTTTTCACAACCTACATATTTTGTTTTACAAGCATTTTATGTATTATCCAAGACTAATGCATTTATGACAATAAAAGATACAATGCTTTTATAAACCTGTTTCACTATTAATAATTTTTAAATACCAATACCATACAAACTGCAATTGACAAACAAAAAACTAAAATATCTTTGACACTAGAATAGAAATGGCATTGATATAATGCAACATAACTGAATGAAAAACTCAACAAAATTAACTGTATAATAGTTCAAAGTATTTGGTGTTCCTTATGAAGCTCTTCAACTAAAATGCCATTGCCATATACAAAAAGTATACAACAAACTACAAATAATCTGAACTGATGAAAGTCTCAATGCTAATCAACTTTGTCTAAACCATTTTTTAAGCAATGAGTAATAGTTATATAATTATAATTTCTCATATATCTTTCTATCATAATAACCTTGAGCTGATGTACATGGTGTGAAACTTGATTGTGTGAAAGATGCAACTGGTTGCAGAGGAAATCCTTGTTGACTAAATGTGTTTGAATCATATGTGCCATGGTACTGGCTGTAGTTTGCAACCATTTGTCCATTGTCAAAACTGTGTATATTAGAGAGAGGATTTGATTTGCTTGACTGCTGTTGGCAATTATCACCACATGTGTTCAACAGCTGAATCAGTTTCAATTCATGTTCCGTGATTTGTCCATCTCTTCGCAAGAAGTTAAGCATTTCTTTTGATGAATCATTGCGTATGGTTTCTTTAATGAGTCCTACTACTTCCACCACAGCATCCTCAAGCTTCTGCTTTGTATTGCATCTTTTCGTTTTTTTAATAGGAACAAAAAGCCTACCATCATCTTTTTCTTCCAAAGATCTTAACGTTTCATCATCATCTAAAGCTTCAGAATTAGATGGACTTGGCGATGCTCAAAGTATCTGGCTCTATGGCCAGACCTGGATTACAAGAATCTCTGGTCTTTACTACAGGATACAATGCTTTAAACCAGTCCCCAAGACCACGACTCTCTTGAAAACGTTTGATTCCAGATGCATTTTTAATTGTAAGCGCAGCATGCTTACAGTCACTAACACATTTCTTGAATTTTATGCGTAACTGCTTTAAACTGAACTTAAACTCGCTACCTCTTTAAAGCTCTCTTTTCAGTTCTCTTAAAATTTCCCCATAAATCTCACTATTTCGTTGGCACTTTGTATTTGTGAATATAAGTTTTCTTTTGTAATAATCACTGTTCACAACGATGTCAATTAAATCATTTACATCATCAGGGTTCCAAGTAGACTTACGGCCAGATCTCTTTTCTCTTTTCATCAATTTCTTTCAAATCACTATCGTCATTTGACTGATCAAGTATATCATGTTCAAACTCATCATATTCCACACTAAAAAGAAACAAAGTTAAATTAAATTTAACATGATTTACTCATTCAATTTTTTGTAATTAATCAAAATTTCAAACTATCGACCATGCAAAGAACAGATAATAAATAAAATGCTCAATGATACTATAAAATACCATAGCATATTTACATACCATAAATGGATTTCATACTTCATAACTTACATACATACCTTTCAGTTGGACCCATAACTTCGCCTTCGGTGCTCTAGAGGACAGTCCAAACGAACGTATGCTCGCCCGAGAAGATGAACTCCTACCACTTTCTTGATCGTTTCCTCCCTAATCTTTCATGAAAACATGCATCGCAACGAGAAACCGCTCGTCCTGCTTTCCAACCAACACTCTCTTCGTCGTCTTCAAAAATAGAGCACCTTGCACATATAAATTTTTGCACTTTAAACAAGTGTATTTTGTTAAACTTTGAGAAATACAAGGGCCATTAGCATCACTCGCTGCCGCCATTTTTTATATGCGCATGGCATTTAGCATGGAAATAATTGATTTTTGCTTAGAAATATTTTAAAATAAATTATGCATTAAATTCGGCTCATGTAAAATGCGACGTTTGAATCAACGTCGAATTTTCGTCGCATATTCGACTAACTCAGTCGAATATGCGACTAAAGTCGCATTAAATTAAAATCCGTCGAATTTAATTGATTCAAACGTCGCATTTTACATGCACATAATTCTTGCATTTGATTCGGCGCATGTAAAATGCGACGTTTGAACCGGGCCTAAGTTTGCACTTCGCATGCGCTGCTAACCACTATGCTGTACTGAAAATGTTTCCGAGTGTCGTTTTCTCGGGAATAGTCACAAATACAAACGATGATGAAAAAAACCATTTTGTTCTTTTGTCGCCAGTCGGCCTCTTTTGCTCCTCCGGTTCCTACACTGCTGCCAACGTCTATTATAAAGTACAATTTAAGATGCAATTCCAACCTTATAATGACGTTTTTCTATTATAAGTAAAGTCTAATGAAGCAATTCACTGATCATTATCACTGTCCGTAAAACAATAAAAGGTTTTACTGACTACAAACGAATTGAATTGTGACGGAGCAATATTTTCTTGTATCCGTGGCAGTCGGGTGAGGCTCTGTAAGTAAATATGTCGGCTCTTGTGGAATAGTTTGAGTAAGCTGGTGGATGTTGGTTATGGCGGATATTGCCAGATTATCAAAGATCATCAATACAACAGCGTGTTTTACCCTTCTCAAACCATAACTACAAGATACTTAATTTATTGTGATTTTTGTGAATTTACATTTAAAAGAGAAAGACTGTGAAAGACATTACACAAAAAAGAGACCCTAGCTAAATTTTATGTTAAAATAAAAATATAAAATATTAATGTTATATAAATATACATAATGTTCCTTAGATTGAACTTAGCCGTGAGAACTTAGAGTTTCATATATTCCTCTTCCAAATTTCCTATTCGTGATTGGTTTCAATGAATTCAAATATGTTATATACGTCATAAGCTATATTTATGTTAAGCTATTTTCTTCAACAAGTGACTGTATCAAGGACGATGATATGTTGAGTCCCACTGAATCGAAGTAATGATAAAAACTAGAAAGCAGAATAAAACAAGCAGTAAGCCAGGCATGTCTAGAGTTGATGGTAGACAGTACTAGTGGCGGATCCAGTGTACGTCAAAATAAACTATACCTCTTCAATTTCAAATTCAAATTACAATCAGAAAAACAGTATTGGTTTTTAGTTTCTAAAGAACATAATTTTACCAATGGATTTGCCTCTGAATGGTTTAGAAATTTAAATATAGGCCAAAATGTGCTGCAGTAATTTATTTTGACGTACCCTGGACAGTACGAACAATTTGAAAAGTGACTTGCTTCGTGTAGTATCTCAACGCAAAATACACCTCATTCATACACTTATCAAAATCCTCCAGGAAGCTTTAAATGCCCCCTCCCTGCCATAAACCAGTACGCGTGGAAACCAAACTCGTCATCCAGATATGTATGCTGTTATAACATGCAAACACTCTGACTGACTCCATCCAAATTCCACACCGAAAAAAAATATGTATGAAATAAAAAACAATTTCCGTGTTTCCATAAAACAGGGAGTGAGTTATTCATGACGAAATACCCTAAAAAGTTATTTTGAATATAATGAATAATGATGTTAAAAATAACTGGAATGTTACATGCACTGGGAAATCTGGGTTCTTACATGTACTAAAACTAATGAAAACCTTACCGTCTTTTTGTTCTAGCCTCTCTCCGGCGACACTCCTGAACGCACATGCACTGGAATGTTGGTATATAATCCATGACAGTGTTTCGCCAATGGAGAAAGCTGTGTTCAGAAAGATAGGTAGACACATCGCATGCTATTTGATGTTGTTTCTTGCTTTTCCTGCAAGGAAGAATGAAATAAAAAAAAGAAGAATTTACACTCGCCACGAAGGAAAAATTACAAAAACAATATCATTACTAGCTAGTTTTCATTTCGAATATTGGCAGTGAAAGGGTAACAAAGGTTATTTCTTTATTCAACTATTTAGACAACATTTTATTTGTGAATATTTCGTTAATTCTACTTTAATATTGATTAGTTGTTAACCAAGATCTTCGCGATCGTCATCATGGTGAGTTGCTTCACCCCCAAAAAAAGTTCTGCAATATATTCGAAAAGTAAAATACGAAAAGTTTTTTTATTTTTATTTTCATTTTTTTAACAAAGGTTTGTAAAGATGATAAATGGGTTGGGTAACAAATTGTTCTGGCTTTGTACATTTAATTTTTATATTGTGTTGGTTAAAATGAAATCATGCGATGGTTGTGTACGAAAAGGGAAAACCTCGGTTAAGAGCGAAGGTAGCTCTTCATTTTCAGTTCGTTTCTCTTCGATACCAATCTCGGTACAAACAAAGACTACTCCCTAAATCTAGAACGTGTTTCTATGAATTTGGTACGTGACAGCCTATGTCTTCAATACCAACGGACAAATCATGAATTCAGAATTTCAAGAAGCCAATTACCTCACAGACACAAAAAGTCCAAATATGAGAAGCTAATCTACGGACTTTATAACGCAAAGTCATTGACACCAGAAGAAACTTGGTGTAGAAGTAAAGTTAAACATGTGAAAAACGTTTTTCGAGCGACAATTTAAAGAAATATAAGATAAAACTTACTCCACACTCAATATCACTCGAATCTTAAGTTTACAAAATGATGTTTTTTGAAGTATATTTAATAATTAGACAGCTTTTCGATGACAGCAGCTAGGTTGATTGTTTTTATCAAATTAAAAAACTTAACAAGCTGAATTCATTATCAACAAGACGCCTATCAGGCGTTCACTCGGGCTACTAGTGAACATTGTATAGTTATATTTGAAAATTATAACGGTCGTCAAGTAACACAACAAAATTCACGGCAATGTAATCTTACGTGTGGCAATATACTATGTAATTAAATCGTGTTTCATTATACGTGTCAACAGACACTCGCGTGTGAAACAATACAACAAAGATTTTGATTGCTTCATGGATTTTGTGTCAGTCACGCGTGATTAATGCAATTTCGCGACGGGAAAGGAAAATCCGAATTTCAAACTCTGGCTTACTTTCGGCAGCCCGAGTAATAAACAAATGTTTCAAACTGGTCCGTGCTTGAGCATGCGCAAATGAATCATAACAAGCGTCTATGGACAACTATAGACATATAAATAGAGATCTTGCAATGTAAAGACGTATGATATGATTTTACCTTAATATACTTTCAGTGCAAGGTGAGACTTCTACATGGCGATCACCATTTGTAGACATTTCATAACATCTAATAGCAATGCCATTCGAGTTCTTTAAACAATTCATCTCAGTTTTGTCGGGACGTGACGACAATACTGATGTTGGCATGTCTACAGAATGCTTCAAGAATTTATCCTCAAAACGTTTTCGCCGTTCATTAATGTAGGAATGGTTATAGTTCAAACTAGCTACTTCCAACGCTCCACGCAAATTGTAAATGAAGTTCTTCGATTCCCACGTCTGTTTTCCAGGGGATGGAAATGAGTCTTCCAAACCAGGGGAAATTTTAGGGGATGGTAATTGAAAATCCCACAGGGACTTTCTGTCATCGTCACGCGTGGAGAGTTCAGCATTCATGAATGACATGTCTTCATAAAAGCGGGACAAAGTTTCTATTGATATCGCGTTCATTTTTTTCTGAAAATCTAGATCAACACCATTGACAAAAATCAAAGGAGATCACGACCATAACATCACATAGGAGCATATTACGATTCAAGTTTCAACATCAAATCATTTGTAATAAATACACTACACTAAATTATATGCGAAGTAAAGTTTTAACTTTAGATCAATTTTGGGGAAGACACTTTATCAGGACTCAAGTTTTCGTAAAGACAAAAGACTGGAGTATATAAGGACTCAGGGGTCAAACATCAGACACTTCTGATGAAGAACCTAGACTGGAGTATATTAAGGACTAAAGTTTCAACATCAAATCACTTCTAATAATGAAATAGATCGTGTTAGATCTCAAGAACAGCAACTCATTGTTAATAAAAACACTGGACTAAAAGATGTCAATATTGGACCTGCAAATGCACTTTATTCCACATGCAGACAAACCTGTTCTATTGGCGTCTTCCGCCAGTTCATTCTTTTTCCTCTCGTCGTTCACATTAGATGATTCATTACTAACATTTATAGGGAGCAAGTGTTTTATATTACAATGCACGATATCGAGGTTAAGACTTTGACAGTGGGAGGTGAGGAAACACTTTTCCCAAAAAGTTTTCTAAATGAAAAATATAAAGTAGATGTTTAAACTGAACATGCACAGAAAACCGTGAAAGGGTTTTTACGTATAACGCTGTGACCATGGTAGGTGGAAGTAAAGTCATCTGGTTTATTATAAAAAAAATGCCACAAATTAAGAGCAGCTTTTGTTTAGTGCCTTAATTTAATTTATATCTTCATAAAGATGTCAATCTTTGGATTGTGTTTTGTGTGGTAATTGAAACATGTCACCAAGAACATAGCGTTCGTGTAACCGAGTGGAACTTAGTACCTCGGAGAATAGGAAAACATGTGTAGAAGAGAACAAGTAGACTACAAAGATAGAAGTTTTATAAAATTATATTGTAAATGGTACGTATGCTCTATAAAATTTTAATAAAGCTCAGTTTTTCACTGAAATGTGTCTGTACTACGAGTAACACTAGAAAACAACCACTTAGCTACATCTAAAATGAGCCTCGTGGATGGTAGCTAATTGCAACAGGTTCGAACCATTGACATACTCCATGAAACAAACATAAAATAACAACAAAAAATACCTTGTTTACGGGTCGTAAACAGTCCAAAATGTTTTCGTAAGTAGTACTGATGTTCCCAAAACCCAACAAACTTTCCAAACAGTATTTGTGCATAGAAAACTGATTCACTTCCGATTTATTTCCCTCATTACTTCCTGTAGGAATAGTCGAGCTCTCCAATTCAATTGGGTGACTTGTACCGTCTTTTGACGACAGTTGTGTTTTCCCATCATTACATGGTGTGCTCAACCCATCGTTATTCATTTCCTCTTTCACATTTCCACTGTTTTTATGTAGATTACCAACAGCATTATTCGACGAAATTCCGCTTGAAAGTATGGAACCATCAACACTTCCGTCCATAATCCTGATCCCATGTTTATCAAGAGCTCCGCCAAAGGAATCTACCCAGAACTGTAAACAGAGCAACAAACGTCTGATGTCTGGGTAATAAAGTGACGAGAGAGCTTGGATATCATGAGGATTGACAAAAACATTTTTAGCCAAACAAACAGTCTGTAAATGGGCAGCAAAGAAAGCCAAAGAGGGAGATCTCAATTTTATATGTTCATATTCTCCATCAATCTCGACGGCGCTGGTATCTAGAAGAAAATAACAGCGTAAAACAGTGAAAACTAACTGGACACAGCAGCTATATAACGCAGATACATGACAAGTCAAACTGTCAACGAAATTTTTGAAAGTGTTCTCAACTAAATGCAGTTCATAATTGCTTTTGCTTGATTGATTGGCACATTTAGTCCACTCAGCTCTGTAAACCATATGCATTTTTGGGTATAATCTTTGTAAATTTCAGGAAACACGTGTATAGTGTCAAGAAACACTAAACCACTTGATAGCAATTTCCCATGAGTATTATGTCCGTTGTGGTTATGACTAGTTTTGGATTTTCTCTCATTTGGCGGCCATCTTGTATTTTAACATGGTCGTCGTTCCTCTTAAATGTAGTCAGGTCATCAAAAGAAAAAGGACACGTTTCGAAAAAAATTATATATTGGAACTACATAATTCATAGAAAAGCAAACCAATCAAAATAGATGTTTTATTTCTCTTTCGAATGTGATTGTTTACCTATTTAACAAGACAATAAAGCTGGATAGTAATCATATAGGTCACGCTCGTAAAAGTTGCATTAATGGGTAGGAAACAAAATAAGTGCTAACGTACCTGGTTACAGTAAACACACAAATTTTACATACAGAACACTACAGTATCTTTGATTGGAATTGGAATATACAGTTAATCACCAGTCTTTTGGTATTTTTACTATACATTCTTTAATCATAACCTTTTTAAATTTGTTCAGAGTAATATATTACAACCATAGCTAAAAATTCGGTGCCTTCAGTGAAGATGGCATCATGAAATGTCGAAACATGTCTATTTTCAAAAAGCTTGTCGTGTATATTAAATGCGCATTAGCAATAGTGCTCTTACGAAATTATGGAAAAATTAGCTATTTGTAGAGAAATTTGCGTTATTTGTAGAGAAATTTACCTTAACCTCTCCAAACTCCATACCTGGTCAAGATTGTAATTTGCAAAAAAGTACAATAAAAATTTAAATGAAGGTGATTGACATATTTAAGTATGTCAATAACCTTCATTTTAATTGACAGTACTTAATGTTATACACAATGATCAAGTGTATACTAGTTTTATAATGCTTTAGCAAGAATGGCGGGAAAAAATGATGGAAACATGAAAATAATAAAGCAAGCGATACAAACAAGCAATGGTATGATATAAAATCTTGAACCAGAAAACACATAAATGAGGGACGAACTATGAGTTACATATCAAATTCAGTGCTTAATTGACTTGATTTTCATGGATTTAATATTTTGGCCACATACGTACTAATCGTTAACGCATGAATGATGACGCACCTTTGACGGCAAATTTTCAATGAATATTGCAAATAACTACAAGGAAGTGGGGAAACAGAACAATCGATTTGACTGTAAAAAGTAACAATCTACAGGGTGTATGAAAAAAACTTTACAGTTGACAAAACGGCGCTAAATTGATCGGCGCTTGAAGTTTACATTCCAATAGTTCATCTGACAGTCAAATCGTCGTAATTGAGGTGAGACTTATGTTAACGAGAAGCAATTTTGAAACAGCTTGCCCCAAAAAAGATACAAAAAGGCAACAGAAGGCATAGGGAAAGTTACACCGAAATTAACTCGTAAAGTTCTTACTCATAAAACACACCTGAAGCAGTCATGATAATGGGTCTCTTTGAGCTTTTTCGAATAGTATTAACAGCCAACCAAAATCCTTTGTCTTCTTCAAACAAAACATCGACCTAAAACATGTGTTGAGATAAAATATCGCCCATCAAATTGTCACCTCAAAAAAGCCCACAAAAAAAGGAAAATTGACAAAAAATGTAATATGACGAATCGTCTTAAACAAAAGAATGTTTCTTACACTTCTTTTTCAATATCTAATCAAACGTCTACAGATACAGAAATGACAATAATTTCTCTTCATGCATCATAGATAAATTTATGAACATAAAGGTAGTCTGCTAATTGGGCAACATTATGCCAAGGACCATAAATGGAACGTCTTTTTTTGGGGGGGGAGCTGTTTATTCATACATTCAGTTGGGTCCGACTGACTTCTTTTGAAAACGATTTGGTTTTCTAAAGAAATTAGTCAGGAACAAATGACTATGTGAAAATACGACCCACCCACCCCCTATCCAAAGCAGTGTGATCACAGCACATCATCTGAGCTCAACCGATCAGATTTTTTACCAAATCTGATCGGTTGAGCTTAAACACTCTCCACCCCCTTGTTCTGAAGTTTGCAACTACTTAAAGCAGGTGGGAGAGTGCAAGCTCGTCAGACAAGATCTGGTAGAAAAACTGCATGAGTGGCAACACAGCGCTGAAGTTGACTATCGCCAAAGATGTTGAAACGTCAGTCAATATCAAAACCAATAGTTCTTCTTAGGATATCACTAACCTAGACAATCTACATCTACCAAATACTTATGTTAACTGGCATTCAGAATCTGTAGAATGGATTCAAAATTTTATAAAAGCGCGGAAATTTTGAGACTCGTTGACGGAAATTGACACATTTTCACAAGACTTTACGCTAAAGTTATAAAATTTTACCTCATCAAGAAGAATTAGAGACATCTGTCCTTGAAGTTGAGTTTCAGTGAAATAGTTTTCAGACTTCGTTTTCAATTTCTTTTTTTTATCTTTCTTGTTTTCCTCATGTGTCACGTGATCTTTCTTCGTCTCGACTTCACTATTTACAACATGAAGTATACCTGTTGTTTCGTCGTGTTTCGTGGAGACCTGGTGAGACTGAGTAGCTTCCAACAACTCGGATAAGATATACTTTCCACCGCGTTTCGTCGTCGCGTTCACTTCTATCACCTGGAGAAAAAACAGCAAAATATAACATTTATAGAATGAGTCTCACTGTAATGCTTTGCGGGTTTAGCCACACAAAGGCAGCTATTTTCGGGGTTCCCTATAATGGCGCCACATTAGGTTGGTTTGTAGCAATGATTTAGAAACCAATCTTCTAGATGTCTAGTTGAGGCAAGGACGCCATCTTGAAAGGTTCCCACAAGCAAAACTCAAAATGAAAAATAAGTTAAAACAAAGTTTCAAAAACTCATCCTATCATACAAGTTAAAAATCAAACATAGACTGTCAACTTTGCAACTTTATATCAACTCAGCAAAAGCAGATATTAATCGTAAATATCGTCAGTTTTGCCACCTTTCAAGATGGCGGCTTGCCTCCCTTATTTGTACAATTTCGGCAGAGTCATTTATCTAGTAGGTAGAGGTTCTAGGTCAATGGTTTGTAGCAGTTTGCGCTACAGCCTGTTTTTCATAATCCGGTTGTTGAACTGGTGATCCGTAATAGTTTAAATCGTCTTTATATTCCTAACACAACTCAAGTCTGGATCTTATTTCAATTCCGGCATTTAGTGCAATATTGTAGTTAATTAATTATGCAACTCTGTATTCTATAGCGGAAGTTCATTAACAGAAGTAAACACAAGCGCGCAAAGCATTATCGTGAGACTTAAACTTTATATAAATCGATTGCATGCAGTTTCTACCATGTCAAATTGAAGGCATCATTGTATGATTGTATTTTAGCATTATGATTGTAGGTAACATAAAAAAATGCAAAAATCATATTTCATGGAGAACTATAAAATAAATTAATTATTTTGAAGCAAAGTTTCTCGGTAGAAGTGATGGATCGAAATTCAGTTTATTATTCACTATATGTAAGCAATGTCGCTTTTGATTGGTCAACTACCAGCATATAATTCTCGATATCTGTATATATGACGTCATATCTACAAAAAATAGTTTTAAAAGCCGGTTTTGAAAAAAATAATCAAAAACAACGATGTTTGCCAAAGCTTCTAAAAACGATATGAAAGCTTTTAAACAAAACGATGCGGAAAACACTAAACGAGCGGCGAAACTGGTTCTGAACATATTTACAACATATTTAAAGCAGACGAACTTGAATAAACCGTGTGACAAAAACGAACTAGCGAAGGTTTAAAAAATGTTTTGTATTGATACGATTTAAATATATTTCAGTTAGTCAAAGCAAATAATAAAACAATTATTGAACTCGGCTTTCGTATGATATCAAGAATTATTCAGACCTCGGTCAATGTTATCCGCCTCAGCTTTGCTTAAGCCTGGTTCTCATATAGTCGTCCGAGTCGTTTCAGTCGTGCCAAATTTCACAGACGACCCGTGCAACTATGTGAGAACATTTCAGAGGCGACCGGGATGACCTCAAATGACTCACACGAACGAAGCGATCGGGTCGCTTGGATAGAACTTTGCACTTTCTGGACGACCGAAACGACCGTTGAGACATGCAAGCGACCTTTTTACGGCGCAAAACGATTTTAAGAAGCAAATAACTAGCCGGAAGACTTTGTTTTTGATAAACAGCAGCTGCCATTTTTAAATGTTTCGCGCAAAAATTAATTAAGCAGTCTCTCGGCAGCGCCAGTACGACTATACAATAGCCTGAGTCGTCCCAGTCGTTTTGAAAAACAACGAAACAGCTCGGAACGACTCGGATGACTCAAGCGGCTTAATGAGAAACAGGCTTTAGGGAGATAAAATTGACTTCGGTGTGAATAATTGTTGATATCATGCTTAACCTCCTTCAATAATTTTTTATTGCATGTCTCGTATATCATAACCCCCACAGGAAGTTGATTTTTATGTTCGTAATAGCTTATATACACAGTCGTACCATGAGCTATACCTAACAAGGTTCGATAGATTAAAAGTTTAAAAACTGCCGCTGCCCATTCATAAATTATCAATTTCTAATGTAGAATAGAGGTTCAGCTCACTGAATTAAAAATGACAGCTCCCCAAAACCACAGCCACGGATTCTACAACAACATACTGTTACAAATTATCGAAAGAACATCTGTAGTTACCTTAAATCCCAGTTCCTCGGCACAAGCGTAAACTGAGGAGGTCTTCCCACAACCAAAAGGACCAGACAATAACATACTGTTACAAATTTGCTTCGTGTCAAACGCATCGTTTTGATCGTTGCTAGAGTAAAAATCCGAATCACTGTCACTCCAGTCAATCGAAGATCTCGTCGTTTTAGACTTCTTTTTCGTAAGTCTAGATAAAGATGGTACTTATATTAACAGACATTGCACGGTAAATTGTGGTAAACAATTTGATATTTTGATTGTATTTTCATTACAATAGCGAGAGACTTGCCAGGCGGGAAACGGATTCGTGTTAAAAAGACAATTGCCCAACATAAAATTTGAAATAAAGCCATTTTCTAAAGAAATTATTTATTATTTGTAACGTTTCGCCTTGTGTAAAAGTTCTTATCACTTTTTATGTCATAGTTCGCGTGTGACCATCCTCAATCAACCGACACCAATAAAATTATCAGAAAATGTTTGAAGGTCTTTACATTGAACTGATAGATAACTAGAAGGTCACCTTTAAAGGTAAATGAATATACTTGCATGAAAGAACGCTCATTTGAAGTAAAGTATAGCCGTCATACTTAAGTAACAAACTTTCTTTTCGCCTTTTATCAAAAGATTGGAACTAATTGAATCTTTTGGTGACTTTATATATTTCAAGATATTTTCACAATATTTTGTGTTTATTGGTTCGTGGGCTCTATGACGACATGAAATATAAGCTTTCATATGGCGTTTTGCAAATGAACCCAAGTCAACAAACCTCTTTCCAACGCTCCAAGGAGAAAGACAAAAATAAAAGATGGCAGCAATTCTTGTATTTCAAATAAATAACCGTCTTTAAAGTTTAACCGTCTTTAAAGTTTTTTGTTTTAAATTGATACGAAATGTCGGCTATTAAGTCAGGTGAAAACCATAGTGAAAACGCTCTTCTTACAAAACAGACAATATATTTGATGATTTTCTCCCGTTGTGTAATGGAATTGTTAATACCTTTCCTTGTTCTTTTCCTCTTGTTTTTTCAGATAGTTCAATCTCTCTTCCCTCAAACATTTCCACTCGGTCAACCATTTCTTCAACCTAACACCAGCACCGCTATTTCCTATGATTTCTGACGAGTTCGTGGGCTTAAAAAGTTCACTCCACAGTGGAGAGAAGTTGTCTGACTCCATTTCATTGCCACAACACAACCCTTGGTTCAAGACTTCATTCTTACTCTGATTTGCATCGATTTCATTGGCTGGAAAATTACAGGTTCAATCTGCATTATAATTTCAGTTTTCGAGCTTTTGCAAATCAGTTATAACTTCTCAATCATCGACTGGCATAAAAGATCATAACAGAATTTTTTCTTTTGGTATTTGTAACTCCTTTTGTCGTCAAAAAAGTTGAAATTATTTCAAGTAATTGTGATGATAAATTCAGGAATACACAAGGGAGAAGGCCGTATGAAAAAAATATGGATACGAGGGTATCATACAATGATAAATATGGATTGAACAATAAGTCGAATGAATCGTTTATTCCTGCCTTACCATCTTCTTTATGCTGTTTCTTTTGCGGTTTATTCTTCACCTTCGATCTTGTTTCTTTTTCAAAAACATCTTTTTTTCGTTTTCTTCCTTTTGTGTTTTCTTCCACTTCCGCCGCAGTTTTGCCTGAAGTTAGTCGACTGCTGTTTCTTGTCCGTACTTGTGGTACTAAAGGACTGAAATATATAACACAATTTTTTGAGCATCTAGCTTTCTATCTGTAGATTGTTGAGATATGTCAAAGTAGTAATAAAATGAACGGTGAACTTCGTTTTCATTTGCCCAATGTTAAACACGTTTAAGTAAAAATGTTTAAGCGAAACATGGAAATTACACGTGTAAATTAAATAAAACGTGTTATAAAATGTGTGAATGTTTCGTGCAACTTATACATGTAAACAATACGTACAAAATATCATATAATCATGTTTGATGGTTAGAAACGATAGCTACTGGGCAACTTTTCATAGTACAAGTGCATTTATGCAATATTCGACATTATCTATGGAGTATTTTCCTTATTTATGCAGTAATTAACATAATTAATGTGGTATTTGACAACCATACACAAGAAGTATTTCACATTGTCTGTAGGGTCTTTTGTTATAGACATTGAAGTCAGTCAGAAAATAAAAAGTACAATTATTTAATTGCATTTGTTTCTTTTCCAGTGAATAAATACAAAAACATTTGCACTGCAGAAATTGCTTTTGAATACATGCACACGATGTGCCAAAAAAGGCAACTCAACTTTAACACGCTGTTACGTATAAATTACTGAGTAAACAAACGCAGTTTTAAAATATTATGAAATTTCAGAGTTCTAGCTATGGAATGTGATATATCTTATTTGATGACCTACAATTTTCCTTGTTTATTAATTGTTTTCTTTTAACAATACATACCAAGCTTACCGGCTCGTTTTATGAACGTTTTTTTTTCTTTTCTCACTTTTTCTGCTTTACACAGACAGCACAAGAGCTGAGTGTTATGTATTTAAAATAAAATCTTGATCTTATGCATTTATATCATTAAAAAAAGCTTTTCAAAACTCTTTTTGCGAGGTCTTGAATTTTTCTTAATGACACTGATCTGTATACATATTTGTATTGTGTGTGTTTCATGGCATGAAAAATTCTTCTACGCATAAAAAAGCATTTTTCTCTTTTGAAAATGGCTCAATTTTCACCAAACCTTGTAGGTTTGTGTATTTAACGTGGAACTGCAAAATTTTGGTGGTTTCAACGTTTGGCTATGAATAGAACTTTCAAAAACTCAGAAAAAGCAAAAAAAAATCGCCGGACATTTTCTGATTTTGGACTTTGCTTTCAAATTTTTCAGCAATACTATGATTTTTGGCCAATTTTTTCGACAATCTGTAAATTTGAGCCATATTCTTCAAATTTAATAGCATTTAGAAAAAGTAACGCAAAGTTAACTTTTAAAATTTTATAAATATAAAAATTGCATTTAGTTTACAAAAGGACTGGAGCGACCTGCATGGCTGCCATCATCTGGCTTCAATTCCCCCCCTGACTTATTGTTCCAGTTTTTATTACAGTTCAATGGTCTGCGTTCATCTCGTGTAAATACATTTTAAGGAATACTGAACAAATTAAAGTTTGTTTTGACATCTTTGTAATTGATTAGTATTTCTTTTGTCTAACCAGACACAGAAGTGAAAAAATGCAATTTCGACTAAACATTTTTGACGTTGTCGCATTTGCTCATTTTTCTTTTAGCTATATGCCACAAACAACATGACACTTAAAAGTTAAAACACTGATGTATATGATATTGAAAAACTGCGTACGTTTATTCAGTAAGTTATGCACACCGGCAACTTGAAGTTGAATAACCTTCTTCTGTGCGACACTCTGTATATCTCTGTTTTTTTTGCTCGACATAGCTATATCTACATGTTTACCCGCCTTTCTGTGCACGTATTTATACATAACTGGATGGGAAAATTCTAGGACAAAGTATTTAACTATTGTTGCTTTTTCTACATGAAAAATTTTGATCGCAAACCTCTGTCTGTTCAATTCTTCTTCGGAATGTTGTTTTTCAGATGTTTTTACAAAATTCATTATGGAGACATTCTGCTCTTGTTTTTTCATAACTTTGGCCTTCTTCTTATTGTCCAGTTTTTTAAATGCTCTCAGTAAAGGAGACTCTGCTCTGTTTGCTTTCATTCGCTTTGTTTTATTACTGGACTTTTTGGTCTCAATCGTCTTCAACTTTTTCCAGTGGGAGAGACAATATTCTTCAGAAGAAGCCGCTGAATCTCCTATAGATAAAGAAAAACTGACATGGGTCATATAAAGAACTTGGGATCCTGGTGCAGTCTCCGTTATCTGGATAATAGAAACTGGTTTCCAGTCCATTAAATCTAAGCAGCACATAAATCATAATTTCCGACTCTTATTTTTATATATATACATATATTCTTTCTCACATGTCAATGTTGGATTTTCACTAGTGAATGTTTGATTTTCACATGTCAATGTTGGATTTTCACTAGTGAATGTTGGATTTTCACTAGTGAATGTTGGATTTTCACATGTCAATGTTGGATTTTCACTAGTGACAATGTTGGATTTTCACTAGTGAATGTTGGATTTTCACATGTCAATGTTCGATTTTCACTAGTGAATGTTGGATTTTCACAAGTCAATGTTGGATTTTCACTAGTGAATGTTGGATTTTCACATGTAAATGTTGGATCACATGTGAATGTAGTACTCGCCGTAATGTAGGCTAAATAATCAAAATTGAACGCGAGTTCAGTTAACACTGGGCTGACAAACGTCAACTGTTTTGGCGTAAAATCTCACCTGCTGTGTTTGAATTCTTCCTTTCCATAGCTTTCAAAGATATGCGACGATCTCGAATGAAAACTTTCTTCTGAAATTCAAGCTGTTGATGACATCTTTTGAACAGTCTTATGATAGGAACGCCAATGTAAACTGATTTAAGGTGTAATAGTATTTTGTGTTTTTTCTCCTTCTCCATTGTCGTTGTATTGACGTCCTAGTTTAAAGAAACATATCAAAATGGGTGTAAAATAAAATGTTAGTGTTGTCGAAAGTTGCTTCTGATCTTAGAAGATACAATGACTTAAATATGAAAGGACTGGCTGACGTCATTCGTCAAATAATGCACGTTGCTGTTTAATGTTGTTTTCTATAACATCAGCCAGGAGCGAATCTTGGGTACATCAAAATAAATTACTGCAGCTTATTAGTAAAAATACATTTTCAAACACCTTCGAGAAAACTTCATAGGGTAAATTGTTACTCTTTAGAAATTCAAATCCAATAGTTTTGTTTCGGAATTATTCTGAATTTAAACAATTCATTTTGACTAACGCTGGATCCGCTAGTGAATCAGACTGAGGAGTAGCAAGCAGTTAATCATGAAAGTAATGGCTGTTGTCATTCGCCAACTTTGCACGTTGTTATTAAAAATTATATGTTGGGCTGTAATATTTATATTGAAAATCCGTTTCCCGCCTGGCACCTCACTGGCATGAACGATACCTTAAAATCATAGAATTTTCTCCTCAACGCAGAAGAAATACTTGTGTTCATAAGAAGATTTCGACACGTATGTCTTTGGTTGAAGTTTGAAATATGTGGACCTACAACATAAAAACATCACTGCATTAAAAAATTTATAAGAAAATTAATACTCTCTTACATAAGTGGCTAAAAACTATGGTTTCGATTGGAATTCGTAAAAAATACGTACGTATCGAGTTTTTCCAAAATTCGAAATTTCATGAGCGTCAAAGATGAGCGCTATTTTTAAAATTTTATTGGTTGAGAAACTCACGAGACCATATTTTTCACAAAGAGCACGAAAATGCCATGACGTATGATATTATTGTAATGATGTAATGTTGCCATTACGCATTATAAAATAACAACAATAAAGCAAGTGCGCTGATTGGTCTATAGCTGTGTTTGCATCATTGCTATGTATATTACATAGCTCGCGCATTTGCAATATCGTAAGTGCAAAAATATAAAGCCGAAAGTAGACAGCTATAATTAGATGCCAAGCCATATTTAACAATACCACTCATAACAATAATCTAAAGTAAAGAACTACGATAGCAATGAATTTTGGAGCGCATTGTACTTATACACCATAAAAAATCTTTCAACGTCAAGCTAGAAGCATTCTCCTGCTTTAGAATCTTTCAAATGGTGTCACGCAAATTTTGGAATAAATCCTTTCTTAATAGTACAACTGCTTCCTACACTTAATCTTGTTATAGCTAATAAGTAGCAGTTTTGTCAATGCGCCATAAGAGAGGTTTCTCGCAATGTTTCATAGCAGAAATTAATATACTTTGTATGTCAACCTCATAAAGTGGGACTGTTCAATATGACGGCCTCCCGACTTCAAATTCAATTAGTGATGCGTGATCCATGTAATATACATATCAATGTTTGCATTCGTCTGTGCAAACCGATCTAAATCTGAGTTCAACCAATGAAATCAATCAATCAACCAATACAATAAAATTAGCAAATCAATCATGAATACGTTTTAGAAGAAAAATCAAAACGATTGCTTTAGATTTGTCTGTTTTGCATTATTGCTATTTTATAAAAGAAATAAACGATGTTTAATATGTGTTTGCACCGTCTTATGCAAACCTTGGAGACGTTTGTGAGAACTCTTGACCTTCGGTCTCTGATCGAAGATTATATGAAAGATTATAAGTCTTTTATAATAAATAGTAAATAGTTGGTTTTTTCTGAAGCGTTTTCCGGTGCTCTTTAGCACGTTAGTTTTAACTCGTCTTTTTATTGTAAATAGCGGAAAAAACTACATAACCGGGAAAATCTACCGGACTCTTGATACTGTACATCGGAACTTAAGGAACATCGAAATCGTGTATCCGAATTCGGCACATCCATCAACCCTAATCCAATCAAAATTCTACTATATCACACATACTTGAAAGTGCAACAAAAAATTCTTCTCGCACAAATTGTTCCATTTCATCGATAACTTCAATTCCATATCACTGCTGTACTGAACAACATGACTAACTTTAGGAAATGGAGCTGGCTTTGCTTCGTCCATAGAATTCAATGGTTTAGTACATGCCGGTATAGGAAAGTAAATATCGCGATCAACAATCATATTTAGGAAGGGTGTTACGCTTTTTGTTTGTCTGCTCTCACGACTAAGTTGAGCAGACATTTCATCCTCTTCCTTGTTCATCATCTTTTCCAGGTTTTCCACTTCAAAAAGTTTAGTCTTGGCTCGACTCCAGGCTCCAGGAAGGAAAATTGGAGCGATCGGACCTGGTTCAAATAATATATAATATAAATAAGAGCTTTATAAAAATATGTAACATGGGTGTAACGGATAAACGACTGTTTTCATCAACGAAAATATGTAAAGTAGAATTGATAATTATGGAGTAAAATCAAAATAAATTGATACAAACACAACACAAACAGAAAGTTCTCAGCGAGATATATTGTTACAATTTCTACATGAAATTAAATACCCCAGATGATTAAACACAGCAATAAATAGACTCATGTAATGTAATTTGCTAACTGCAAGGTGAAGAATGAGGTAACACGAACTTAAAAAAAGCAGTTATTGTCTCTTGAGTTCAAAAATACTCGATTTCAAAATTAGCAAATAAAAAGTGCCATAATAAGTTTCAAGCACTATTCAGAAAACATTATTTGTTATTATTATATGGCAAGCGTAACTTCCGGAAAAATGACGCGCTTTGAATGGTTCAGAACATTTGGTCCATTATTTCCCGTAATGGACCACAGTCGACAACGCGTAATTTTACAGTCAAATGTAACAAACTACGTAAAGTAAACAGCAAAACGCAAAAAAAAACGAAACAAAAAAAAACAAACATTTACGAATGTGAGTCGAAGGAAAAACACTTGGAAAACAGTTTAACTATTCAGACGATACAATTTTCAACGATATATTTTTTACTGGCGAAAACGAAAGAAGTGAAAGTCAACCCGTACAAAACAGCAAGGACGAGAAAGAAAGAAAGCTTCGTTTCAGGTCAAATAATACTAAATAATAAGCCTTTCATGAACCTCGCTTGCTCGGTCTCTACTGAGAAATATCGGACTTCTGCCTTTTGGTAAAAACCTCGCTCTGTGGCTTCGGCCCGATTTTTCCGCGTAAAGACCTCAAGCTCGGTTAATACGGGCTTACTAACCGCTAACTTGTGAAGTAATTAAAACAATTTCCACATTGTCGTATCAAAAGAGAGTAATCGCACATGGCCTTATTGAGGATGGCTGGGATTTATTAATTCAGCACTTATAAAAATTTATCGAAGAGGGAACATTGTGTGGTGTCTTTATTAAAGTACATATCCAATTGAAACATAGAAAGATTAACATAGGAGTTTACACGGGAAATATTCCAATGAAAAAATGGAGGATTGAGCGTTTCACTTTAAAAATAGACTGCCCTAGCTGGTACAATATAATTTGCCTGACGTTGGATGCAATTCCACCAACTGTAATGACACAAGAAGTCGCGTTGCGGAGGAATATAAGCCATAATGTAGAATGTATCGAGGCCAGTTTGATATGAGAGCTTTAGTTTTACTCTAGTTTTACATGTCTATTCAACGAAATATCCTGTTTTTTTCAATTTTAGACAGGTAAGCCATGGCATTTGTTCTTTGGAAAAAAGGCTGTGAAAATCCAAGTTGATGTTACCATTCGACCCTCATAAGACTTCATTTTACCAAAAAAAATAATAAACCCTTATTAACCAAGCGCGAGGTCTTTACGAAGAAATATCGGACCGAGACTGGTTTTCGTCAGTCAAAAATAAGTCGTTTCAAATTGTATCGTCAGGATAGTTAAACTGTTTTCCGAGTGTTTCTCCTTCGACTCACATTCGTAAATGGTTTTTTTTTCGTTTTTCTCTCGTTTTGCTGTTTGCTTTGCGAAGTTTGTTTTTGGACCGTAGTCAATTGCGGAAAATAATGGACAGGCAAAAATGTTTCTGAGCTAATTCAAGCGCGCCATTTAGCCGGAAGTGACACTTGTCATATATGTTTGTAAATGTAGATCGTCCAGGTTGGTATAGTCCTGAAAAGGACTGTTTTTGTTGTTGTTGACTGACGTTTCGACAACCTTAGTGGTAGTCATCTTCAGAGTCATCTTCAGAGTCAAAATGAAGATGACTACCGCTAAGGTTGTCGAAACGTCAGTCAACAACAACAAAAACAGTCCTTCTCAGCACTATATCAACCTGGACAATCTACATTTACAAACATGTAACGGTACTCCCGGGTTCAAACCATTTACTTGTCATATAATAAGACAAATTAAAGCATATATACCTCTGTTTTCTTTCTTTTTCACAGGAGAAATTTCACGCTGTTTTCCTTCGCCATCGTCTTTCATTTCGTCTTCAGAGTCATCGGTACTTAAGATGCACTCTTTTCTAAACAATAGAACTCATTCTTGTATCTTATATCACGACAAGTACTGATTTATTTGTACTCCCGGATACCATATTCATAAACACATGTTGATAATCTTAGTGGGGACAAGTAGCAAGGCTTCACGTGCCGTCCCTGATTTCGACTGATTGCTACAACACGCGCAACACTTCCAAACTTCCAGCCCGAGTTTGGATCGCCCTCGCGCGAAAAGATATGATGATGATGATGATAATCTTAGTGACGTTGTTATGACGTCACCCTTTACATAACACAACTCATCAATGAGCTTTCGAGAAATGGGAGAGAAGAAATAAGAGAAAACAGGAGGGGGGTTTGTTACAGTTTGGCAACTTCTTATATTCACCAAGCCAAAATACTACAGCACTTAGAATTAAAGTACATAGTACTAAAGTACTAAGTACACGGTCAGATTTTCCCGGGGGGTGGAAGAGGTGCGCACCCCAAAAAATTTCTATAGCACCCTCAAAAAAATCTACAGTGGTATTACATACTGTAGACTATTATTATAATGGTATTAGAGGTTAGGACATTGTACAATAAGACCGAGCAAAAAGTGGAACTTGATATTTTAAAAGCAATTGCATATTTTATATCATTGTGAAATGGAGACAAAAATGCAATGGCGAACACTATGGTGCCAAGGGATGAGGGCAACCGTCCACGTTCCAAAAATAAAATCAATCATCAAAAGTTTTTTCTAGAAAATTTTTATCAAAAATGTAACATCAGCGCACAATTACATTACATGGAACCATTTTACCAAGCAAAATCCCTAACCAGCCCCAAATATTTCGCAAACCGTATGAATATACGAATATAACGTGCCAATATGAAAAACACTTCTAAATGTTACCTTATACGTCTCGCTCTTCTTTGAGATCGACAATCATTGCCTTTGATGGATTCTTGGTGCTTGGTTTTACGATTTATTCTTTCACTATTTTGCTTACTTCTGTTTTTGACTCGTTCAATAACCTTTTTCTTTTGTTTTGCTTGCTTGATTTCATTGTTCCAAACATTAGAATCGTTCGGCAAACATTGAAAAGTTACGTCAGTGTTCTTGCTAGAGATACTAATTTCTCCCCCTTCGATATACTCATTCTTACTTTCCCTGTTTTTATTCTTTATTCTAGACGAACGTCGAGACTTACTCGATTTTAGTTGTTTCGAATCACCTCCATCCAAATTCTTTACTTTCTTCACAGAAAGAGATGATTTTTGAGTAGCAGACAATGCTTTTGAGTTTTGCATCAAAACATCGAACAACTTCTTTTCTACGACCGTATCCACAGATAAAAGTTTGTTCTCCACAGATTCCATACAGTCGGACTTTGTAGTTTTCTCACAAAATGAAATTTTAAAATCGTCTTCAACCCTCTTCACCAGGCACTCGCTAATGTTATTTTCACTTTCAAAGTCATCTAAAATTTGATTTACAGGTAAAGTTATCTTCAAGGAGTCCTCGCTTTCAAGAAATTGAGATTCTTTTTTGTGCTCGCATTTTTCCTCAGTAATACTTTTATTATGATTATTGGCAGTTTCATCAACATCGTGAACATCAGCAGTACTTTCATCAACACTTATGGTACTTTCATGACCATCAATAGTACTTTTGGGAACATAAGCAGTATTTTGGGAGCATTAGCGGTACTTTCATCAATACTTATCGTACATTCATGAAGATCAATGATATTTTTGGGAACATCAGCGTTACTTTCATCACCTTCATGAACAACAACAGTACTTTCATCAACACTAATGGTACTTTCATGAACATCAATGGTACTTTTGGGAACATCAGCAGTAACTTTATCAACACTTAAGGTACTTTCGTGAACATCAATGGTATTTTGGGAACATCAGCAGTACTTTCATCAACACTTTTGGTACTTTCGTGAGCGTCAATGGTACTTTTGGGAACATCAGCAGGACTTTCATCAATACTTATAGCACATTCATGAACATCAATGATACTTTTGAGAACATCAGCGGTACTTTCATCAACTTCATGAGCAACAACAGTACTTTCATCAACACAAATGGTACTTTCATGAACATCAGTGGTATTTTTGGGAATATCAGCGTTACTTTTGAGAACATCAGCGTTACTTTCATCAACTTTGTGAACAACAACAGTACTTTCATCAACACAAATGGTACTTTCATGAACATCAGCGGTATTTTTGAGAACATCAGCGGCACTTTCATCAACATTAACAGTACTTTTGAGAACATCAACTGTACTTTTATCAACTTCATCAACATCAACAGCACATTCATCAACACTAATGGGACTTTTATGAACATCAGTGGTACTTTCATCAACACTAATGGTGCTTTCATAAAAATCAATGGTACTCTTGGGAACATCAGCGGTATTTTGGTGAACATCAGCAAAGGCAGTACTTTCATAAACATTAGCAGCGTTACTTTCATTAACATCCACTGTATTCATAGGAAAATCATTGGTATTGTTGTGAATATCATCGGTACCTTCGTCAACATTTGAGGTATTTTCATCAACATCCACAATACTTTCGTGAGCATCAACGGCAGCGCTACTTTCATGAACATCAAAACTTTTATTTTCTAACGTAAGTCGTGGTGTTTCGGAAAAGTTTGCAGAACACAAATGCACATCTTTCTTGAACTTTGCAGAATAGTCGATGACCGGAGGCAAAACTAAGTCAAAGGAGCGATCATCCAGCATTTCCAGCGTATAATTCCACTTTCTACCTTTTAGCTCATTCAATTTGCTCTCTTCTGATACAGAATTCTTTCTCCTCTTTGAATCATTTTTTGTAAATTCGTTTTTCTTTTTCTTTTTTGACCCCTCCAAGCAAAACACCACTTAACCTTACCATCGCTACTTCGTTGATCGAGACAACTAGGCAATTCTTGGTTTACTGAATTAATTTCTTTGCCAGTTTTATTCGCCATATAATCTACATCCATGTTTTTATCATCACCCATTTTATCATTTCCTTCAAGGGAAGTTTCGTCACCCGTCCTTTCTAATGGGATGACGTCACATTCTACTTTCTCAACCTCATTTGAGCAAATCGAGGTGAAACCTTTATCTGATTGCAGGGTGCCTTTGTTCAGAATTCTTGTTTTGTCATCCTTTTTGGAAGAATCACATTTGCTCTGGTCATTGAGTGAATCTCTTTGAAAGTAATCCAACATTGTAGTCCTTGCCCTCTGTTTCTTATCACACATTTTTACCTGGAATAAAAAATATCTCAAGAAATAAAATCCATCAAGTCATGAAAAACGCAGTAGGCAGACCCAAAGCCTGCTTAAAAAGGGGGCAGGGTCATTTTTCTTCTCCAATTACGTACTCTCTGACATGAATAAGTTAATAAAATCTATTTAATCATAGTTATTTTGACTTTAAAGACACCTTGCACACATACATGCAGTGGCCAATGACTAAAATCATGACATTACGTGGTCTTGAGCACAATTATCGGGAATATATAGTAAGTTCACTTTGTGTGCAACTGACTGCTATATAATTAATTAGATTACTGGCTTTCTTTAGCCATTACATATTCATTTTGGTTAAAACAAGAAATTTACTTGCTGCCACTATGGTAATCATATGCGTAATAAGTTATGGGCAGCACTAAAAATTCAATGGAGTGGCTCTACTATATATTCACTACACTGTGGTCTTGGGATAAAACTTTTCCCAAGCCCCCCAAGTTTATCCCAGAAGCTCTTTTAGTAGATACCATGTTTAATGGTGGGATTCTTTAAAGTGCAACAGCAACCCTCAACAGATGGACAAGGAGGCACATTCACACATGCATATGTTTTCGTATTTTTACTTCCATTGAGACTGTTTATTGGTATATGTAATAGATAAAATTACAATTTAATAGGCACCTCAATTATTTCATCACATTGATAAAATTTGTAATAACAACTTCTGGTGTGAAAATAATTCTCAAAAGTAGTTTACCCGGTTGTCATTAAGACTATTTACACAGATTCTCCCAGAAATTTGAGTTCTAAAAAGGAACTCATCAGGAAGGTTTTGATGTTGACTGGGGTTTAGACGACCTTAGCAGTGGTCATCTTCAGTGTTTAGTGAGGAGTAAATCTCAGGTTCACCATATTTGTTTTTTGGTTCATTACGTCATCATAACAGAAGAAATGTGTGAGTGCAGACTGGGTATTATTGACATTGATTACTCCAAAGTGATATATGAATCAGACAAAAAATATCATGAGCCTAACATTTACTCCTCACTTGACTCTGAATACGACTACCATTAAGGTTGCCAAAACCTCAGTCAAAATCAACAACAATAATTCTTCTCTAGATTCTACAAATTGGGATGATCTATGTCTACAAACATGTGAAAATACTACTGAGTTCAAACCATTGATTCACTCTACCATTTACATACGTAGGTAAACAACAGCTAAAATTCAAAGTGAAGTCGTTTCAATTTAATCATGTAAAGATCTGGAAAAAAATTCCAAAGTCAAAATCTTTCCTACAGGTCAAAACACCTTGAAGGAAACATCCTTGATTAATGTGAAATAATACCATTTCCAACTGACAATTTAAAACAGTAAATTAAGAAGAAACAAAGCACCTTGAGAAACAGAGTTTGAAAATGCATAGTTTTTTTTGCATCTTGTACTGATACATATTTTGCTATCTCAAGATGACTTTTTTTGGAGTTTGTTTTTTGCTTTACTTTTTTACTGTGAAATTCCCACCATATTCTCAATTCTTTCAGGTATTTTCCATATGATATCAAAAGAAATATGTTGGTATGTTACACCAAACTTCTCACATTTAATATAGCATATATTCTACTCACTAAGTAAAATTTTCTGTGAACAAGGCATTTTGTGATGATGAAAAACCTCCACGGAGGAAAGTTTGCATAATATGACACATTTCAACATAATCAACAGCTGGAAATATCTAGTGCTCAGCAAAAACAGAACAGCAGCCATGAATTTTTTCACAAAATAATTTGCAAGATATAATTCTTAAACAGCAAGAAATTTATCAAAAATATGAAGTACATTTAGAATACCAGTTTAGTATCAAATTCAAAACATAAGTAAGATACCTATTAAGAGTTAGACTAGCATAGCCAGCTGGCAAATTTGGCAGTGCTATGTAAATATTCTGGCATCCTCTCACACTGGAAACAACATGTTTCTCATATATAAAGATAAAGACCAGAAATTTACATAGGTCGACCAAACTTGCTGCGCAGCTACGCTTCTTTAACACTGAACGAGACACTGAACATTACAAAATTAAAATTTTCAGTCTGTAAATTAAACGATGTAACTTAGAAAGTTACAAGCAACCTCGAAATGTGATGTAGAAACGCTTTTTTAATAATGTGTTGAAAAAGCACGCGTCAAATCATCAGGTGACCATAAAATACATAGCCCTGAAATAGTTTTTTGTGCAACGTTCGGCAAACTGGCTGTCGTAGAAATATAAAACTGTCAAATTAAGATATGTAGTACAGACTTACCAAGTTAAATGTAGTTCATGTACAAAATTTGATGGAATTCTTCTCTCGATAAGATGCACATAACTGACTAAAAAAGTAAGCAGTCATTTTTGACACAATAAGTATTTCACAGGTAGCCATTCCACTCTATTTAAAATTCAATCTTTGAAAACAGTAAGGCTTCAACAATCTAATCATAGATCCAAGTAATCATTGAGAAATATGTTTGACATTTATTGGAGAATCAAACACTTTACAAGTTTAATGGTGAATTTGCCGCCATGGTGTTAAGGAGAGCCCGCGTAGACTGTGCACGTATAGTTAATTTTCCTACACTTTGTGTTAGAGATTTTTTTAAAGTCAAATATGTGAATATGATCATGACCGACATTGTAATTTCGTTCCTTGACTTCCTGTGGTATGATATAACAATCAATTGATTTCCCCGGAGTCTATTAAAATGATTTATATATCCAAAATTGCAAAGTTCCGGTTGATGAATGATCCAGATTAAAGTTAATTTCAGCTTCGAAATTCTGTCCAAACTCCAGTGTTTATTCAGGAAGAAATGAAAAAAACTTCAACATCGATATGAGAAAATCTGCCAAGGTCATCAATACAAATCGCTTCCACAATATGGTTATGAAACAACTGCATGTGTTTTATTTGGTAAAAGAGATCACACGAAAACAAAACAAACATAATGACGTCACAATCTATCAGTTTACAAATTCAAAGGATCCGCCGGAAGAAGGATTGCGAGCTAATTGTCAATGTCTTTGTTCTCTATATTTTAACGCTGAACATGTTGTCATTAGGTGTCTTGTCATGATGTCGCTTATATGCATTTATGTATAGTGAATACGACCTATCTTTAATCGATTTTATGATGGGTAAGTGTCTCTCAATGTGCTCGTCGAAAAGTAGCATAAATACAACAAAATCGATAAGCCAGTCAGTCGAAAGTGCTCAAACTGTTGACGTAAACGAAGCGACCGAAAAGAAAACAAAATCGTATCCACCGTCGTTAAAGGATGTCGATATTCCCCGTACTTACGCTTTGAAGGATGATTACGACGAAAGCAAAATACAGACATTGTTTGAAAGATATAAAGACGAAAGTGAAGATTCCATCCTTGTCAGTGGTATGGAACGTCTTTGTCAAGATTTAGGAGTAAACCCAACTGAATTCAGCGTACTTGCTCTTGCTTGGAAGTTTAAAGCATCGAAAATGTGCCGATTTACGCGCAAGGAGTTCGTCGAAGGTTGTAGGTTGTTAAAAGTTGATAATTTGAACGCGATGAAATACAGTATGGCAGACATGGAGAAAGAGGTTCGACAGAGAAGGGAGGATTTTCGCGAACTTTATAGATTCACGTTTGGTTTTGGCTTAGATGTCGAGGACGGACAAAGAAACCTGCCGACAAATATGGCCATACCTTTGTGGAGGCTTGTTTTTGGTGACGATGCACCAACATATATGGATAAATGGTGTCAGTATTTGGAGGACAATGGGGTGAAAGTGATACCTCGAGATACATGGAACATGTTCCTACACTTGGTAGAATCTATGAAACCTGATTTTAGTAACTATGATGAGTCAGAAGCCTGGCCTAGTCTTTTTGATGATTTTGTTGAAGCACATAGAACTAACATGCCCAATATTGATGGAACTACACCGGACTAAATCATTTTTCATACAAACATGGTGTCTCTATCTTGATGCATTGTGTGACCAATAGAAACTATTCTGGATTTCGGGCCTGTACAAAAATATTGGATGTAGTTCTATTAAATGGCATACTATTGTGACTAATTGACAACTGCCAAGTTCCCAGGCTAATATGAATTAAACAAAAATTTTTAGCTTTTGTCGATCCATTTAGAACAGGTTCTAAGGATTAGCCTAATTTAGAAATCATTAATTAATCAAGGCTCTTTTCTAGATTTTTACATTAATTTATATAAGTCTAAAGATTTAGATAATTGTTCATATAAATCTTATCCAAATAGACCTTGATTAAATATTTGATTGGTAACTTTACACAAGAATCACGAGGTTTTTCATGTTTGTATGAAGTTTAATTTTATTAAATTAAAATTGTACTCTCTGTATGTGGTCGCCATTTTCCTATGTACAGAGAATAATATCCCCTTTAAGTGAATATTCCATTGTGTAATAATGTTTGTAAAGTTTGCGAAAAGTGATATAGCGTTATGATTTGGGATTGTGATTGGTTTAAAGTACAATGAAATACAAAATGATAATTCTATTGTGTGAACAGCTAATGTTTCATCGCTATTGTCTGACTGAGCCAATCAGAAAATATTCATTTTAATTAACTTGTAAATGATGCCAATTACCAAAAATTATTCGCAAACGCATTGTGGTTGCAAAACTGAATCATCGAACTGCAATTCCAAGATTGATACATTTTTATAGTCAATGCTAACACATTGACGAATTGGTAAAAATCTTGGCGAGGCTGTTAACACCAACATTAGTTTCTTTAATGTACCGCCCAGTGTTAAGAATACAAGTTACGTTTTGTTGTTGCACACAGCTAAAAGACTTTATTCACCGGCATTGTTGCCCAGTACATTACTGGTTTTTGTGTGGGTATTTTGCAAAATTTAGTCTCGATTTGCGACGGGAAACGTGGTGTAGTGGTCTCAATTGGTCTCAACACTCGCCTCCTCCTGTGCCACAGCATAGACCGCCGAAACAACAGATGTTTGTTGCAAGTAAGGGATCTAAATGGGGAAGAGTGATATATCCCATCTCCAGGCCCCCGGCTCCGCAGTCCCCGCCGTACAAAGTGTTCACGAATGTTCCCCTGATGAAATATGCATGTGTATTTTACTGAGGTGGTTTCATAATCAGAGTTAATATGATCAAGAACAACCCCTGTTGTCTTTGTTTGTTTTTTAATTAGAACCACGAGAGTAGGAAGATCAATAAACTAAATAAGGGGCAACTTGCATTGACATATGAAAGTTTTATTTCGTAGAAAACAAGAACCTAAAACGTAAAGAACGTAAAAAGAACGTAAAGCAGCATATCATGAATTTGAGCACACACACCCCACCCGGTTTCCCTCATGGCAAGTTGCTGCATGGCTATGATTCGGGGTGACATCTAAATGCAATCTGCTTTGCATACTTTGCGTTTAGAAATACGAAAATTGAGCAAAAATGTGTCTTGGCATTTCGTTTCAATTGTGCGTTATATCAATTTTCTTCAAAATCACCTTTCATAAACCGAGACATTGACATTTGCCCATGTTTCCTAGAAACTTCTAGTAAGGCCAAATCCGTCGTCAACATTTTTTCGTCTATAAAAAACAATTCACTAGACACTGATTGATTGATGAAGGGCTGGGGAAAATAAGGCACGAAGCGTCAAGTTTTTTTTAAAAACAGAAAAAATACATTTGTCTGCTTCGATTTCGAATGAAATAATTGATTGGAGTTCGCTCTGTTGTGTTTTTGCCTTTCGTATTGTTTTCCAAAATTTGCAAAATGACAAGATGTGAAATTTTGGAAAACAACATATAAAATGACACGCGATCAGTTTATAATCAGACTAACCTTTTGACATCTCCCAGTTGAAAACCATGACTTTAAACTGACCCTTAAAGACGTTTTGATTTGTTGATGATCAAATTTCATATTTTTGAAGCATTTCAGTCTTGATTGTTATATCTACTAAACAAACCATGGAAATTTTTGTAATTTTACGCCGATTAGGTTCCTTAGAAATTAATGTTTTTTTAGGGATTATAACATGGATATAAAAATATTATACCCTCACTTGTCGACCTTGCCATGCTATTTGCTGGATTACGCAATGCAAAGACTAATGTTGGAAAGAAAACCGCACAAGCAAAAAATGACCGAAACATGTAACAGAAAGCTCCATGTGCCAGAGAAATATAAGCGAAGTCACTCCTGAATAAAGTCGCGCAGTGTTGCAATCAAAAAAGAGGATGTTATAAGCAAAGTAATATTGAGGTCAAAAACTCGACGCTATCATCACTATTCTTTAGGACAGGTTGCACGGAATTAAGCCTGGCTGGATAGAATTGTTTTAAGAATCGTCCCTTTTTCAAGCGTATAATTCAAACTTCATGCAAATAGTATACTGTTTAGAAAAATGAGTTTTATCCTCTTTAAAGCAAAGTCTTATTGGATGATCTTGTTAATTTACATCTTTTTGCGCTATAAATAACATAAGGGGAGGGTATGCAATTATAAAGGTCAACAGCCAAGCAATAACTCAAGTCTGGGCATTCGACTACCAGCATGTAATGGGATAGAGTAATAAGCTTGCTATTGGCAAAGTGAATTTTGGGCAAACCCCTACAAAACATTTATTCTTGTCTACCAAATAGTTGGTTTAATTGGATTGTAAAGGGTCCAGCGTTATTCAAAATTAATAATAGCATTTTGATTATTCAGAACATCTTCAGTGCAACTTTATTTGTTATGCTTTCGACTAAAGAATAAATATTCGAACTTGCCTCTGAGGTATTTGGATACGCAATTATATCTAACTGAGGCACAGAAATTGATATTTATTTACTCTAATTCTGCCTACTACTATGATCGATAGCTGAATTGTTTTGGTCAGATTTCAAGGTGAGTCAAATTTCAGATTTTCTAAACTCCAGAGAGCTCTCATCCTGGCTTATATCTCAATACACCAAACTATCTCGTCATGTCAGAATGCTGTCATAATTCATCATCGAAGCTACGCCTACGCGAAACTGACACCTGCCTGCCTCACATTTTTTTAAGAAAACATCCTAGACGGCTTTTTCATTTATATCTATGATTGGTCAAATAGATTCACTAAGCATAAGGCCACAGTTTTTGCAGTAGAAATATGTCAGTAGATTTTGTTGCAAACGCAAACTGCTTAAATTCTAATTGCGATACTTAAATTTCACGCGAGTTAGGAATAACTAACGAGCAAAAATGATTTCCGGTATTTCTGCCGGGTAAGAGATGAAACGAATTGAATATTTTCCATTTCAGCAGAAAAGATAAGTCCATTTTAAACAGAACGTGGTTGTATCATCGTCAAATTCAGCGGTGGATTTGGGATTTCATCTAATAAATAGGGCATCATTTGGAAATATTTTAATGCAACAACATTTTTCATTAATATCAAATTATCAAAGCTTGTGCAGGACACCACTGCAACCCCTGTGTATGACTTTTTTCATTCTATGCAAATTGCAACACTTAAGCCTGTTCTCCACTTGCCACGTATCGTAACATATCGTAGCAGAACATAACATGGCGCATGCGTGTTTGTGCTTATTGACCATCAAATTCATAAGCCGGCGTGCGCCATGTTACGTTTTGCTAAAATACGTTACGATACGTGGTTAGCAGAAAACAGGCTTTAGCTCATACATCGCGTTATGCAATACCTTGATTTTGAAATGCATGCATTTAACCATTCTCTATTGCGATGTATATGTGTATTTGAAATACTTTGTACTGAATTTAGTCACTGAATTGAAATTTTGATGACATAGTTTTGACGCAAAGAATTGCGTTTCGTGAAATTTATTGTTGTGTTCTTAATTCACTAACGTTGCAAAAATTGCTTTATTTCTTATTATGTGCTAAAGGCTAGATTTGGATACTCAGGTTATTATTTTGAGTCTTGATCTTGTGTATTATTAAATTGTTATAATTATTTGCGTTGCAATATATGAATCTGGTCAATCCTCTATCCCCCTTCCTCTAAAATATATCCTCTGAAATATATCCCATTTTTCCTAGAAAAACTGCCCTCTGGGGAATCGGCAAATATTCAAAGTTCAATGACGTAATTGTTACCGGATTTCCAGCAAATATTGCCAGAGTTTTATGACGATACGCACGTGCCTGCAGATTTTGAAATAATCTTCCTGACAATTTAATTGATGACCATCTGTAGATTTTTTACAAATTTCCATGATGCCTGAATTTTCATTTAGAGTATGATGTTGCTTTGATACAAAAGCAATCTTACCTTGAAGATTCGTGTAATTTATACACGTATTTCCTGAGAGGAATTTTTTGCAGATCAGCAGATGTGCGGTCGATTATGATGCCTTTATCCGATGAAGACCTTAAGGGAGTGCTTGTCTGCTTTGTTTAAAAATACGGGATTATTATTCCAACATAAGAGTTTTGTCAATTAACAGTAGGGTAGTCTTTCAAGGTTTACCACGCCAAACACGCCTAAAGCAAACTGAAAACATAATTAGGGCTTTTAATCGCCCGAATATATAAATCAATTTTCTAACTACAAAAGGCTTCGAGAAATTTCTCTTTATAGCAACTCTCCTTCCAAAAGACTCACACTTAAAAACATGTTTACATGGTTGTACATTCAATTACAAATGTGGGCGAGGAACAACAGGCAACCGCAGACACTGACAAGATGCCGGTTTAACTTTTGGAAAACGTGAAAGATGCATCTAAAATATTCAGAATTGTGGTAAAAATGAGTTTGGAAATGCTATGATTTAAAAACGACATTTCAAAACCCATCTTTCAAATCACATATTTCACAATGGCTTCTGTGGATTACGAACACCTACACTGTAAAAATTAACAAAGACACTTAAATAGGGTGTAGATAAAAAGCGGACACGGACAACGGACGCGGACGGCGGACGCAAAACGCGCAAATAAAATGCTTTTAGTCCGTTCGTAAAATACTCTTATTCTACGTCGAAAAATAAACATTGAAAAAGCTGAAATAAAAACGAAACTAAATGATGCTTTTAAGAGACATAGGTATAGGCAAATAGTGGAAACAGTTTCGTGCAGCTCTGTTTTTAATGATTGTACGAACGTCTGTTTGCACGAGCTTTATCTTTCAGGATATATTTTTTGACCTCATTATTTAAAGCAATTAAACATGCATACTTCAATTTTCAGTCAGTCATATAGAGTGTAACGCAATGAAACCTCATTGTATTTTTTTCGTGATTTGTGAATGGCATTTCACTCATGGCCTTATGTGGGTTAGCCTGTTCATATTTACTGCACTGATAATGATTTCCGTCAACTTGTCATTTGGCAAAGCAGTACGTCTATTGCAGTTTTCAACTTGAACTTGCTTTTGAAAGCTGAGGTTAGAAGCAGTTGCAAGTTAATCAGTGCGTCAGTTACAGCTTGAAAGTATACATTAATCACATCAGCGAAGATGAAATAGGATGTCGTGCACAGGTACCTAAATTTAATATTGGAGCAACGATTTTTCGACGTAGAATAAGAGTATTTTACGAACGACTAAAAGCATTTTATTTGCGCGTTTTGCGTCCGCCGTCCGGGTCCGCTTTTTATCTACACCCCACTTAAATATTGTCGGTTGAATTGGCAACTAAGAGGAGAGGCCCATTTTTTTTTAAAAGTGCTGCCCGATATAAGTGTTGGTCTAAGATTACAAAATAGTGTTAGTATTTCTTTCTTACAACGTTCGCTCAATTATAATTAAATCGCCGTCTGCTTTTTAGTAATTATCTGTGAAAGTGAAAATAAGATGAATTTAAAAAATTAAAACGAATTTAGAAAATCGTCAAACGAAGCAACGCGTCAAAATAACAAGTTTGTATAATGACTTTGTTCGTGTGAACTCTGAACAAGTCAAAGCGTTACAGCCCGCTCTCGAACGTTAACGTCCCATTGGCGCTGACAACTTTGTGTTAGCTTGTATTACGTATTGTGGTTTTCAAAAATGCAAGAATATGAGACAACTTACGTAACTTAGTTATAAAATCGCTTAACTGCTGTTCAGTTGACGACAGACACACTAGTAAATGATACAATGGAATGGTTGCTTCGGGGATATGACACGTTTCCTGTTTTAACGTTATTCTTTTGCAAATAATCGTATCCCATTCAATTGCACATAAAGTAGAAAGCATGAAAATTCGGATGTAAATGCCGCATTTTTTTAACTGCCGATGTCAGCAAATCTCTGTTCACTATTCCCATCCCGGAAACTTTTTTAAAGTAGTTCAAAAACATCTTCTCTTTTCACTATCCCTTTTTATAATACTTGCGAGTATTGATGCAAAAATAATATGAGTAACTTGTTATAAGGTAATTCCTAATTCTTGCAAATTTGACCACAACATGTCTCAGAGTCCTTCAACCCTTCTCTTCAACTACAACAATACTTAGACATGGTAGAAACTTAAATGTTTAGAAAATATCGCATAAAATTAAATTGGGTTTGCAATATTGTATTTATTATATTCTATGCTAATTGCCTATTCGCACTGTTTCCATGATATTATAAAATGTGACCTCAATAAAAACAAGTGTTCGCTTTTTCACTCCAGGGGACTAAAATTATGCGTAAACACTCTTGCATGCTCTCAAAGTGGTACAATGTTTCTGTAGTCATTTAATTAAAAGCCCAAATATGTAACTGTAACACTTATAAGGAGAATAGAGGAGTTAATTGGAAAGAGCTCTTTGTTCGCTGATCTCTATACAAATGCCGAGATACAGTGTTTCAGAATTACGTCATCGCCAAAAGCTCGTAAGCGGGGGGAATAACAAAGGTTTGTGAGGTTTGGTGACTAGACAAGTTTCGCCATTAGCACTGCGAAATTGAAATGCATTGAGCCATGTAGAGCGCAACGTTTTCATTTCTGTTTGGTGTTTCGTTGGGAATTCTCCTGATTTTATTACTATTGGATTGTAGGCATGGATCAGAATGTTAGCTCTACGAAAAACCTGGTTTATACACAAAGCTTAAGTCATGATCAACTGCAGAACAATCGCGCGGGTAAGAATTTTATATGGTCCTCGATTGACTTTTTAAAGCACATTACAAACAGTATGTATCTATTCACCGTCGGCCTGTTTGTTTCGTATACAGCATTGGCCCGTCGACTTCAATTTCGACGACCAAGACAAGACCTTATTAATCAAGGAATCATGCCAGGTTAGTTCACATAAGTTAATAGATCTTGAGACATTACTAATGTTTAACGGCGACAACCATTTTGGCAGAATCGTGTCTCTGTACTTGATTATTTTGCGTTTATATGTAGCTGTCTCCGCTGCTCCTATTATACTGCAACAAAAGTCAAGACTCGAGAAGGCGAAGGTATGTTGCCAAATCGTTCACACAAGCTTTCCGAGAGCGAACATTTTAATGAAGGAAGTAAATGTTGTGAATAGAAAATACAATTGTGAGATAAGAAAGACGCTTGCTGCAGACCTGTATCTTTCATCGTCTAACGGTTTACTTGCTCGTGATCGCTGTCAAAGGGCTTTTTTATAACATTGTAAGTTTTCCCTTCGATTCTAGAAAATTGACAATTTACAAAGAAAAATTCGAGTTCGCCCGGACAGAAATCAGCTTATTCAAAGGCATATACTTGAAGGTTAGTTATTTAAATTCTCTATTGTTCAGAACAAAGATCTCCAAATGTCCATTTTATATAGTCATCACCCCCTAATGTTGCCCATATTTTGTGATTAGATCGTACGTATGGCAAGTCCGTGTCGCACTATTTCAAGTTTTAGTAAATAGTACTTTTGTGGCTCAAAAGAAAAAATCCCGATCGTTCATAACAAACATTATATTATAACCCGAAATTTATTCAGCTATTTTAATGCATCAAATTCGAATGATGATCTGTAAACAAGGCATTTGTTATGCAAAAGAATTTCCTGACATATCTTTGCTCGATTAAATTGACGCCTGTTTCCATAATTTTTCTCAAACGGCTGTTTCCTATTTCTTTACAGTGCTGTAGAAGTGTAGATTTGATACGCGTCTGTTTATGTTAGGGATTATTTGTACAAACTTTTCAAATGCGATTGACAATTAAATGTAACTATGTCGTTGGAAACTTTGTTGCAAATTATAAACAGGAAAACTTTACCGCCCGCTTTTTTATTGTGGCTGGCTGTATGCATTTTGCTACGTAGACATTGGGGCGAAGAGCTTACGAATTTCCTTTAAGCTATGACTGACAATTTTCATACAAAACTGTGAATTATAGGTATCATGATGACAAATTACGCATGATACAATTGACCATTAAAACATTTTCTTTTCAAGTTTCATTCTTTAGATTAGAGGATGGTATTTTGATATTTGTTAGTTGTTGCTTCTATATTGTTCACATACATTGAGTTAAGTTAGAACATTTCTAACGTATTACATCTGCCTTAATCAGATATTGACATTTCGAATGGCAGGTGAAAAGGAGTTCTTCATTAGGGATCAGAGTCAAATAAATGTACACAAAGTGATAAATTGTCATAATTTCACGCTTTTGTTGACTTTAGGTCCATTTAATAATCTCTGAATAGCTCGGTGCTTTTAACACTTCTTTCCCTTATTGAAATATCTCACAAATATTTTTCATATTTGCCTATGTAAAGGTAGAAACACAAGAATAATGAAATGTTGCAGTCCTAAAAGTAAATAGTCATTTTGTGACATGCACATCATGGTAATTTTTATTCATTAAAAGTTGATCGAAAATGAATTTGAAATGTTTTCATATAAATTTTTATTCTAAATACCATCTGGTTTTAGCTTGAAGTTTAAAAACACGTCATATTATAAGATTATTTATATCAGTGAGGTTTGTGTGGATGGTCAATGGTAATTACACTGTATAAATGTCATTACTAATTTCTATCATAGTTTTAAATTTGTAATCAAATTATATTTTTTCATGTTGAATATTCTTTTCCAGTCAACAATAACCAGAAATAGATTAAAAAAGACACTCCAAAAAACATGTTGTAAATGCAAGATTCAAGTTATGACAACTAGAGACAAGATTTAAAGCAATATTTCAACGTTGTTTCAAAGTCATTATCAAGCTAAGTGCTTGAGTATGAAATTAGCCTGATAATGACTTAGTAATAAAGTCAAAGAATTGCTTTAAATCTTTCTCTTGCTGTTATAACTTGAATCTTGAGTTTACAAGATGATGTTTTTTTGAGTTTGTTTTATCATTTATGTTGAAATTTATTCACCTAAAATATGAGAATTAAATTTCAAAATTATATCACATCATTAGGCTGCTGAGCAATGAAGCTATTTCATGCATTTTGTAAAGCAGTTTAGCTAACATTTCATTTGTATGACGTTTTAGCAAACATATCATTTTGTATGATAGTGTAGCTAACATGACATTTTGTATGATAGTGTAGCTAACATGTCATTTTGTATGATAGTGTAGCTAACATGACATTTTGTATGATAGTGTAGCTAACATGACATTTTGTATGATGGTGTAGCTAACATGACATTTTGTATGATAGTGTAGCTAACATGACATTTTGTATGATAGTGTAGCTAACATGTCATTTTGTATGATAGTGTAGCTAACATGACATTTTGTATGATAGTGTAGCTAACATGACATTTTGTATGACAGTGTAGCTAACATGACATTTTGTATGACAGTGTAGCTAACATGACATTTTGTATGATAGTGTAGCTAACATGACATTTTGTATGATAGTGTAGCTAACATGACATTTTGTATGATGGTGTAGCTAACATGACATTTTGTATGATAGTGTAGCTGACATGACATTTTGTATGATGGTTTAGCTAACATGTCATTTTGTATGATAGTGTAGCTAACATGACATTTTGTATGATAGTGTAGCTAACATGACATTTTGTATGATAGTGTAGCTAACATGACATTTTGTATGATAGTGTAGCTGACATGACATTTTGTATGATGGTTTAGCTAACATGTCATTTTGTATGATAGTGTAGCTAACATGACATTTTGTATGATAGTGTAGCTAACATGACATTTTGTATGATAGTGTAGCTAACATGACATTTTGTATGATAGTGTAGCTGACATGACATTTTGTATGATGGTTTAGCTAACATGTCATTTTGTATGATAGTGTAGCTAACATGACATTTTGTATGATAGTGTAGCTAACATGACATTTTGTATGATAGTGTAGCTAACATGACATTTTGTGTGATAGTGTAGCTAAGATGACATTTTGTATGATGGTTTAGCTAACATGACATTTTGTATGTGATAGTGTAGCTAACATGACATTTTGTATGATGGTATAGCTAACATGACATTTTGTATGACAATTTAGCTAACATGACATTTTGTATGATAGTGTAGCTAACATGACATTTTATATGATGGTGTAGCTAACATGACATTTTGTATGATAGTGTAGCTAACATGACATTTTGTATGATGGTTTAGCTAACATGTCATTTTGTATGATAGTGTAGCTAACATGACATTTTGTATGATAGTGTAGCTAACATGACATTTTGTATGATAGTGTAGCTGACATGACATTTTGTATGATGGTTTAGCTAACATGTCATTTTGTATGATAGTGTAGCTAACATGACATTTTGTATGATAGTGTAGCTAACATGACATTTTGTATGATAGTGTAGCTAACATGACATTTTGTATGATAGTGTAGCTGACATGACATTTTGTATGATGGTTTAGCTAACATGTCATTTTGTATGATAGTGTAGCTAACATGACATTTTGTATGATAGTGTAGCTAACATGACATTTTGTATGATAGTGTAGCTAACATGACATTTTGTATGATAGTGTAGCTGACATGACATTTTGTATGATGGTTTAGCTAACATGTCATTTTGTATGATAGTGTAGCTAACATGACATTTTGTATGATAGTGTAGCTAACATGACATTTTGTATGATAGTGTAGCTAACATGACATTTTGTGTGATAGTGTAGCTAAGATGACATTTTGTATGATGGTTTAGCTAACATGACATTTTGTATGACAGTTTAGCTAACATGACATTTTGTATGATAGTGTAGCTAACATGACATTTTGTATGATGGTATAGCTAACATGACATTTTGTATGACAATTTAGCTAACATGACATTTTGTATGATAGTGTAGCTAACATGACATTTTATATGATGGTGTAGCTAACATGACATTTTGTATGATAGTGTAGCTAACATGACATTTTGTATGATAGTGTAGCTAACATGACATTTTGTATGATGGTGTAGCTAACATGACATTTTGTATGATAGTGTAGCTGACATGACATTTTGTATGATGGTTTAGCTAACATGTCATTTTGTATGATAGTGTAGCTAACATGACATTTTGTATGATAGTGTAGCTAACATGACATTTTGTATGATAGTGTAGCTAACATGACATTTTGTATGATAGTGTAGCTGACATGACATTTTGTATGATGGTTTAGCTAACATGTCATTTTGTATGATAGTGTAGCTAACATGACATTTTGTATGATAGTGTAGCTAACATGACATTTTGTATGATAGTGTAGCTAACATGACATTTTGTATGATAGTGTAGCTGACATGACATTTTGTATGATGGTTTAGCTAACATGTCATTTTGTATGATAGTGTAGCTAACATGACATTTTGTATGATAGTGTAGCTAACATGTTGTATGATAGTGTAGCACATGACATTTTGTGTGATAGTGTAGCTAAGATGACATTTTGTATGATGGTTTAGCTAACATGACATTTTGTATGACAGTTTAGCTAACATGACATTTTGTATGATAGTGTAGCTAACATGACATTTTGTATGATGGTTTAGCTAACATGACATTTTGTATGACAATTTAGCTAACATGACATTTTGTATGATAGTGTAGCTAACATGACATTTTATATGATGGTGTAGCTAACATGACATTTTGTATGATAGTGTAGCTAACGTGACATTTTGTGTGATAGTGTAGCTAAGATGACATTTTGTATGACAGTTTAGCTAACATGACATTTTGTATGATAGTGTAGCTAACATGACATTTTGTATGATGGTTTAGCTAACATGACATTTTGTATGATAGTGTAGCTAACATGACATTTTGTATGACAGTTTAGCTAACATGACATTTTGTATGATAGTGTAGCTAACATGACATTTTATATGATGGTGTAGCTAACATGACATTTTGTATGATAGTGTAGCTAACATGACATTTTGTATGATAGTGTAGCTAACATGTCATTTTGTATGATGGTGTAGCTAACATGACATTTTGTATGATGGTGTAGCTAACATGACATTTTGTATCACAGTTTAGCTAACATGACATTTTGTATGATAGTGTAGCTAACATGACATTTTATATGATGGTGTAGCTAACATGACATTTTGTATCACAGTTTAGCTAACATGACATTTTGTATGATAGTGTAGCTAACATGTCATTTTGTATGATGGTGTAGCTAACATGTCATTTTGTATGATGGTGTAGCTAACATGACATTTTGTATGATAGTGTAGCTAACATGTCATTTTGTATGACAGTTTAGCTAACATGTCATTTTGTATGATGGTGTAGCTAACATGTCTTTTTGTATGATGTTTACATGTGCAATGTGAAAATAATGTAAATGCTAAAGCAAATTTGTTAAATGATGAACTTCAAATTGTTTCAAACTGTCAGAATTATTTAATACTCTAATGAATTTTGCCTTGCTGGGCCATTATGTACAGCACTGTACTAACTTTATGTTTCCAGTGTCAATGCATTGCTTACCAACCACTTTGAATTAGTGTTTTCATTTTTATATCTTGGTTTCTGTCGAGAAGCATGTCTAGAATATACATTCCTTATACATCCATTGCTTCAAATGTCATTTCTCTAGATTCGAATGCAGATCCTTCCATTCAAGTAGCAGCCATTAGCTTGAAGAGGAAGAAGCTTCAAGATAACCTGAATGAGCGTCTACTCATGCGCCCTGGGCCTTTGGAACTTGTCAATAAAAATATACTTCATCCCAATTCAATAGTAGGTCATGCTATAAAAGAAGGTGCTGTGGAATACGCCGATACCAAAGACTCCATACATATTATTAATGCTCTATCTCCACCAGAGTCTTTAAATGATGAGTCTCCCCAGCCATCTCCGGATAACATCAGTCTTGGTTCTCCCTCGTCACCTTTATTTCACCCCGCTTCACACTTCGAGCCACCATTTAAGGCTACACCCCAGCTTGCCACCACCAACCAATCCATGTCAAACAGCATTAAGCCAAAGGACGTAACGAGGCGCAAGAAACAGAACAAGAGTAAATTCAAGAAGTACAAATATCACGAATATCGGCCACCCAACATGGAAGGGAACAGCTCAAAATGTGATAGCAACTCTCTACCAGCCGATTCACCATATGCTCTTCTCTTGGAACAGCAACAAAAGTATTTGCAGCTACAGGTACTCTGCCAGAATTATCCCCAGACTTTTTTGCCGCTACTGCCGACAATGCAGAAATCTGACCAGGTAGAAACCCCCCCGGCCGAAAAACCGATGAAAATTGAGGAGATGAGGGTGATTGACTTGAGGAATGAATTGAAAAGCCGGGGGTTACCCGTATCCGGTTCAAAAAATAACTTGATGGAGAGGTTGAAATCGGCAAATGCTCAAGGTTCGGGAAATTCCTCCAACATTACTAGTTCTGTTACGCAGATAACTCAGACGACACCGGTCCCTGTTGCACCAAGGACGACACTTACACGGTCAACGTCTGTACCAAACGGGGTTTCATTGGTCAATTCGTTGGGTACGGCTAAAATATTAAATGACGCTGAAAAAATGCTGCAAGAACAAAACATAAGCGTTGACGAGATTCAGCAAAAGATTCAGCAATTACAACATCTCAATCTCCAGTTGCAGTTACAACATTTAGATATCAAGAACCAAAAAGGCAAGCCATTACAGCCGACCAGCCAAGCGGCAGTTCTGCCAGCCAGCCAACTGTCAAATTTACCTGCTAACCAAACGGGAAGTTTTTCCCAAGCAAATGGTCAGCGAGAGACAGTGACATCGCAAGAACAAAGTGTTGGAGAAACCATAAAGAAGCACGTGCAACAACTAAAGCATATAAATTCTCCACCTCAGCAACTACAACATCTACAAAACAATGAACAAATACAACAAGTACAGCAACAAGAACTGCAACAACAACAACAGCAACAGTTACAGCAACAACAGCAACAACTTCAACAAAGACAGCAACAATTACAGCAACCGCAACTTAAACAACAGCAACACGTCATTGCTAAGCACGCGCCACTCGAACACAAGAAACAACTACAACAAAGGCAGTTACAGCTGAAACAACTCGAACATCAACAGCAGTATCAGCAACATATAAAACAACAGCAACTTCAGCAACAACAACTGCTACAACTGCAACAACAGCAGCAACAACAACAACGTTTACAGACAAACAATCAGCTGAATCAGCAGCATTTACTCTACAATCATTTGGCGACCTCTCAGGCTTCAATTGACATGAAAACAAAAGTAAGTGAAAATAATGTGGTTACATCACTTCCGCCACCTCAGCAATGTCAAGTGTCGATTTCCGGTACACCATTGCTACACTCCTCGCCATTGGTGTGCAATACCAATTGCAATGGAACCCAATTACAGCAATCTTCGGAAAGTACTGCACCCAATGTGAACTCAGTGCAACTGCACAATGTAATCCATTTCAAACAACCAGGGAAACCAGTCATTTTTTTGCAAAGGCCAAAGCAACAACAACTACGTGCGCAACGGCTGTTTAGCCCTACGGAAAAACAACTTCCGAGCGATCTGAGCAACGATATCTTTTTCCAGCAAATGACTCGGCCAAATTCCCTCTCACTCCACCACAGTGATGTAAATATGGAGCAAGAATCAAACTGGACGTCGTTAATTGAGGGCGAAACTCGATCGTCAAGTAGCTCTCCTACGCCGGTTGAGCGCTCTCCTCCGCCTTATTTTGAAGCGGTTGCAGGCCGGCTAAGTCCCCGATGTTCCAGCAATGGTCCATTTCCTAAACTTCACTCAAGAACGAGCAGTGTCGGTACCTTTTCATCGCTAGGACATCGCAGGTCACTTTCGGTGCCCACTGTCAACAATAGCAGCGGCTTACCTCAAGAAATGCAAAAAGAACAACAAAAGTCCGGCTCTGCTATGTGTCTGGACTTCCCTGAGGCCGAGGAAATGAATAATATTGCGGATAATTATCACGGCATTACGCAGGAATTACAGAAGGTACGCACGAGTCGTGTTTGAAAAAGCACCACTAAACTTACTTGTATTGTATACAACTTTCTGACCGTGCTAAAACCCGTTCTGCAATGGATCGTCTTTTTCCGACGTACATTAATTTTGAATTCGCTTGTATATATAATGCATAGGACATGTTGTTGGAACCCATTCTTTAGTTAGTCTACTTTAAGGGACCTACGTAAATTATAAATGCATATCTTTAGTTTTTTGAACTTTGCTTTTATTTGGGATAGATAGGTTTAGGTTTTTCGAAATTTTTGAAACAAAAATCTAAGAAGTAGGTGAATATCACTTAAATTTGTAATGGGGTAATATACGTATAACTTGCTTCTGAAGAAAATTGTTTTCGCTAAACGATGAAGGTTAATAGGTGTTAGACTTATACAAAAATAAGCTCACTTTCCCTCTATCTTATAATTGATGACGTCACCCAGATTTCCAAAGCCTACGTCATTCATCAACCCTCTTGGAGCCGAACCTTTTGAAAAGTTTGTACGCATTTCGTTTGGCGAATGTTGCCGCAGGGCAACACCGGCCTTTAGAGGGTTAAACCAGCAAGTTTGTGCAGCAGTCAGCATGATTGCTACGTTTTAAAAAAATGAGACAACAGGATTATTTTGTTGGTGTTGATGTGGTTTTGCCGAGAGTTTTTTTTTAATTTATATTTGTCCATTATTGTCAGGCCATGATGATCGAATCCCAGAATAGTCCGGACAATCACAACGCTGATTTGCTTGATATTTTAGGAGGTAAGTGTTACATAAATATCAAACGATGTGGCTAAATTAAATTGACGGGCAGAGTTTCCGGGCGGTTTGTACGGAACTCTAACACTAACCACTCGGCTACACAATACGCGTAGTAACACGAATATCTGCTACGAATGTTAAATACATAAAATTTCTTTATGATATTATGATGTATTGTATATTGTTCAAGAGTTTCTAGTTTTAGATTTTTTAAATTTTTATTCATTTAAGTGCCACTTTCAGCAACAATTTTTAATTGCGATATTGAATTTAAGCGAGATTTTCAACGTATCAGTAAAAAAAATTTTTAAGTTTGTCAAATAGCTGTTTAAGTCTGCAAAAATGCTCCTTTATTGACCTTGTCCGTCGTTAGAAAAGTCTAGAATGACTTACTTTTGTGACGCATGCTAGGGATTCCTCAACACAAGATATGTATACCAACTATCTTGGATGACGTCAGAATTTGGCTTGACGCAGACTTTATGTCACGACGTAGAAGATCCATTGAAAAGTAACTTTAAACCGCCATAAGCAGAAGGCCATTTGACCAAATAAAAAATTCTTTCACCGATCCGTTCGTCTTTGCATCTAGTTTTTATATCGCGAATAAAGGTGTTTGCTGTTAGTGCACTTTTTGCGTATCTTGCTGGGCAAACCTTTCTTTCAGTTTTGTTTTGCAGTGTAAAAGGGGAAAGGTGTATTATTATATTGTTTTGGTGTTTTATCTATTTAAAAATTTTCATCGCTTTTCAGAATAAATTCAGTACGTCGTGATACCAAAAAAGAGTGTCCGCTTAAGCCTAGTTCCCATGTAGTTGTAATTGTTGTAATTCTATCGGCGATGAAGGTCTACAACTATATGGGAACACGGGTTGTAATTGTTGTAATTTAATCGAAGACAAATCGGGAGCTGTTGTAAAAGTTGAATGCGGTTCAACTTCTATAACCATTACAACACTTGCCGACATAAGAAATTCACATGGGCACGCTCATCAGCGATAGCATTTTATCTTTTCTTTCGATTTCTTACGCAATTGTGGCATGAAAGAACAAACATTCTTTGATACACGATCAAAATCCTTTCACCTAACCTCGTCAATGAGAAAGCTTGCCACATAAACCTAACGCAAATATATTTTATCGGCGATGAGAAGCCGCACGTGATTTTAGCTTTAGGGTGCATGTATGTTCTCAATTACAACAATTACAACTATATTGGAACGTGTGGTGTTGTAATTTGGTCGGTTAGTGTCGATGATGAAACTACAACAATTACAACAATGGGAACTAGGCTTCACGCAAGGTTTTACTGTACTAAGCAAGGTCACCTGCTCTTCTGCAGAAAAAGACTAAACAATATGATAAACATAATTCACAAAGCAAAAAAGAGTGTCATTCTTTCTCTAAAGTTTATTTCAAAGAGCTTCTCACCAAATAATACCAAACCGTGATCTTACAATTGTGATTTTGATAATAGAAAAGTTATCTTTTAATCAGCTAGTGTTATATTTTGAGATATTTCTCGATCGTATTGGTTGACTGATTGGTTGACTGCCGTGAAATTTATATGTAATTGCCCTGTAATAGAGTATAGCTGCTTTGTAAATGCTGTAACCTGATTGGCTGAAAAGCGTTGATTACGCTGCAGTCTTTAAAAAAACTCACGAGTGCATGTTTAACCGTGATTGGACTCGAAACTATACTATTACTAAGCCCTTAATAACCGGGCTCGAGGTCTTTACGGAGAAATAACGGACCGATGTTTTTTTTTGTACAGACCGAGCCGTAGGGCGAAGCTTGTACAAAAAGACACAGAGGTCCGATATTTCTCAGTAAAGACCGAGAAAGCGAGGTTATTAAAAGGATTATTATATGGCATTATTTGACCTGAAACGAAGCTTGCTTTGTTTCTCGTCCTTGCTGTTTTTACGGGTTAGCTTTCACTTCACTAGTTGTCGTCCATAAAAAATAAATCGTTTCAAATTGTATCGTCTGGATGGTTATTGTTTTCCAAGTGTTTTTTCTTCGAATCACATTCGTAAATGGTTTTTTGTTTCGTTTATTTTGCGTTTTGCTGTTTGCATAACGAAGTTTGTTTCCATTTGACTGTAAAACTACGCGTTTTGGACCGTGGTCGATTACGGCGAAATAATGGACCGGTAATAATGTTTCTGAGCCAAAAATGTTTCAGAAAGCTTCGTAATGCGGCTTAAATATTAAAAACATTCCCCCGAAAACAGTACTTGCTCCTTTGTTTTTATTCTTTGCATTCTTTTGTAATTCTTGAATTTCAAACGATTGCGATTGTGGAAATCTTTGTTTACTTACAACTGCCGCCATGTTTTTTTAAATTAAAAAGAAGTTTGTTTGGCTTTCATTTTACTCGTAACTATACTACTAGCTATACTAATTTGCGCGCTTCTCATTTCCAGTTGATACACGAATTTCATCAAGTGCAACTGCTGGTGATGGACTTACATCCAGTATTTCAAATGGTTATTCTCAGTCATCGTTACCAGTTTCCTCTTCTAGTGTTGAGGCATCAACGTCGTTTACCCATCCCAATTCCCCCAAGCTACTCAAATCACCTACGACAAGTCTGCCGTCTTACCAAGAAGCCGTGCAGAATACAATTTGTGCTTCGTCCCCCGCGGCGGTAAACTTTAATTCAAGCGAACTGTTAAGTGAAATGCATGAGCACAGTGCCCCTTTGAATATTGTCCATTCGCAACCGAAAATGTCCTCCCAAAATATGGACGGCTGCCTGTTAGCAAGTTGCAATTCTCCGATGCGCGTTGATGAAGACGACGTTGACCTAAGGAACGTATTGTACGCGAACGGATACCGAAGAGACAGCTTCGACAACCTTCGGACGCACACTATGCATAATACTTCAATTTATCACGTCAATCCATGTGACATATTTGGTAACCCTACTGATGGTGGTTTGATTAAACAAGGAGAGGCAGGTCTAGCGTTTATAGATGTGGATACGGGAAATTCTGAGTTTCCTGAATCTATGGACTTAGGGGAACAATGATTCGGGGATATCTGTCAATGTTATATCAGGTATAACGTTCAGCCATTGACAGTTACATAACTATATGTATGATGACAATCCCATCATCATTAGAGCGTCGAAGTAGCGTGGACGTACACAGAGCTTGTAAAACAAGGCCGATCATTAACCAATGTCCAGTTTTTTCATGTGGTGAATTTTACGCGCTTGCAGTAAAATACATTTTGGATTGGCTGGCAGTAGCCTGACGTCATCGGTAGAGAAAAAATGACGTGCTGTACATTAATGATCATTTCACGACCAAGAAATTATCTGAAACCTTTACTGCAAATGGTGTTTTCGAACTGAAAATTTCTAGTTTTTGCTTGATACCAGTGTCAGAACACTTGGCAAACATATCTTTAAAAATGCCAATTGAGATTTATTTTCATACAACAGCCTAAACATGTTATTGACATTTTTCTTATGCAGCGCGTATTTAAAGTTCACCATATGTAAAAAACCTGGTTTACCTCATACAGAGAAGACGTTTGATTAGTTTATATGCATGAAGTGGGGAGATGAGGGTCGGAATCGCTTACTCTCATTCCGCAGTCACATGTATAACCTGACCGAAAAATTCATGAAGGGCTAGACGAATGTACGAGCGTACTTGCCTGGCAGCAACATGGCGGCTGGTTACGTCAATGTTCTTTGTCATTTTCGCCGCCCATTAGTTTCTTCACCCACTGTGTGTTGTAGATACAGATGTGGACATATATGGTCACGAGCAGGCCGAATTAGTCTGACATAATTATATGATGTGTCGGACAGTTATTTTCTATGGAGCAGGGGGGGCGGAGGGTTCTATGTACATGTAACAAATATCAAACCCAGTCGAATGTATTGTTTGTGAAAGTAATGAATGTAAAGTTTTTGAAAGCTTACATATTTCGATGACATATGTGAAAGAATCAAGATTAGTAATTTATGCCGCCTGCTTAATAGAGTGAGCTCAAATGGCCGGCCGTCAAAGATCTTCCGAAACTGCTGTTTTTAAGTGCTTGATATTGCTCGGAGAACTAATTCTTTGGCATCTTATGTGCTTTTCTTTTGAACGTAAGTGCGCGGTTTTTCTGTTATTCATTTTTTTTTACTTTGAAAATTTTAAAATGAAGCAGCTAACTGTACCAAGGCGGAGAATTATTTTGATTGTAGGAAGATCTTTGAATCGGTTTCGCATGTTATTGTTGCTGGCGGTAAAATTATAAGATTTTGTCAAGATTTCTGACTGTCACCGTGTTTTAAAAATCACTTTTTATCGCGGCTTGAAGCCGGTAACAAAGTATTGAGTACTTTAAAATTGTAAATAGTTATTTTCGCTATCGTGTAAAGAAATTAAATTTTGACATGCGCACATTTGCGCGGTACAGAAAGTGTTCATTCTGTTGAAGATACATAACGGAAACTTCGTAAGAAGTACACAATAAACAGCAGCATCTTATAACCAGGCCACGTTATTTGCATTTAAATTCTGATTGTGCATCGCATTGGAATATCAAATTTATTAAAATTAATGTCGCTCTTGTAGCACTGCGAGTGTGTGGATACTTTGTGTGGTCCCCTCAAAGGCTCAAACATCTTCACTGTTTTAGCGCACACTCTGGACGTTTTTTCATTGAATACAATGTACAAAGTTTACTTGCAATCATGACCTACAAAATTACAAGGTGTACTAGAGCTACAAGTTCAAATAAACTAATTAATCTATAAAAAAAACACCCATAACTTGATTTACTATGTGAATTATTTCGTGACAAATATTATACAACCATTGATTTAGAACACAATCTCCTAGATTTCTAACTACCATGTCAAGGTGAGGCAAGGACGCCATCTTGAAAGGTGGCAAAAAAGCAAAACTCAAATTGAAAAATAAGTTAAAACACAGTTTAAATAACCCATCCTATCAAATGCGACTTTATATCAACTCAATACAAGCAGATATTATTTGTAAATACGGTTAGTTTTGCCACCTTTCAGGATGGCGGCTTGCCTCACTCATTACATTACAATTTTGGCGTAGTCAGATATTTAGTAGATTGTACGGTGGCCGGTACGGGTCACCAGAAAAATAATTTAAAAACATAACAAACAATAAGAAAACATCACTCAAAATCATACTACACATTTCAAAATACTCACTACACATTTCAAAATACTCGCTACACATTTCAAAATACTCACTACACATTTCAAAATACTCACTACACATTTCAAAATACTCCCTACACATCTCAAAATTTCACTACACATTTCAAAATACTCACGACACATTTGTCCCAGTCTTACCCTGGTCTGGCCTGGCCACGGTCGGCATTAGTTTCCATATACGAAATTGACGTAATGTCAGAAAGCTGATATAAATATACGCTTCCGATATTACTAACAGTTCAGTACGCGTTAGGATATTTTGATGCTATTGTGGCGATATGCTGTCTATATGGAATTCCACACATAGACAAACATATCGCCACAATAGCATCAAAATATGCGATACGCGTACATGAACTATTAGTAATATTTCTTCCAGGGATTTCTTGGTGTTGGTTAGACAACACAACATGAGTGGTCAATCTACAGATTGCATATAATTGTATTTGTATTGGTGATATTCGACAGTCATTAGTTTAACTAATGCACTTATTGACGTGACTGGTATTGAAGCTCTAAATTTACTGCTTTTACTCGAAGTTACCGAACTTTTCATTTTCTTTGGCGTTTCTTGTGCAACAAGTTATAGCGCTATGCGCAAATTTCTTCTTTGGTTTCCTTGTTATTTTTGTAACGCATCACACAAGTACGTACGCGACATAGCGAATGCAAATTCATGCATATACTCAAATTTTTGCTATTAAAGTACGGACATGTATCGAAAGTCACTGCAAATACATTTGCTTGCGATATGTAGATCGTCTACTAATGTTGTGCCCGACCTAGTCCAGCAGAACCCAGGAAGAATTTCTAATTAGAGTTCAGCCAATATTTTCATGTTTTATCCCAATGTCCCAATTTGTTTGTCTTGTGAAATGCGGAATTATATATTTAATTGCTTACTTTATGATGTCACGTCAGTTTCGTAGAGGAAACTAGTGACGACCATGGGCAGGCCAGACCAGGATAAGACTGAGACGAATATGTAGCGAGTATTTTGAAATGTGTAGTGAGTATTTTGAAATGTGTAGTGAGTATTTTGAAATGTGTAGAGAGTATTTTGAAATGTGTAGTGAGCATTTTGAAATTTGTAGTATGATTTTGAGTTATGTTTTCTTATTGTTTGTTATATTTTTTAAATTATTTTCTGGTGTGTATTAAGACTTATGATTTACAACCAGACAAAATCTGTGCAAAATTCGCCATTGTTGCCGAGTAAGTTGGTCATGACTCCAGAACTTCAACATAGATCAGAAATTATTGTTGTATATCGCTGTATAAACTTTATTTTTAAATACGCTTAAAGTTGACACAAAGTGTAAATGAAAGTTTCATTTTGATAAGCAGTGTGAATGCTGTAAAGCTTTTTTAAGTTCTATGAAGAGGGTGATTTCTTTGAACATTATTTTCCAAACTCAAAACTTTTAAAAAATGACGTCAAAAGTACTTTGTCCGTAGTTGCGCGTCGATCCCATTCCACTTCGGACAAAACGTCGCGGACGGTGGTTATCATGTGAGCTAAAGTCAGTGGCTTCTCAGCACTAAAAAATATCTTTTAAAAATGAGAAACTTCACAAAAATGAACGAAAGGAAAAAAATTACTAATTCTGCTTAACCAAAATGATCAGAAACGTGTCATTGAACTGAATAAGGACTTAATGAATAACAGGGAAGAACTAGCGTTAAGTAAAATGAAATACACAACAGCTCTTTGATTGGTAGGATTATATTCTTTAGAAATTCGCAACCAATGGTTGTGGTATAAAGATATTTTGAATTTGAAATTAGCGGTGATGTATATTTTGACAAATCCTTGATTCCCAACGCTCGTCCCTACTTTTGAATAATCTGCTGGATCTGCTAAAACTTCCCTATAGGCCGTGGACTAATGTGCTCAAAAACACAACTTTCGCTGCACACCGACACAACTAATAATTTCTTTCATGATGTTATGGGGAAAATGCAAAAGCAATTCAAGTAATCAATGCGTCCCCAAGCGATAAGTGTGCACAATAAGCAGAAACTTATCAAAACCAAAAAGTTCAAATTCCAAAAATTTTCAGTACTATTCAATAGACTAGTATGAAATGAGTAAAAAAGTATATTAAACCGTTTACTTTCAATAACTTGTTTATGAAGAATCAACAAATGCTTTTACCTTTTATTACAATGATGCTGACTCAGCATTTTAAGTTTTTGTCTTATACCACAGACAAACATGCAAACTCACACGATTTTATCGGCTGTCGCCTAAATCTTAAAAAAATCATCTGAGCACCAGAATTTCAATCACTTTCACCCATTTTTAATTTTTTTTCTAACTTGTGTTTAGTAAAATAATTTTGAACAAATCAAGACTAATTAAGTGAGTGTTTAATAGAAAATTGTATTCACCAACATATTGACGAACAAAATAACTCGATGGAAGAAAACTCTGAAGTGGATTTTCGTTTATAATGAGAAAGTGTGAGAAAAATTCACATTGACTTATAAAATGCTTAATATTTGTTGATAATACTTAGTCCGATCTGATTCTTTCAAAACTATTTCACTATTTATATGTCAATAAAGAAGGCGAAAATGATCGAAAATCTGGTGTTCTGAAGATTTTTTTAAGATATAGGTGAAAGCCGATAAAAACGGGCCAGTTGGCAGGTCTGCCTGCTGTAGTATAAGACAAGAACTTAAAATGCTAAGTCAGCATCATCGTAAAAATACATTCGTTGATGCTTCATAAACAAGTGAGTGAAAGTAAACGGTGTAATATATTTTTTACTCATTTCATACTAGTACTTCGAATGGTACTGAGAATTTTTGGAATTTGCAAATTTTTTGGTTTTGATAACTATTTATGGCGTCATCGTGAATAAAACGTAAATTTCTGGACATCAGTACAATACTTACTAGCACTAGCACTTGCAAGAAAAAGAAAACTTTTTTCGTTCTTGTGTGGAAAATGGAAAAGAAGAAACAGTCTTTTGCTGCTTTGATAGGGCCATTGAGTTCTATAATAACTGGAGGGGCTAAGTGGACTTTGGACGAGGCTGTCAAAAACATGGATGCTAAGCATTAAATTATAAATATACTGGAATTATAACACCATTAAAAATGCCCTGTGATTGGATGAAGCCAACATATATCTAAATTTAGCTTCCCCACCGGAAATAATGCATTTTTTCTTGGCGATAAATGTTTGTTTTTACTTTTGGCAGCGGGAATTCCGTCAAAAACATTTATTTATTGTCGTTTTTTTGACAATTTTTCTGCATTGTACCATGCTTAGCTTATACCTAGCGAGATTTCTACTTGGAAAAACGTAATTGACAAGAATCGAGGGTGATCCGACAAACTACAACAAGACGGAAAATGCGAAAAGATAGATAAAAACATTTTATTTGAATATTTCAGTATTATGCACATCTTTTATATAAATGCGTCTTTTACGTGCATCATTGATGTCTTTTTGCGTTTAAAAATGTTCATTGTGTCTTTTTATTAGAAAATATATATTTTAGTTTCCCACTGTTTACTTCATTTTTTGTTTTATATTAAAATGTTGCGCATCCAGCTTATTCGTGTTGTGCTTATTTTCTTTTCATTTTTATTGGGGTTTTTTACACACAACATACAAAAATAGGCTTACTATAACTTATCTACATGGACTTGATTATTATTGTATGAACAGCATTAGATGTTGGATACTCAGATGAAAAAATCCACTGGCAACTGCCTCTGAAATTTATTATTGAGGTGAAAAATGTAATAATCATTCAAATTGAGCACTTACATTGCAAATATAGGAAAGACAAAACAAAGAGAAAAAGAAAAGTAGAAGTATTAAAACCTTTTCAAGCACATGTGTTTTGATGATTATTTGCATTTTGCCATGAATACAACAAAATCAAAATGTGGTACAACTTCTCAAGTATTTTAATGCAGTTCCATTTCAGAACATCACAAAAGGTCACTAGGAATTTGTATACAATACTATTTGTTTTCATGTATCAAACTGATGCAAAAGTGAGTCTTTTTGAAATTTAATATGAACTTTAATGACAAAAATTCATGTACATTAAGTCAAGCAGTACATATGCAAAGATGTATTATTTATTTTTATATAGCAACAAGTACAAAGCTTACAATTGTGGCGAAAAAGGCCATTGCCCTTAGCACAAAAAAAAGGTAATGATAAGAAATACACTAACTTTTCCTTCCTGAACTGTGGAAATAAACTATGATATACTTTTTTGTTATAGACTAAAGAGTTTAAACGAGTAAACAAGTTGGACGCTGGTAATAAAACGACGTACATCTGCACCCATATGTAGCCGACAAGTAACTCCTTCATCGATACTTCCAACAAACATCCTCGTAGGAGCCAATAACTGTAAACCACAGTTGACTCACTGTGATGAATGTTAGGTTTTTACCTTGATTTTCAACGTAAAATTGCTTGCTTAATGCCAAATACACCCTTCTTTTTCTTTCCTCTTTCTTCGGGGGAAGTGAAAAATTGTGAAATTTTCCGAAAAGCAGTCATTATCGGTAAATCTCAGCGGAAATAGGTCCATTCCACCATTTTTTCGACAACCTCCGATCATTGAATTATAAATATACATTAAAGAAGTATATTTATAATTCAATGCCTCCGATATCTAAAGCCGCGCTTGAGATAACCGCTCCAGTTATTATAGAAGAGTTGGGGCCATGTGCACTGTGCACAGCACGTTCTACGTTGCTATGGAAACGTTAAATTCTATTGGAAGGTAAACAAAATCGAATTGTAAATTTGAAAAAATAGCAATGAGCATGAAATTTTGCATTGTTCTGGGAATATCACTTTTTGATTTTTATTTATATTCAATTACACTGCAGTAAGATCTTTAAATTCCGTCTAGCTCTAAACCACACGCGGTACATGGACGAGAATGGATTTCTTTGACAACACGACGGCAATCTCGGAACTCAACATACACAATGCCCCTCAACTTCGTTGTAACGAAGGAAAATTTACAACATGTGGACATTGTGAATCCTGTAAACTGGGAAGCAAGATAATGCATGCGAAAGAATGGTTCTTTCGATGCTCCGAGCAAGCCCAGCGACAATTCGTTCTGGGGCTAGTTCATCGTTTTCATTCCATTGACCTTCACGAATACACGAACACATTATTGAAGGCATTGGAAGGAAAAGATTTCATTTATGCTCGTTCGAGAAACAGACCTAGCCTCAAAGAAGACATGTCGGGCTCTGTTTCGAACCATGCTCTTGATGCCGCGAAGCTGAGGAGAGATATTATAGAATGCTTGAATTGGTTCGAGTTGAGTCCATACTGGACAAAATGTAATTTTATGTTGGGTGTGATGAAGTTTTGCAGTACGCAATTGCTTCATGCCATCAGCAATGAATCCCGTAGTTTCTCTTTGGTTCATGAGGAGCAGAGTTTATCAGATACCGACGGAAAATCAAACAAAAATGTGGAAGAACTAGGTAAGAATGCTACGTAGGAACATTTGTAATCTCTCAAAAAGAGATTGGATTTACGTAAGGGAGATTACATCATGCATTGTTGAACATATTGAACTATGATTGTACAGAATGCTTACATAAGGGGGGAAGACATATGCGATTATACTCTACTTGTGGTAAGCCGAATTTAACCTTATAAATTACCTATCTTGCCCTTCCTGGTTGTTGTAGTGTATTGAATAATGTTAAATGTCAGTGAATCATTCTGTTATCAATAGTTCTAATCTATTGTTATATATATGTTGACATGTGAGTGTGAAAAGTAGTATGCTCTTTCCCCCTCCTGCTATGATAGTTCAGTTCCTTTCACACTTGAAATTTCCTTTGTTCATTGGAAAATACTGGTCAAAATTTGTTGTCAGTCACAATTTTTTAATTCTCCCAAGATGGTGAAAGCAATGGATTGCAGAACGAAGAGGTATCTTTAAGAGTTACCTTTGATTCCATCTATCAAATTTCATCAATGTCTATCACTCCAGATGGCACATATAGACCAAGATCAGAGCTCAAAGATCAGGCAAAGTCATTTGTAGAAATATCAAGTGGAAGCAAAGATGATATCAGTACCTGTAATACAAGGCGTCCCAGATCAGGCTCTGCAAGACATAGAATTTTACAAGTATAGTTTACTTTTTATTGAGTAGCATTAAAATTTCTTTTCGTGGGGCAGCCACTTGTTTTTTCTGCCAACTTTTCTTTGGCTCAGCATCTAGAAAGATATTGTTTGGTCAAGCTTGCAAGAGCATGCAAGATTTTATTGCATTATATTTGAAATTGTATGTGGTTTGAAGATCTTTGTCTTATTATAAGAAATATAGCAGCCCAGTCTTGTCTAGGTTGTACAGCTAATAGAAATATGGGGCAACTCCGCAATTGTCAGCTTCATTTAAAGTGATTAAGTGCAAAAATTGAAAATAGTTGACACCAGGTCCACCATAGCTCCTAAACAAATTTTTTTTAAAAAAGTAATTTTGCATGTACACACTAACATACCAACAAAGCATTTTCAGTCTTAAATGACCAAATTTATCAAACTTTCCTGCAAATGATGTTGGACTAGTTTTGTATTAACATCTGCCACCACCCCACAATCCTGACTAAATATGGCTGTGATATTCTTTTTTATTTAGAGCACAAAAGATGAAATAGCACCCAAACTACATGCTCAAGAGCTTTATGAAGATGACTATGTTTCTGTGGACCCATCAAGTGTGACAGATCATCAGATGTCAACATCTTGTCTTCTTCTACAGCTTCATAAAGACTTCATACGATGCCTTCCTGTTCATCTGTCAAAGCTTATACTTAGCTATTTAGATAAAGCAAGCTTGGTGAACTGTTTGTGCATCAGTAGACATTGGAGAATGCTGTGTGAAGAGGTACAGCAAGATGTCCTTGTGCATCAAATTATGGTAGAAGAAGTTATGATGATGCAGGTAAAAGAAATGTGCACATTTAATGAATATGAAAAATTTTGTAACAATAAACGTGTTTGTTTTTAAGTTTATTTTTATTTTTAAACATGTTTATATTCCTTAAAAATTTTTCGTGTTAATCAAGTGTGCATTATCAATGGTTCTTTTCAAAGTTACGTGTATGGTAAATGAAATAACTAGCCACCCTCCCCGCGGGATAAGATGTCCTTTTTTGCAGGTAAATTAATTAAATTCACCTCCACCCCACCCCTACCCCCCGTGGACGGATAGCGTCCACCATTTTGATTGTCGTTTTTAGAGAATAGGAAAAGAAGTAGAGAGGCTAGCCGTTTTTTTTACTCATAGAATGCAAATATATCGGCGTTCAATCATTGGAAAAACAATGAATAGAATTAATTTTCCAAAGAAATGAATAATACTTTTGCATTGTAGGAGTAAAAAGATCGGGCTGGCCTACCCACTAATGGAAAAGGGTATTTAAACGGACAATATAATAATTATGATCAAAATATCTGCGTGCATAGTATGCACTGCATACACCAAATATGTAGAATCATTTTTGTTCACTGAGATGGAGTTTTTCGTTATAAAGATCATTGGTGATCTACAATGGTGGCGTTGCTAACCTGCAAGTTTACTTGTGCCTTATTATTATTGATCTTAAAATCAAATTTTCTTAAGGCTGTTAAGACATTTTCTTAAGACACGATCCGGTTGTTTCAATTCCGACTTTTCGTTGCTTGTTCAGATGGTCCGATAATAGTTTGTTGATATTTATATTCCTTTATATATTTATAGCCGTTTGAACAGCCATTTGTGTTATGCAGTATAAATTTATCGATTATATATCGAAAAACTTGTTCCAAGTCTTTTTCAAATCTATGTAATTTGGCTAGTCGGCTTCCTTTAATCTTGTCGGATGAAAATAGAGCAAGTTCACTTTATATTTGTTCACACGATCCGTTTTTTAGGATCCGACAAATCGTTTCGTATGAACGGGCCTTTATAGTGACTGATAATAGAAAAATTTTCTCTACCTGTTAGCTACTAGCAGCTGTTGTCTCTTTTATTGTCTCACGTTAGTGGCTGCCGAGAAACACAAAAAAATAAAACTTGACATTTTTGTGACTACTCGATCATCTCTCTTGTTTAAAGTCATTAAAAAAAAACTTGAAAAGGAATCTGAAGTTGATTCGTGGTGACGAGATTGAAGTTTATTATAATTTAAAAAATTCCAAATTCCACAATGCCGTATGATCTTTTGCACGGACAGAGGCAGACTCATATACAGCAATCTTGTGTCACTGGCAGTTAGCGTTTGGGAAATTTAATTGCAAAGCTTATTCTTAGATTTACATTTTAAAGCAGTTCAATTGTTAAGATTACATTCTATAAAAATTTTAATCACCTGTGGCGTATAACCAGCCTGCAACTTTATTCATACTGTGTAAGTTTTTCTTTGTTCACTCACTGTGAAAACAATAGATTTGTAAAAAAAAATAATGCTAGTGATTTAATTAGACCTTGCAGGCTGGTCAAGTTTCTGCATTACTAAAGACAATGTTGAGAAAGTCTTTTCAATTGAAAATAAATGTTCCGAGCTAAGAAAGAAACAAACCTTTGTCGTAACTGAGTGGGAGGCGGTTAAACAATGGGAAATGGCCAGCCTCCTTTGTGCCATCTGTTTCAGTGACCTCGAAAGACTGATCTGATTTAAAGTTCTTGTCAAGTTTTGTTTTTAAGGCTTTTCCAAGCTTGATGATTATCGTCTATTGTAGGGAGCTACAGCCAAGGGACTTTCCGCAAATTATGCAAAGTGTTTGAAAGTTTACATTCCAAAAAATGAGGATGAAGATATACGCGATGAAGCAGATGCTGACTCGGCAAATCACACGAATTTAACTTTATTACGACGTGCAGACGAGTTGAAATTCAGGTACAGTTTTTAATGAATTAAATTATTATTTGTACAAATTACCAGATAAAGTACAAAGTTAAAAGGTTTGTTGATGAAGAAGTTATTTTTGGTGCAGGGGAAGTGGAGAAAGTTATTGCAAAAGGCAATAACGTAAAATTTTTCCTCGAATGGTAACCACCCTTTTTATGTGGGTGGAGGGCACAGTAGCTCTTGTCTTCTTTAACAACCGTTTCCCAGGTAACCAGAGTACACAAATTCCTAGGAGTATGGCATATTGCTATGAAGGTATGGAAATAACCGATGTTTATATGGAAGAAAGAAATCTGTTTTGCGGTTCGTACAATGTGTTTGTCCTGAAGGATTCCGAAGATCCTAACCGCTGTGCGACGTATAACGGTGGCTCGTACGTTGCAGTCGGCTCATCGGATCGCCGAGTAAAGTTGATCAACGTCTCGACAGGTCGAATTGAAAAGATTATCCGTGGTCATTCGGGCTCCATTCGTAGTGTCTTCGTTAACGAGAAACGCGGCTTTATCTTGAGCGGTAGTTATGATACATCGATCAGGTATGGAAGTCTGTAAGCATTAAGTAGGAATGAAAGGACGTATTTAAGGACATATTTAAGGACGTATTTAATTACTATTACATGCGTATTTGAATATATGCCCCAACAATCTTAAGTCTGCTACGCCATTGGAATAGCTAAAAAGGGCTGGGAAAACTTATACTCTTAAGTTGGAGCAGTGTGCTAAACTCTTGCTTCTACCCTCACCTCCCTGAAAATTCCCTCTTTGTGCATGATTTTGTGGCAATGTCTCAGCTTTTCTTCCTTTGATTCTCTGATGTAGACTGTGGGACTTGCACAGTGGGAAATGTTGTTGCATTTTTAGAGGGTAAGTGACTCGTTACTTTGATTGCCTTCAATTCTCCAACGATTTGTCATCAGGACAGAACTATGCTATAGCGTTAATATTCGTTCCTCAGGAGCTTTTCTTGTTGCATTTAAAAAACATTTAAATAACTCCAGCTAAATCGTGTTTGTTCGCTCATTTCAGGAGATGTTCAACTCTGCGAACAATGCAGTTATAATTTTTTTTAACCCCACAGTTTAACAACATTTTGGAGAGACTAGCTTTTCAGCTGGGGTAAAGAGTTTAGTTCACAAATAATGTGGACAAAGACTACTCTTTCGAAAAGCTTATACACAAGACGCCCATCAGGAGTTCACTCGAAATACTCGAGAACAGTGTTTGGTTGTACTTGCGTTTTACTGTAGTAGCCAATTAGCACAACGAAATTCGCGACAATGCAATCTTACATGTGAATGTGACAGTATAATTAGCAAGCAAATTTTTTTTCATTTTCCGTGTCATTAGTTACATTCCCGAGTAAAACAATCCAAAAAAGATTTTGATTGGTTGATTGACGTCGTGTTAGTCACGCATGATTTATGTACTTTCGTGACAATACGTGAAAATCCGAATTTGAAACTCGAGTTTCCCTTCGGTATTGCGCGAGTAATTAAACGTGATGTCACAGTTTGGACATTTGAATAATAAAGAAATTTCTACATCTCTTGAAGGAAGTAAGCGGGCACAAATAAACTAAATAAATGTTTAATTTATTTTGAATGTTTTTTGCAATGCATGGAGTGTACTGTTCAGTAAAAATTGGTCTCATAAACAAGAGCGTAAAGTCTGCGGATTTAAAGAGGTGGCCTACCCTCCCTGAAGATTTAAGGTTAGCCGTTTTTGGCAAAACCTAGTAACTTGTAGGTCATAGCATGTTTTAAGAACAACGAATTTCTGGGAAATTCAAATATACACCGCCTTTGTATTCGTTGGGGCAAATAAATTGCTCTCTACGCCATTCTTAAAACACAACTCACGCGCTTGGTCTATAACAATCAATCAATTAACACCCCAATGTTTTCATTTTAGTCATCAGGGCACCGTTTTATGTATTGCACTCGAAGGAAATGTCGTCGCTTCAGGCTCCAGAGACAAAAGTGTCAAAGGTAACGTCGTTTTGAGAACAAATATATACGTTTAGCTTAGCCATTGAGCTTGACTTATTTTTCGAGATAATTTTAACAGTGTGGAACATTGATACGGGAAAATGTCGACGTACATTTCGTCATCGTCACGTTGTCCAATGTGTCGAGGTTTCGGAATGTCTTGTGGTCAGCGGGTGTCAAGGATGCAAAGTAAAAGTCTGGGACATAGAAGCGGCAATTTTGATTAAGGTGCGCATTTCCCATTGTTTGATTTATGCAGCACAATGTTGCTCAGATATGCACATGTTACCTAATGTTCATTGTGTGGGTCAATGTTTACCTGTAAGTCCATGTTCACCTGCAGGTCAATGTTTACCTGCAGCTCAATGTTTACCTGTAAGTCCATGTTCACCTGCAGGTCAATGTTTACCTGTAAGTCCATGTTCACCTGCAGGTCAATGTTTACCTGCAGCTCAATGTTTACCTGTAAGTCCATGTTCACCTGCAGGTCAATGTTTACCTGCAGCTCAATGTTTACCTGTAAGTCCATGTTCACCTGCAGGTCAATGTTTACCTGTAAGTCCATGTTCACCTGCAGGTCAATGTTTACCTGCAGCTCAATGTTTACCTGTAAGTCCATGTTCACCTGCAGGTCAATGTTTACCTGTAAGTCCATGTTTACCCGCAGGTCAATGTTCACCTGCTGTTCAATGTTTATCTGTAAGTCCATGTTCACCTGCAGGTCAGTGTTTACCTGCAGGTCAATGTTTACCTGCAGGTCAATGTTTACCTGTTAGTCCATGTTCACCTGTAAGTCCATGTTCACTTGCAGGTCAATGTTTATCTGTAAGTCCATGTTCACTTGCAGGTCAATGTTTATCTGTAAATCCATGTTCACCTGCAGGTCAATGTTTACCTGTAAGTCCATGTTCACCTGCAGGTCAATGTTTACCTGTAATTCAACGTTTACCTCTAAGTCTATGTTTATCATTGAAGTGAATTTATCATTTATTGTCCGGCATGCATTGCGCAAATGTTGCATTTTGCAAATAGTCGACTTCTGACACCAGTAGCGAGAGAAAGATTTTGACACAGTGCAACAATGCCAAACAATTTCAGCGTAATCCGAATGTGGGAGGATCATTGTGAAAAAATCTTTGACCATGTTTGTTTAGTTCATTTGGTCTCTTTGCAGTCTTAGCATCAGTAAAACCAATTTGACACTAAGGTATTGAAAGAACTGTGGAAACTGTAATTTGACTTTTTATGCAAACCTTTCTTGGTGACATATTTTCAATTCTGTGATATTCTTTCTAATCAGGCATATTTTGACTTGCAGTTTTCTAATTAACATTCTTAAGATTCGTATATTCTTGCAATTAAGATTCTTATGTTTATGCTGGTATATATAGCATTTTATGGTTTTGTTAAATTTCACGATCTGCCCAATTGTAGTAATGTAGTTATTTCTCTCAATAATTGTAAAAACAAACTTGATTTTTAAGTTTGTTAAAGTGGAGGACAAAATTTGATTCTATTGAATATCTCTATCAATTTATTATGTCTCCACATTAAAAATGTGTGTCAACCAAGATGCATTGCGCGTTAATCACAGCGTGACAAGGTGACAGCCATTTTGTTGGTCGAGAAAATGGCAGATTTTGTTAATGTAGTCCGTGCAATTAAAAAACAGATTAATGTAAAATAAAGTTTTAAATCAATGTTTTTTTTGTTAACTTTTCATATCAATTTGACGACGTTGTGACGAAGTTGAATTTAATTTGCCGCAAACTCAAAAACTAACAATGTAAATATAAACAAAAGCGCGCAATGCATCTTAGTCGACGCACAAGCTTGGACTCAAAAATCAACTATCCCGTATTTCATTCATTTCAGAGTCTTGATGGTCACCAGTGTACCATTACTGGAGTCACTTTCAACCATTACCATATCGTGAGTTCAAGCACTGACTGCTATGTGTTAGCCTGGAGTACGATTGGCAGACATACCAAATGTCTGCAGGCATTTCGGCATCCAAAGGCGGTTCATTGTGTAAAATTGATGTATTGTAGAGTTATAACTGGTTCAGCCGATGGCAAGGTAGTTTATATGACATTGGCTAAATTCAGCTGTCAGTTTACAATGCGTCTGCTGAAATTTTTAACTTAATAAGGAGCATTTTTGCTAGTAGTGGATCCAGTTTTGGTCGAAATAGACTATAGATGCTGAATAGTATAATCGGATTGTCGTCAGAACATTACTGTTTATCATGAATTTCGAAAGAATGGAATTACACCAAAAACCAATCGCGTTTTTCTTAATATATTTGAATTTAAAATTGAGCAGCTATAATTTATTTTGACGAGCGCTAGATCCGCTACTGAACGTAAGAAAAATTACAACAATTTTATTAGATATAAAACTAAAGTCTGATGTTACGCTTCTTGTAAACTTAAGATATAAGTTAGCATAATTCTTTAGACCAAATGGAATGAAAAATAACAAGCAGAAAGGATGTTTCATGCGAGCAATACCAATTAAATGATCACATAATATGATTTCATTTATCTTACAATAACAGATCAGATATGTGCGTTCGTTATGACACATACTTCATGTTAGTGGCAGCGGCATTTAATCACATCTTTATTTTACCGAACATTACAAATATTAAATACACCTGATAACAATTTTTTATATTATCTTAATAACAATTACTATCATACGTATTGAAATCTATGCGCAACAAAATGGTGAAATAAAAATCATGTGCCTAAAATTTCTGAGCATCTGATTGGATGTATCATTTTCTTCACTTGTGAAAAACGTCGTATCTGCATTCTGATTGGATATATCATTTTTTTCACTAGTGAAAAAATGCATATCAAGTTTTATCACGAACGGCTAACCTTATGAAAATTAAAGAAAACAAAAACTATCTTTTTTGATTTCATATATCAATGGCTTTGCAATTTGCCAAGAAACTATCCTCGAGCTTATTCAATACAAATGTTACGAAAATGATACAAACAGCAGGATCTTGTATTTCTTCGGTGATTTTCTGTTCATCGTCGAAACATGACTTTCGCAGCATGGACAATGTTCCCGTCAAGCAACATAATAAATATCCAAGCAAGTTTATTAAAATTCCTTCCGAAAGAAAAAAAAATGTAAAAAACGAACCTAGTTCCTTCGTAAGAAAGGAATTGCCTTTCATAATGTTAAGACAGAAACGGCGGAAAAACTAGTCATTCCCGGATGAACAATTTATTTGTGTTATTGTATTTTTTATGCAAATTAAGTGATTGTTTGAAGCGTTTGACATTGTGCTATATCATCGGCGAAAATTTCACTATAATCTAAAAATTTCAATACTCGTATGATAAATAGATTACTTCATGGTTGGTTCGTTTGTACGATTTTTATAACGCACTTGTTGAGAAGTATTGAAAACAAACTCGTTCGCTGCGCTCATTCGTTTGTTTTCAATACTTCTCAACTCGTGCATAAACATCGTACGCACTTACCAACCATGCAGTAATCTATTAATATATGATGTGATACTTCGTTTAAGAATGACTTGGAATGAAGTCGAACTGATAACGAGAAATTTTTTGTCGTGTTACAAATGAACCGACATAACAACTTCATTTCTTTTGATTTTAGTTAAGAATATGGAGCCTTTTGACTGGAGATTGTCTGCGTATAATTCGTGGAAACAGCAAGAATGACGTCATTTCTAGTCTTTATGTGGTGGATGACAGGTAAGCCAGTTTAAACCAGTGTTGAATAAAACAGGGTTTCTCTGTTTTTAAAAATATGATATTTTTACGAGATTTCGGCCTTCACTCTACAGCCTTCGACAGGTACTAAATAAAGATAGAATTGCAAACATCTCAATAAAAATGACAAGAAGACATAGAAATGTATGTCTCTTCTAAAATCTGCTCTAATTACAGAATTGTCATCAATACTCTGAGTAATTTGTTGGTGTTGAATTTTGAGGCCGTCGTGTGGAACTATGACTTACTGCCTGATCGACCCGAATCTCTAGGCACATTGAATAACTTTGCTGGTGCCCCACCTAAATGTAGGTCTCGTGCCTACGTCCGAGCACAGAAACTAGTACGTGGCACCGCGGAGGTTGACAAAGTACTTGAGCCTGCGCTATCGGCGCTATCTCTCAGCTGTCTCCTCGAGAGATCCATTAGTACAACTGCGCTTCATAGGAAGAGCGTTGGGCGAATTTCTAGTGCACCAACTCATATTACTCGTCAGGTGAACAATAGCATTGAACAACATGTACAGCGGTTGCACCGAGCCAGGACACCAGCAGTAGTCGAAGTTGGACATCCTAGAAAGTCACGTCCACAATCATCGCCGGCGTACATGCAGTTTAAATATGGACAAGTGAAAAATGGGCAGAAAATGAAAGAACGTAAGTTGCTACGTTTCTTTCAATTTGAAACGCGGAAATCTTCTCGATTTTTCAGTTATTAGTTAAAGCCTTGCTAAGACCAATTTTTCTTGACAAATTCCTTTAACGTGCTTGTTGCTATGCTCACTTGGCCACTATTAAAGGGAAATTTGAGAGGGAAAATGCTGATCAAAGCAGTGTCTTGAATCACCGTAATTTCTTTGCAGACGACTTATCAATACCACAAAGCGTTCGACCAATGAACCTCAGCAGATCACGTGTACTAACCACGAGTCTATCTGTGCCCACGTTACAAACGCCAGTCACAGTTGGTCAGCATCAAGGATGGACCACATCTGCCAAAGATATAGTGATGCCTCAAAATAAACTGATGCTCACAGCCGCGAAAGCGCGAGAACTCGTGAAAAGACGATCTCAGACCGCTGACTCAACGAAAGCTAGTCCAGTCCCAGTTTTTCAGAAACAAACAAGGAAAGCAGAAGCATCAAGAAAGTGTGTAGCTAATGAAAAACCTGTTTCTTGTTTGAATCTCAGGACTTTTAGTCAACAATTAGAAAACAACAGGATCCATCAAGATGAGAAAAAACGAGCTCGAAAAACTTCGTCGATTAGTCAAGTACTTAGACCCCAGCCTTGTTTGACGTAAGAAATCTCTAAAGATGGCTGCTGAAAGATTAAAGAAATATCAGCTTAGTCTGCTGACAACATCGCAACGAAGCATGACGTCAAAAGGTCTGACGTGAATGAATCTGAAGTCTAATTATCTAACGTATGTTCATTCCTTGTTTAGAAGTCCATTTCGACTTCATAACACCGGGTTTAAATTGCTTGATTGCTGGCACGTAAATAAATCCCATATTTCCATTCGCAACTTTGCCAGCAGAAAGATGTGAAACAGTTGTCTAAATGATGACTTCCATTCAGTGCTTCCATTAAGCTGAACATCACTACAATATTAAAACTTCTTGCGAGTATTGTGGACAATGGAAAGTATACCTATTACACAAAGCAATATATTAACATTTTTATAGTATATTTTGTATTTTTAAATGATTCTATAGAGAAAATAGTAAATAAGCTTAGTATGAATATAAAGTAAATGAATAATAGATGTGTATTTCAGGTTGCAAGTAAGAAAAACATTGCGATTTTTAAGTAAAAATTATACAGGAAAAGACTTTGTTTGTGAAAAAAAACCAAATTATAAAAGACTGTATGTCAATATTCACAGAGCAAAATAAAATTAACTATAATAATGAAATCATGTTAAACTGAACTAGCTTTATTCATTTGTCCACCACAGTACATGAACCGAGATCACTTCATTGATATTTTTGTGTCCCGCACATCTTGTTAAGCATGTGATTATCATAGTGGCAGCCAGTAGATTTCATTTCTGACAAATGACAAAACTGAAATGGCTAACTGCATCCTTTGATGTAATTAAATAAGCAGCGCAGTGGTGTACAGCAAAGTGGCCCTAATGTTTTCCCAGTTCTGTGGATAAACAGCCTCTTCAGTACATCGTGCCATCAACTGTAAAATCAACTGAAGCGGTAACTTTATACACATAATATACGATAAAAAGATATCAAAAACTGAAAATATTTTATGTCTTTGTTTCCTTTGCTATTTCCATGACTGGGGTTACCTGCAAAGTCATGCATAGCTTTCACGCACCACGCATGCTCTTTAACTTACGAATTATGACGTAATGCTGTACGATATGTGATAATTCTCTTTATTTCTATACAATCTATTAAACTTTTTGTGCAATGCTTCATCTGTGGAAGACGCCAAATCTGTGTCCTTTCCTCAGGCACACATAACCGCCCAAAGTAAAGAAATGGCGACGATAAAAAATACGTAAGATGAGCCAAGAGAATTGTTCGGCGGTAATTTAAAAGGTGTACCTCCCACCTCGGGACTGCCAAATCCAATTGGAAATATTATTGATGCGAGTAATAACTGCATCGCTGTCAACATAAAACGTTATAATGCTTTTGTGAGAACAGAACAGAGTTCAGCTACTTTTGGCCGCAAATAGTATGAAGTATAAGCCTTGGCAAAGGAGAAGGTAAATCGTTCACCTCTCTTTTCTTTTACATGAGCAATTTTTTGGGGGGGTCGTACGAACGATAGACACGACTAAGAGGTACTATGGGATACTAAAGGATGGTATGGGACAGGGACTGCATTGAAGTAACACCAACACTACTGTCGCTAACATTAACACCTATGACATGCACTGATGCACATCAGCACACGCGCATTTACCATGACACTAAAGGCCATTTTCCATTACGGTCACTTCGCCCGCGCGGGCGGTTTTTTAAGTAAGCGCATGCGTATAAACAGGTTATGAAACCTGTACACTTGGATGACGGGTAAGCAAAGTTTTCACTTTTCACGCAATTTCCAACAAAATTACGACTATGCTTTGAAATAAATTGTTTGATTTGTTTCTTTTGGATCATAATGTGCACATATAAGTAAGGGCCACCACAGTTTTTCTCAATTCTATTTTCATAAACGTTTCTGCCTTCTAAGTTGCATAGAAAATACAAATTTCAAAATATGGTGGAAAAATCCTTACACGCTCTGTGGTCAACAGATCCAGTTTAATGTTGGAAATAAGACATGATCAAGCAACTACAGTATGAGTACAAGTTGTAAATGTAGATCGTCCAGGTTGGTATAGTCCTGAGAAGGACTGTTTTTGTTGTTGTTGACTGACGTTTCGACAACCTTAGCGGTAGTCATTTGACTATGAAGATGACTACCGCTAAGGTTGTCGAAACGTCAGTCAACAACAACAAAAACAGTCCTTCTCAGGACTATACCAACCTGGACGATCGATATTTACAAACATGTAACGGTACTCCCTGGTTCAAACCATTTACTTTAGTATGAGTACAAGGTATCAGGTAAATACACTTCGCATATGAATGCCAGGCAATAAAAGTAATTTTGTCATATAATATCATCCAAAACCCTGCAAAACAACTTGGTTCAAAGTAATTTAATACAACACAACCAAAACTATAACATAAACTATTTTGCAGGGAATGCCAGTGCGTAAATATCATTAACTGACTTCAATTTGAAAGCAACTCACCTGCAACAACAGAGACCCACTTTCCATAATTGAAAATCCTTGGTTTCCATAGTGATATGAAAATGAGCACACACGTGATGGTCAGGGATAAAATACCAAGTATGAGAAACACAAGAGTTGCTTTCCAAGAATCAGAAAGTTTGGGAGTTACACATATCTTGTCACCATGCATTGGTTTTTGACATAACTTTGTAAGACCAAATGTTGCATGACCTACAAACAGTGTCAATTTTAGATTATGGGATTATTGTTATTAGTACCATAACTGGTTTTATAACAATAGGTCAATAACAAATGTTATTTGTTCATTCACTCGAAAGTGTAGCTAGCCGGTGAGATGTTAGTGGTGCTATGTAAATTAACAATGTAATAATCATTATTCTTGCTTTTAGAAATCTATTGTTTTCACAGTGAGTAAACACTGAAAATTTTACATAGAAGGACTAAATAAGCTGGTGGGCCTTGCATTTTTACTTCTACAATGCAAGATTTTCAGCAAAATAATTATTTATAGTACTTTAGAAAATTAATTCTATTCATTGTTTCTCCAGTAAATGAACAGAAACAATGAAGCACTGATTGAATGGAAAAGGAAATGGGATTCAACACAGTATTTTTGATGATTCTAATTGAACTTTTCATCTGCGAACACAAAAATAATTCTGTGTGTTTATGTTTAAAATATCAACACAAAATCAAAATGCTGGGATCCACACCCCTTAGGTATTCCTCATGAATGTATCCGAAGAGCAATGAATCATCACTCAACCCTTGTAATCCCATATTTTCCTTGTCAATACATAAATGCTGCTCTTATATCACAATATAAAGAATAAACAGCAGGAGGACTTCATGGTGATACTTAGTGCTGTATATTTGTTTAGATGGCAGACTGGCAGTTAGCCAGCTCAAAGGTGGTCGGACCCATGCATTTGACTAGTTGTCATCATACATACGTGTCTACGTACTGCATATTCAGAATACAGTGTATACTGTGTAGTGTGTGCCTATTTCCCTAGCTTTCATTTACTCACCCAGAAAATCATTGACAACCCAGGACGGCGTCAACAAAGATACGACGGCAAACACATCTGCCAACGCGCACATTGATCCCCCGACAATGGCAACTTTATACACACGACGAGGCATGACTATAATTCAAAATTCAGGAAATTTTTACCAACTTCAAACTTTTTTGTTTTGGCTAAAAGATATTTAGAAACATTGGATGGTCACGAGCAGCATTTGAAAGTGATAATTCAAGTTTTTCATATTCAAGCGTAACAAAGTGACAAACGATGAAACGAAATTAATAAATTATGCGATGATGGTAACGGTAACTAAGCAACAACTTCCCCATGCACTCTCCCCCTCCCCCGGTAATTTACAATTTCTGCTACAAATCATTCAGAACTACAGAGTCTTTCTTGCAGAAGATTTACAAACTTAGTAAAATAAATAAATGAAATGGAGAATATGTTAAACATGCTTAGAGTTTGAAAATATGTTTAAAAGAAACAATTGTCTGTGGCAATGTCATTTGTGCTCCCAAAAACTGGGAAGATTTTATTATATAAATTATATTTACTAAAATACGAGTTTTAACGTGTAACAATTTTCTTTACTTACACGAAATGCAAGTCGAAAAAATTTTTCAATTCAAAGACGACAAAAAACGCCTCAGTGTTAAAATTCTTGAGGTATGTATAATTTTTCACTACTTGATGACTGATTCTTTCCGACTAGCACTTTGATAGCGATGAAAGGGAGGGGGAAGGCCAAAGGGGTGCTAACCCTACTGGCTACTCAAACAACTTGTTACAGTTTGTCCCTATTCTGTCTAATAAAGTTCTCTTTGTACAGCTTCCATTTAAGTCCTAAGATTATTGTTGAAACATTTTCATTAATTTGCATAGACATAGAGTTATGCATCAAGTGGTGTGAAAATGGTTATTTTGGCCAGTCAAACCACGTAAAAGGGCTAATTTATGATTTTTCAAACTATAGCTTTGAAAATTTTTATTAGAGCTATTTCCTCCTCTTGCTGGCAACTATTCTACTTACACGTACATAATGCCTACAAATCATAACATACTGAGCCACATCTCAATTGACAAGGGGTGCTCATTTGACTGGGGGGGGGTGCAGATTTTCCAAGAGGTTGCATCACTGTCGTAGCTAAACATATAAGAACCATGGATTATTGCAGATGTATATGAATACCGATGAGTGAAACTTGCTTATTGAATGTGTTATTAGCTTTTTAAGGATTTTTTATAAAGTTTATAAAATTCTAAATCCTAGTTGAGTAGCTGCAGTACTTTTTTAAAAAATCATTTAAGCTTCATAAATTATGTATCCAAATATTGACAACTATGAGTGAATGATAAATGCATGCATAGCTGCTTTCCCACAACCAGTGACCAAAAAAAAGAGCAAATGATGTTGACATGAAAAAGTAACAAGCTACTTTGTGTTTTGTAATTTATTTCAATTTTAGTGTTTTGATCATAGTTACTCAATAATTGTAGCATGGCAGTTACTCAATTGTTGTAGCATGGTAGTTAATCAATTGTTGTAGCATGGTAGTTATTCAATTGTTGTAGCATGGTAGTTACTCAATTGTTGTAGCATGGTAGTTACTCAATAATGGTAGCATGGTAGTTACTCAATTGTTGTAGCATGGTAGTTACTCAATTGTTGTAGCATGGCAGTTACTCAATTGTTGTAGCATGGTAGTTACTCAATTGTTGTAGCATGGCAGTTACTCAATTGTTGTAGCATGGTAGTTACTCAATTGTTGTAGCATGGTAGTTACTCAATTGTTGTAGCATGGTAGTTATTCAATTGTTGTAGCATGGCAGTTACTCAATTGTTGTAGCATGGTAGTTACTCAATTGTTGTAGCATGGTAGTTACTCAATTGTTGTAGCATGGTAGTTATTCAATTGTTGTAGCATGGCAGTTACTCAATTGTTGTAGCATGGTAGTTACTCAATTGTTGTAGCATGGTAGTTACTCAATTGTTGTAGCATGGTAGTTACTCAATTGTTGTAGCATGGTAGTTATTCAATTGTTGTAGCATGGTAGTTACTCAATTGTTGTAGCATGGTAGTTACTCAATAATGGTAGCATGGCAGTTACTCAATTGTTGTAGCATGGCAGTTACTCAATTGTTGTAGCATGGTAGTTACTCAATTGTTGTAGCATGGTAGTTACTCAATTGTTGTAGCATGGTAGTTACTCAATAATGGTAGCATGGTTACTCAATTGTTGTAGCATGGCAGTTACTCAATTGTTGTAGCATGGCAGTTACTCAATTGTTGTAGCATGGTAGTTACTCAATAGTTGTAGCATGGTAGTTATTCAATTGTTGTAGCATGGTAGTTACTCAATTGTTGTAGCATGGTAGTTACTCAATAATGGTAGCATGGCAGTTACTCAATTGTTGTAGCATGGCAGTTACTCAATTGTTGTAGCATGGCAGTTACTCAATTGTTGTAGCATGGTAGTTACTCAATTGTTGTAGCATGGTAGTTACTCAATTGTTGTAGCATGGTAGTTACTCAATAATGGTAGCATGGCAGTTACTCAATAATGGTAGCATGGTAGTTACTCAATAATGGTAGCATGGTAGTTACTCAATAATGGTAGCATGGTAGTTACTCAACTGTTGTAGCATGGTATTTACTCAATTGTTGTAGCATGGTAGTTACTCATTTGTTGTAGCATTGTAGTTACTCAATAATGGTAGCATGGTAGTTACTCAATAAAGGCAGCATGGTAGTTACTCAATTGTTGTAGCATGGTAGTTACTCAATAATGGTAGCATTGCAGTTACTCAATTGTTGTAGCATGGCAGTTACTCAATTGTTGTAGCATGGTAGTTACTCAATAATCGTAGCATGATAGTTACTCAATTGCAAATTGTGGTAGCATAAAATATGTAATTGCCTTTGAAATGATAAGTCGCACTTTTTCAGAACAATTCGCTCAGTCTTTCAGAACAATTTTCTAGTAATGCTTTTAAGTTATGATATATGGCTTTTAAATATTTATCTCAATGAAAAACTTGCAACATAGTATATCATTATATTGAAGGAGTTCATCTTTACCTTAGGTGGTGGATCCTCAATATGGCTTATTTACTTGGCCCAGTGCTATTGTTCTTGCACAGTATGTGTGGTTCTACCGTGAGAAACTACAAGACAAGTCAGTTATAGAGGTAGAGCTTTTTCTTAAATGATTATATAAATATGACTAGAGATAATAACATTTCAATTGTGAAAGCTATTTTCAATATGTCCACTGATAACGTCGCATCTCACGAAATCAATATTCACCTGCTGACTAAACATATGCATTTCTATAATGTTGGATGACGTTTATGTTTAGTTTTGAGAAGAAGTTTTGCTTAAGAAATTTGTATAAGTTTCCGAATGTTTTGAAGGGAATGGAAGAACGTCTAATAGTTTATCTCCACATTGGTTTGTTTATTTTATTGTTTGTGACATGGTTCATTGATTGGCTAGATCAGGGTCTCAAATGATCAATCCACCCGCAGAGGCACAAAATAATAATATTATTAAACAAAATAAACTTTGTGCAGAAAGTTCACGTTATGTCGCAAGCCAACTAGCAAGAGTGTCTTACGTCAATTTTTCTCCCAACTTCCTACTTCCGTTTCAAGCACATTGCGAAATTTAAAACGCTGAAAGATAACGTGGAAATTTTCTATATTCTTCGGCCCTCAACATGCTGGATGAAAGTTCATGTGGCCCTCTGGCTGTAATGTTTGGAGACCCCTGGGCTAGATGATGGTAGCATACAGGAAAAGTGTTTGTGTATGTTTGTAGGGGGCTACACTCCCAGCTGGAAATGTTTAAGGCAATATTGATGTAGGGCAACATTGATCATTAATGATATGATTTTCATATTCTTTTTTATCTCGCGAAATACGTTGGCAGTAGGCGTGTTGGTCGGTAAAATATGCGCTTTGCACCCCTCCACCCTGTTCAAAATTTCACACACCCCCCCTTAGATGGTAGTTTAATCGTGAAGAAGTCCTTATCAAAGAAGTCTTTATTCTTAGTTCTGTTTTCACTCATGACGTTTTAAAGCGTTTGCTGGAGATGCTTAATAAACGAAAAGACAAACACAGATAGTTCACTTGATTTTATTTCTAGCCGTTCATGTCTTGTCAAATTATACTTCAATGTTTTCCTTATAATATAATCTAGAAATTATAATCTTTATTAAAATTAAGTTTCTAAAAAGAAACTAAATCCAACTACTACTTAAGGAGAGATGCTTAGCGTCGTCTATCTGAGGCTGAGCCACTCATTTGTCCGGCTTCTATCTGGACCACTACCTTTTCTTGGTTTCTTCGCGAATTATCTCCCTTCCTTGGTTCTGTTAAATATTCTCCTTGCCCAGACCTATATCTGAACGACCTCTTGCTATTCCTTGCAATGGAACTATTTTTTGTCGTTGTTCTTTAGCTCGGGTGTGGAACTGCCCTTCCAGGTGTTCTTGCTGCTCTTTGCGACGCCAATGTCACTCTAACGGATGGAGAACAGTTCGAAAATTGTCTGAAAAACGCCCGAAAGATCTGTGAGATAAATGGCTTGGGTGATAATGTCAATACGTCGCCGCTAACATGGGGATCGTTCTCCAAGACTTTATTGGAGATGCCAAAATTTGACTTCATACTCGGATCTGATTGTTTTTACGACCCTAAAGGTGATGCGTGCGCAACGATTACACTGGTCAACAGCAAATTTGGTGTCTCAGTTTTGTAAACTGATTTTGGACAATTTTGATGTGCTGAGTCCAAAAATAACACTATTTTTGCTGGGTCAGGTCGAGATTTTAAGCTATCGTTAATTTTGTATTTTTTAACTTTTAAATACCCGAGAAAGGTACAACAGAAGTATTAACCATTTACCTTTTAATGTTCTATTATCTGAACAAATTTAAATTTTTTTAGCACTAGCAATACAAAGAAGAAAGCATTTGAATAAGCAATTATTGATTGAATTTCAATTAGGGAGTTAAGGTTTTGCGATTATTATGGGATATTTAAAGATAAAATAAGGCTTTATTTAGCCCATACTGGAATTCAATGGTAAAACTTGTTAAAACACACCAACATATTAATGTAAGTAAAACTAATAAAAGTAGAAATAATAAAAATAAGCCAGATGTTTTTGCTATGTTTGTGGTGAATACACTTGCACCAAATCGCAATACTGTCACCACCTTTATCAAGCGCGTTTACTATGCATATTTTGGCATGAAGCTCGGCGATCAAGACAAACGTTGGGCACCTCACATGGCTTGCAAAAGATGCACAGAGCATCTCCGTCAATGGAGCAAAGGCACGCAAAGTCCATGAACTTTGGCATCCCCATGATTTGGCGAGAGCCTTAAATCATGCAACCGATTGCTACTTTGTGCTATCAATGTCATGTGAATTAACAGAAAAATCGCACAACACTGGAGTATCCCAATCTACCGTCAGCTATGCGCCCTACTCCTTATAGTGAAGAAATTCCCGTACTTGTATTTGAAGATACAAGTATTGAAGAAAGCAGTAGTAGCCAGGATGAAACTCAAAGCATTGCCACTACCGATGATGCATCCTTTCCCGATGACAATGATGAGCAGCCAAAATTGTTTTCCAAAAACGAACTAAACGATCTTGTTCGCGATTTAAATTTGCCAAAAGACTCTGCCGAACTTCTTGCATCTCGTTTAAAGGACAAGAACATGCTAAATGGTAAAGTTAAGGTAAGTTTCTTCCGTACCAGGCACCAGGGATTTTAAGATATTTTGCTCAAGAAAAGAACTAGTCTATCGCAATGACATAGTAGAGCTACTGAAACATCTCGGAGTACCTGAATACAAATCAGAGGACTGGCGACTTTTATTGACAGCAGCAAAGGTCCTTGAAATGTGTGTTGTTACACAATGGAAATCAATTTGCATCTGTGCCATTGGCACATTCGACAACATTAAAAGAACAGCATGAAGCAATTAAGTACGTCCTAGAAAAATTTCTTATGACCAACATAAATGGCTGATTTGCGTTGACTTAAAATGGTCAACTTCTTGCTTGGTCAACAGTCTGGATTTACCAAATACCCATACTTTTATGCCTCTGGGATAGTAGGGATCGTACTCATCATTACGTGAAAAAGAATGGCCAGTACGTGAAGAGCTTGCTAGTTGTAGAGCAAAAAATGTGATAAACAAGCCTCTAGTTGACAGGGGACGTATTTTATTTCCTCCACTGCACATAAAGTTCGGTTTGATAAGGCAATTCACTAAAACTTTGGATAAAGATGGACGGTGTTTTCAGTTTCGTTGTAAAACCTTCCCAATTTGTCAACTGAAAAATTAAAAGCTGGTATTGATCCCGAAAATCTTGGCTCTTTAAGCGATGAGCAAGGAGAGCGCTTTCACCATGACTTAAGAGAAAGGTGGGACATGGTGATGATGGCGGACTACTGTTGGAATTTAAAAAGAGATGTGCCAGCAACAAAACATTCGCGACAATCAAAAAAAAACGAAAATTTAGACCGTAATAATGCAAACATTAAGTTTTCATTTTAGTTACATGTACTGTACATGAAGTGTACATGATTCTTTCTTGGAATACTGCAATTTTATCATAAAAACTGACATTTTGTTTTGAAACATCTTGAAAACATGTAAATCTTGAAAACATTGTTTTAAAAAAATATAACTAAAGTCGCATAATTTTAAATTCAAATTTGCAAAAATTTGACCTCCGAGAGCAAAATGAATGTTATTTCTAGATTTAGCATAGCAAAAATATAGTAAATCAGTCAAAAAATATCATACACCTTTTAAAAAGTTTCTTTTTGTTGACCAGTGTTATCATTCATGCGTTTCTGTGGTTACCACTGACCACGGTGGTTGTAAAACTAATTAACTTTGATATTATCACTGACCTGTATAATATACATCAGTGCTTCTGGACGTGGCATCTTAGTCAAATGACCATATTTTATCAGCATAATGTATTTCACCAGAAATATGAATGCCATATGCACCAATTTTGATTTACAGTAAAATACTTGCGAACGAGCTAAGGTTCAAATTTTGACAAATTTTTTAGAACACCATAGAAAATGTTACTTTTTTGGGGAACATATAAAAAACTTAGTGCAACTGTACAATTTCATGCAATTTAGTCTCAATTGGATAGTTTATCGATTAGTCAATTTATGATGTTTTCTCAGATTTCGATGCCATTTTATGCACCGTAGCCTTTTTACTTGATCGAAATCCAACAGGTGAATTTTGGAGTACATACCAAGAAAGGAGGTGATTTGAAATTTCTACTTTAGTTCATCAAATATTATCTTCACTTAAAGTGGCATCCTGAATGCACATAGATGTCTCTTTTCGATAAACGAAATTTAACTCGATTCATTCGCTACAATATTTTTTGTGATTTGGTTATATGGTTTTTTTGATTTCAATTTTAGCTGAGATTCTCATACCTAAATTGAAGTTATAGAGTTGGAGCGATTTAAAAAATATTTGTTAAGAACATGGACAAGAAGTATTTTGCTCGCTTTAGCTTAATTTCTGTAAGTTATGTGAAAGGATAGGATAGATAGGATAAGATTTCATTTTAGTTACAAACAATGACCTAGAATCCAATCAATTAGATATTTGAATTTCTATATTTCTATAGCCAAAATTCTATATTTACGAGTGAGTCAAGCTGCCATCTTAGAAGGTGGTAAAACGGACGATATCGACGAATATGCGTATCTGCTTTTTCTGAGTTTATATTCGGTTAAAAAGTTGATAGTCTAAGTTTAATTTTTAAAATGTTTCATAAGATTGGGTTTTTGAACTTTCATCTTATTTTTCATTTTGAGTTTTACTTTTCGCCACCTTTCAAGATGGCGTCCTTGCCTCACCCACTGGCCTCACTTCGCTTTCGGATTAAGACATCTAGGGATTGGGTTCTAAATCATTGGTTATGAACAATGATTTCGAACTAATATAAGAATGAAGTAGAGCAAACATGGGGGATTGGGCCTGAACTTAACATTAAATGAATAATTATTTTGATTATGAATTCATTTTTGTGTCCAAAAATGCACGAAGGTGAAGAAAAATTTTCTCTATTATAGTAAATAGCTACAATGGCAAAACCACTGAGTGAAATACTAAAGTTATTTATTATTTGTGTTTTAGTGCCGATTGGTCTATTGAACTTCTATTGCAAAAATGGAACTTGGTATGTAGGCATGTACCATTCTCTTCGTTTTCGAGAGATTTTATGAATGTCGAGAAAACAAGCGGAAGTCTTACCAGTGTCCAAATGTTGGTCATTTGCCATTATGATTGCGCAAGCAGTGATCGCTCTTTTAAGTAAATTTCAATTTGGTAAATTTCTATTTCTTTTTTTAACCCACTTTAAAGATTCTCCATCGCAGTAATCAGACGATGTATACGACAGTTAAGGTTATTTACGGGGACGATGAAAATTTGTTTAAACATGAATAATTACATGACGCAGGTTGCAAGTTACGTTTTTATCAGTATCAACTTACCCCAGGATGGGTTTGTGATTTTCGGGATTTAGCGGGTAACGTGTCCTACTAATATTACCAAACGTATGTTGAACATATCAACTCATCATTTACTTGTTAAATTGAACACCGCTGACCTTCCAGATGCTAACCGTATTTTACTTTGAGAGATGAAGTTCTTATTAGTTATTCCATACTTGTAACTTATAGAGTGTATTGAAACATTATTTTTTGCTTCGCTGATTTCCAGTGTATTTTGATCAGTTTTTGAAATTTAGTAATTTTTCGCTCGTGTTAGCATTGTTAGCTCACACCAATGATTTAGAACCCAATCCCCTAGATGTCTAACTACCCGCAAAGATGCCATCTTGAAAGGTGGCAAAAAGCAACACTCAAAATGAAAAATAAGCTAAAAGAAGGTTTAAAAAACCAATTCTATTAAACATTTTAAAAATTAAACCTAGACTATCAACTTTGCAACTGAATGCTTTAACTAAGGAAAAGCAGATATTAGTCGTAAAAAGCGTCAGTCTTGCTACCTTTCAAGATGGCGGATTGCCTCACTTGTAACTTTTAAATGTCGGCGGAGTCAGATATCTAGTGCACTGGGTTCGAGGTCATTGGCTCACACCGAGTGAACTATTTTTGATGAAACTACAGGGCTTCCATACTAGTAAAATTCAATTACACAAACATCACCTGCTAAGAGAACTATATTCGCATAAAAATAACAAACTACTACTACTTATTCACAATACTGTGTATTTTGCAACTTGATTGTTTTACGAATATGATAAAAATATTGATTATCTACCAAATTTACAAGATTATTTTATTTGTTGCACTTGAAACAACGTTATAAAAACAATGTACTTTCACAGCTGCACTGTATTTAAAACAAAGTCCTCGCCGTGCATCTCGAGCGCTCTGTAATATTCGGTGAAGTCCACGTAACTTTCTATGAATTCACTATCCGTCTGTCCGGGTTGCTGTTGCACAGCTGGAGAGGCAACATGTGACGGCTCTGAAGCGTTACTGACTGTAGCAGCGTCCTGGCCCCTGAATGGGGGGTCTCTTATCAACCGTGGTTGTGCCCCTTGTGGACTATTGAAGGTTGGTGGTAAAGTAAAACCTCCCGAAGGAACAGGAAATCGGACGAATGGAGGACTGTTTACATCTAAAATATCATACGAATCATCAAGATTTTAAAATGATAAAAATAGGAAAATGTGTGGCGTGCGAAAATTGCATGGTATAAAAACAATCAATGTAAGTAATAAAAAAACTATAAAACGACAACAAAACGATGGAAGGACTACGACTAAAATGACAGCAAAACGATAAAAATAACAAAATAACCATAAAAAGAACAATAAAACGACAATAGTAACAATACCAACGATAAAAATAACAAAACAACGATAAAAACGACGCAACGGTTAAAGTAACAATACAACGATAAAAAATAACAACACAACGATACGACACGTTTTGCAAACAAAAAAATAAAACAAAATAATAAATACCATCGATGTATGTAAAAACGATTAGTTAAAATCATAGATATGTAGAAAAAACTAGATGGCGCATTGCAACGACCAATCAAAAGTAATCGCCAAAGCCAAAGTAATCGGGTTGTTATCACCCGGTTAGTAAGTACCATTTGAGGAGTGAAACCCAACTTTAATATACGACAGAGCTTTGATGACGACATATTTCTGTTATTTTTGGAACTTGTATAAATAGCAGATTTTATGGAAGTAGGGTTATGATTATTGATTAATATTATGATTACTTTTTCGTGTCAAGTGGGACCTTCCAATATGGCGGCTCTGGCTTCACAGAAATAGGGAAGTGCGTTATCCAGTCTGTTTTCAGATTAGTGGTTAAAATGGACGATGTCGCCACAAGAAGGGCTTATATCAGAGTTGGCATTCCAGTTTAAAGCAAAATTCACTCGTTGTAGTGGATACCGTCACAATGACTAAATTACACCTCACGACCGCGCAAACTAAAAATTATTCAAATTGCCTGGGGCCGGTTGCACGAAGCCTGGATAATGTTATCCATTGGATAGCAAAAATCTTCAAACTTGTAAAAAGGTGTTTATATTTTTCTTACGACGAATAAATTTCGTAATCTTTGAAACAATATTTTATTTCAGTTATTGTTCAGCTCGAATCTTATACTTTTTGCTTTTGAAACGGTTTTAAAAAAGTTTAAAAACTTGATATCCATAAGATAACGCTATCTAGGTTTCGTGCAACCCGGCCCCTTAAGTAAACAAAATGTGACTAAACTTGCCTGAGAGCGGGTGGATGCCATCGAGTTTCGACAAGGGACTGGGCGTACGTCCACCAAGACGAGCGTTAAACAATCTTAGTAATAGAGTCATATCGTCCCTGCTTTCACATAATTTATTCTGATTCATAAAGCCGTCGTGATGGTAACGACATATCTTATCAACCACAGCCTGACAAACGCCATTTATCGTGGCTTGAGCCTGAATTTCGTTGTCGATCAAGCGAACAATCTCAACGTTTGCATCATGTTGCAGCACAGTGGAATTCTCCAACGATTTGTAGATACCGTCCGACATTAACACGAGAAAATAGAAAGATTCATCGATTACTAACCCTCCAAAACTATCTGGTTCTCCTATCACTGGTTCTGCTGATGCACCACTAAGGAAAAAAGAAACTTAATGTCACAAACAAAAAAAGCAAAAGTGTTTAGAATAACCTTAGATCCCATACTGTGCTAATATTACATCGATCGTACTTGTGATTGAAACATGGATATTTCCTACCTTAAAATGTCGAATTCTTGGTAGCCCCCTTTCACAGTGTAGTCTCCGATGCATCTTGTCGAATCGTGATTACCAAGTTTAAGACCATGTCTGATACTCTCGATGTCCAAGCCAAGATTTGATAGCCTCATAAGTTCATCTTCATTGCTAATCACGTGATCCGTGCTCAACTAAAGTATACAATAGCCTCATTAGTTCCTCTTTATTGCTAATGGCGTGATTCGTCCTCAAAGAGTGAACTGAAATATTAACTGAAACGCTATCTCCAATACTAGGGCTAGAGGCCACTTTGAAGCCAGCTATGATGCCTTTTTTTTGCGTTTTTAGGCATATTACATAATCTCGTGAGGTAAAACTTGTCATGGCCATCTGTGCTACTGTATTTTATTTAAATCGTTGTTAATTTGTTAAAATAATATCACGGAACTTCTAAAAACGCAGAAAAACTAGCATCAGTATTGGCTTCAAAGATGGCGGTACAGTTACAGTTAATGTAATAGTTCACTGGTTCATCATTATTGCTAATCACGTGATTCGTACTCAACTTAAGTATACAATAGCCTCATTAGTTCATCTTTACTGCTAATCGCGTGATTCGTACTAAACTACAATGAATAGATTATTTTTCCATAAAGCGAAGATACTTTCGAAAATGAGGAGTTGATAACATCACTACAGTTTACACATAACCATCTGTGGCAATCATATAAATTTAATAAAGTTGACAAAGATTCAACATTTAACATCAGATCAATTCCGATGAATGCTCAGGGCTGCAAAAGCTACTAGTACACCGTCACCACACGTGAAGAAAGCTTGCCTTGAATAAAGTTTTTGTGTAAGTTTTAAAATTAAACACTCCAATGAAGCACATGCATGTAGCCAAGCTGCACGATTCACATAGTTAATGTGAGTAACGTACAAAACCTCGTTTTACTAAAGGTTTTCAAAACATGAAATCCAACCGTGAGGAAAGTTTAAAGTCATTTAGCGAATCTGCCGAGACTAGACTGCAGGATATGACAAAGCTGGACAGGTCGCTCATAAGGGGCAGTGCCAATGAGCTGGTAGAATCTGGCGCAAGTAATTGACAAATATACAATATGAGAAAATTAGATCACTTAGTAACGGACGTTTCGACATTTTATCATTTTCGAATGAATGAGAGGACTTAACTGTATAAAGACTGACGTTTTAACATCAGATCATTTCGGATGGAAAAACTACATAGAATTATAGGATAAGGCAATTTTCATTTTATAATCAGTCTCGATAATAACATTCGACTTGACCGTGTTTGTACGTAGTACATTTAGCTGCAGTGTACATAAACGTACCGATGTATCCCTATCACATAGTAACTTACAAAATCAACTATTCGAAAAAATTTGCAAATACCTGTCGTATGTTAAGATGGCCATTACTATCATAAGACGATAAAACTGCTCTGGAGTTACCGACATTCGTAACAAAAAGCTTGTCGTTATAAATAAGTGCAACTACTGCAGTACTGCCACACGCGATCTCTTGTTCAATTGCTCGAAGTCTGTTTACTTTTAAAGGAAACTGTTGAATTGCATCGTATTCGTTCATATCCTAAATAATAAAATAGATTCTATTGAACCTGCGACGGCGTATCTATGAAGATTTAAGGACATATTGTAATCATTTAAATAAGAGTTAAATTCGACGAGAAGATAAAACTTTTGGTTGATACGCTAAAAAATTAGGTCACTATATTCGGTGGACAGATGAAAGATTCGTGCAATCGCCCCTGAAATAGGCCATACTCTTAAGTTATGAATTTTCAGTAGTCCTTTTTTATAGTGGAACGAAATACTTCCTCATGACAAAGATGCAACTCTACATTTAGTTGTGGAAGTATCAATATTTTATATTTATAATAAGTTTTTTTTTACAACCAATTGACTTTATTGTAATTTACATTGTCATTAGTACTATTATCGATCTGAAGCACCACATTTTAAATGCAGCTTGCGCACAAGATTGGGGATTGAGTTCGAATTAGGAATGACAGCGAATATAAATGAAGTCAAGACGAAAATGATTGAGTGCAAGCGAAACAATTGGTAAAAAAATTATACTCACAGCAATTTCTTCCTGAATCAAAGTCTTTTCCACAAGTTTGTCTCCGATCGAGTCAAAAAATCCTTTCTCCACCTCAATGATGGCTTGCTTGAGGACTTCCTTAACCTCGTCATCGCTCATATTATCTAATCATTTTTGAAGTATAAGAAAATTCTACAATGTATTTAATTTTTAAGTACAAGTACGAACTTGCAGCCAGGGCCGATGCTGGAACATTTATATACTCAGTTGTGCCCGACTGATTTCTTTAGAAAGCCGACACGACGAAAGCCTTCGAAAGCTGTAGACACACAGCCGAAAGCTTGTTCAATAAATTATTATATCAGTGAAAGTTTGAGTGCACTATGAAGAATGGCATTATTATCAAGATACTTTTAATTCAAAATTGAACTGAGCTACTATAAATTATTTTAACTGGGTCCGCTATTCGCTTTCAGACAAGCACAACTGTAGTTTTATTTTCTTTGTTCTTTCGACAAGATAGAAATTCATTTCTGTGCAGTCTAAAGGCCCGTTTACACGATCCGAATTTCTCCCATCCTAAAAACGGGTCTTTTAAACCCTTATAAAGTGAGCCTCAGACAGTCGTATACGTTCGCCTGGAAAATCGGATGAAAACAAAACTTGCTCCATGTTCATGCGACAAGATAAAAAAGCCAACTAGCCCCAAACTTCTCACACTCCAACTTTGATTTGGCGCCAAAAATAATATTTGAAAAAAACTTGGAAACAAGAACAAAAATACACAAAATATAACGATGAATCTAATGGATAACACAAATAGCTGCTCCCATGACTATAAATATCCAAACGAATTTAAATATCAACAAAATTTTGGACCGTCTTAATACCCATGCAAAAGTCGGAACTCAAACAATCGGATCCGACAAATCAGATCGTGTGAACGAATCATAACAGCTAAAACAGCAACGCGAATTTAAACATGCTTGACAACTGTAATTTCCATACCCATTAGCTGGCCAAGGAGTAATTCAGCAGGAAGCTTTTGAGCTGAAAATTCAGCAGCAGCCTTTCCATTGTATCCATCAAATACACCATACAAATAACAAGCTTTGTCCTCCAAATGAAAATGGAAACTCTGATCTTCAAACTCATGTTCCTCCCGGCGACCACCATCAGCACGGTATCTCTGGTTGGGGGAAAAGCCCACTCCTGAGTCTGAACATATAGGAAGGTAATCTGTCCAGTGCTCTGTTGTTGAATTGTTCTATTGTGTGTGGATTAAAATATGCATCACTTGATAATATAGAATATTTTAGCAGTGTATATCTAACATTAAAATTTTCACCAATCAAGCTTAATATTTAAGAAATAAAGATTTTACTGTTTTTGCACAGGCTTTTGGAGAACTCGAGAGCTGATGAGTGCAATCCTGCAACTGATGCAATCCTGCATCACTCTGTTATCATTTAGAGAAATAGCACTTGGAGAATGAAACTAATCATTACTCCAGATTTTTATAGATCAGTTAACAATATAATTTCACCAATAAATCTATACTCCAATGAAATGTCATCAAAGTAACTTAGCTAACCCAACCATCTAAACCTCTTCTGTTCATTGCCCAAAAGCACAAGATCTCTGTCAAATTTTTTCTTGTTATTAAGTCCTAAATTTTAACAGAAAACTTAAAAGAATTTCTTGACATGGCAATGTTTGAATTAAATGTTTTGCACCCTGGCGTAGATCTGCAAAAATATTTGAAGTGACACTTTAAACTTCTTTCAATTAATAGCACCTACTGTTTTTACAGTCAGTGTAAGGGCAATTCTATGTTTAAATGCACTTGATGTTAATTTTTAAAATTGATTTCAGATGAAACTGCGAACAATCTCTCCAATTTATCACCTTTAAACTATTAATCACCTTAAACTATTACGTTATATAACTGCTGACCTTTGACGTGAATAACAGGGGTCTTTAATGTGAAACAGTAAATATTGCTTACCTTGTCAGATGAGGCCATTTTGTAATCGAATCAATTGCCTCCAGTCATTTTATGTTGTTAAATTAGGGCGTCAAATGCGACAATGACGTCTTCCAAAAAAAACTTTCAGTAACCTAACTTTAATTTTGTTTGAACTCAAGTGCCTTAAAACTATTCAAAACTACCAATTTTGAGATGAAAACACGTCTGCTCCAGAAAGTTGTTGTCTTATTGCGGTGTCTGTTGGCATGAAATTTTCTGGGAAAAAGTGGAAGTCAATCCAACTTTCATCCTGCTTCGTATGTTGAAGCACGTGGTGGGGTGAATAAGATCGTTTAGGCAATTTACGAATTTATAGAAGAGCTGTTTCTCACTGCACAACATTGGTCGTGTGCTTTATATCAAACGCTCGTCCCTCGGTGAAGCATTAGCGGAGAGGATACATTCATTATGGTATGTTGTGTACGTATTCTTGGTATTAATCTCATGCTGAAGTTGTTAAGAATATAATCCTTACATGTTTGTAGATGTAGATCGTCCAGGTAAGTAGAGTCCTGATAAGGGCTGTTGGTGTGGTGCTGACTGACGTTTCGGCAGCCTTAGCGGTAGTCATAGCGGCAGAATCATATTATACATTTCAGTTGTATTCAAACGTAGTTGGTTAATGTTTAAGTCTACATTTACGTTCTTCTCTCCCTATATAATGAGTGAACTAGAGATTTTGTATCACAATATAAGCTTTAAATAAGATTACAATTAGCAGCAATGTTGGTGAGTAAGGGAAATATTGTGACTTTTGGTAAATGAATGGATGGATGGTGGGGAGCAAGGTAGCTCAATAAAGTTTGTTAGCCTATCTGCTATATTTGATATCTTAGTATTTTACCCTGGTTTATTTCATATAATAAAATCTTAATAAAGTTTATAGCCCTATCTGGTAGTTAACTGATATAACATTAATATATTTTTACTTCATTCATCTCATGAAAACATGCTTTTTTGTTTATCAAGCCTAGATAGCCTGCAAAGACATGCATGCAATCAAATCATTCAACCCAGCAATCAGGAATACATGTTTTTGACAAAATTAAGAGAATAGGATGCTGCTTATAGAAATTCGAACAAATTGTTCTAAATTGTCAAATTTTATTCAATTTATACATTTTAGTTTGAATTGAAAATTATTGCACAGAAGCATGTATGAGTATGCTTCCATAGTTCCTTTTTGCATTTACATTTTCAAAACATTAAGTTAAGAGCCTATACTTTCCATTTCTTGTGAGCTTGTATACTTTTGTCTTTGGTCATACATACATTTTCTGTTGTCAAGTCAAGCCTTTATAAGTATTGGCTTTCAATTTTTATTATATCGACTTGCAGTACTGCTTTGTCTCTGTCATCTTGTTCCTTTGTCTTGTGTTTTTCAAGTTCTATGAACAGTATTGTGATCAGGGATATACTGGGCGGGAAGTGACTTCTTAAAATAAATATTAAAGCCCAGGAAAGTGCTTTATTTACATATATATATATATATAAGTTTGAAAATTTGTAATCCAGGCATTGAATATATAAAGATAAACGTTTCTCCGGATTTTTAAATGATTTATTGAGCTTTCTCTATGCTGAGCCTTCATCAGAATGAGGATATTTATTTCACGTGCTTTTAGCTTGGAGACGTTTAGAGCGTCTAATTGGATTAGTGGGTGGATTAATATGATTGGATGGGGTGAAATGCGTTGCCATGGGTTTTGTGTTGTTAATATGGTTGGTGTTAATAATATTAGAGTGTAGTGTTTTAGTTTTGGTGTTGTTTGTAGTTTTTTTGTTCTTTTTCTTTAGTTGTGAGTATATGATGGGTATGTCGATATGTCTGTTTATTGTGTCGTTGTCTTCACTGTACCAAGCTTCTTTAAATTCGCGTGCGTGTTTAGTCTGTGCGCGTCCGAGTACTTTAGTTTCTGTCCAGTCGAATGTGTGGTTGTTTCCGTGGGTATGTTCTGCCGGTAGTGAGTTCGGATCTCGTCGTTTTATGGCGTTTTGTGTTCTGTGAGTCTTGTTTCAATTTTCTTAGATGTTTGTCCTATGTATTGTTTTGAACAGTCTTTACATGGTATCATGTAGATCGCGTCAGTTGTATCATGAATTGTTGTTTTGTCTTTATGTTTGGTGAAACATGATTTGAGTTTTTGTAGGTTTGTGGGCGACGTTAATATTATGTGGTCGAAGAAGTCTGGCAGTCATTTCTGATGTTCCGTTTATGTATGGTAATGTGACGATTTTACTGTTTCGTCCGGTTGTTGTTGTTTTGTCGGTTTGTGTTTTGTTTTGTATTTTGTATATAGTTTTGTTTATGAAGTTTCTAGGTAATTGTTTTAATAAATGTGGAGTATAAGTATTGCGTTCTGTTTTTGGCTTCTTCCGTATTACAACGAGTGTTTATCCTGTTGAAAAGTGTTCGAATGCAGCTTATTTTGTGTTGTGTTGGATGATTGCTGTTGAAATCGAGTGGTCTGGTTTTGCGGTATACTTGTGTGTTTAGTGTACCGTCATCTGTTCTCGTTAGTAGGATGTCGAGGAAGGTAAGTTGTTTGTCGTGCTCTTCGTCTTTAGTAAAGGTAATGTTCTTTGTGGTATTGTTTATGGTGTGGAGGATTTGTTCAGTTTGTCTTTCTTGACTATGGCAAAGATGTCGTCGACATATCTTTTCCATAGTCTGATGTTTGTGTTGTTTGTGACTGATTGTGTTTCGAGGTGTTGCATGACAGCTTCTGCGAGGAAGGTGGATAGTGGTGATCCCATTGGTGTGCCTGAAATTTGTCTGTAGTATGTGTTTTGGAAGGTGAATTCAGTGGAGAGGCAAAGGTTGAGTAAGTCTAGGATGTCATTTTTGTCTAGTTGTGTTGTAGCTTGCCAAGTTTTGTCGTTTGTGAGTCGTTCGTTTGTAATTTGTTTGGCAATGTCTAGTGGTATGGATGTGAAGAGTGATGTCACGTCGTAGGATATCATGATTTCGTCTGGTCGTAGTTTAATGTTTTCAATACTGGCGAGGAAAGTGGTGGCATTTCTGATGGTGTGAGGTGAATTTTTGACTAATGGATACAGAATGTTATAAATATATTTTGAAAGTTCATACGTAGGTGATCCTGGAAGCGATACGATAGGTCGAAGTGGGTTGTTTTCTTTATGGATTTTGGTAGTCCGTAGAATTTGGCGGTGGATGCGTCATTGGGTCGGATTCTTCTGTAGTCGTTTTCGTTTTGTTTCTTTTGTCTTTAAATGTTTCAGTTTCTGGTTGATGCGGTTGGTGGTCGTTTTGCTGGGGTCTGTGTGGAGAAGTTCGTAGGTGGTGGTGTCTTGTAGGAGGGTTTTGGCTTTGTCGATGTATTCTGATCTGTCCATGATAACTGTTATATATATATATATAACAGTTGCCTTTGTCGATGTATTCTGATCTGTCCATGATAATCCAGAAGAATCCGACCCAATGACGCATCCACCGCCAAATTCTACGGACTACCAAAAATCCATAAAGAAAACAACCCACTTCGACCTATCGTATCGCTTCCAGGATCACCTACGTATAATCTTTCAAAGTATCTTTATAACATTCTGTATCCATTGGTCAAAAGTTCACCTCACACCATCAGAAATGCCACCACTTTCCTCGCCAGTATTAAAAACATTAAACTATGACCAGACAAATCATGATATCCTACGACGTGACATCACTCTTCACATCCATACCACTAGACAATGCCAAACAAATTACAAACGAACTACTCACAAACGACAAAAAATTGGCAAGCTACAACACAACTAGACAAAAATGACATCCTGACTTACTCAACCTTTGTCTCTCCACTGAATTCACCTTCCAAACACATACTACAGTAAAATTTCAGGCACATCAATGGGATCACCACTATCCACCTTACTCGCAGAAGCTGTCATGCAACACTTCGAAACACAATCAGTAACAAACAACACAAACATCAGTTTATGGAAAAGATATGTCGACGACATCTTTGACATAGTCAAGAAAGACAAAACTGAACAAATCCTCCACACCATAAACAATACCACAAAGAACATTACCTTTACTAAAGACGAAGAGCACGACAAACAACTTACCTTCCTCGACATCCTACTAACGAGAACAGATGACGGTACACTAAACACACAAGTATACCGCAAAACCACCCACACAGACCAAATACTCGATTTCAACAGCAATCATCCAACACAACACAAAATAAGCTGCATTCGAACACTTTTCAACAGGATAAACACTCGTTGTAATACGGAAGAAGCCAAAAAACAGAACGCAAGTACTTATACTCCACATTTATTAAAAACAATTACCCTAGAAACTTCATAAACAAAACTATATACAAAATACAAAACAAAACACAAACCGACAAAACAACAAAAACCGGACGAAACAGTAAAATCGTCACATTACCATACATAAACGGAACATCAGAAATGACTGCCAGACTTCTTCGACCACATAATATTAACGTCGCCCACAAACCTACACAAAAACTCAAATCATGTTTCACCAAACATAAAGACAAAACAACAATTCATGATACAACTGACGCGATCTACATGATACCATGTAAAGACTGTTCAAAACAATACATAGGACAAACATCTAAGAAAATTGAAACAAGACTCACAGAACACAAAACGCCATAAAACGACGAGATCCGAACTCACTACCGGCAGAACATACCCACGGAAACAACCACATTCGACTGGACAGAAACTAAAGTACTCGGACGCGCACAGACTAAACACGCACGCGAATTTAAAGAAGCTTGGTACAGTGAAGACAACGACACAATAAACAGACATATCGACATACCCATCATATACTCACAACTAAAGAAAAAGGACAAAAAAACTACAAACAACACCAAAACTAAAACATTACACTCTAATATTATTAACACCAACCATATTAACAACACACCAAAACCCATGGCAACGCATTTCACCCCATCCAATCACATTAATCCACCCACTAATCCAATTAGACGCTCTAAACGTCTCCAAGCTAAAAGCACGTGTAAATAAATATCCTCATTCTGATGAAGGCTCGAAGCAACGAGTCGAAAGCTCAATAAAAATCATTTAAAAATCCGGAGAAACGTTTATCTTTTATATATATATATATGTACCATACGTCCTGTGTCCCAAGTGCAGGAGTCACCATTTTACTATGGTGATAGCCGGGAGGGCACATTGTTATACACTTTGTATATATATATATATATATATATCCCTCTATACTTGTAATTTAATACTGTCTGATGATGTCTTGAGAGTCAAGACAAAATATTACGCTTTATAAATATATCTTTTTATACGTTATTTTTGTATTAAATGGCTCTTTTAAAAGCACTTTGCTGGGCTTTAATATTTATATTAAGAATTCTATGAACAGTATTTTTTCTCAGTCTAGCGATGAAGTGAACCCAAAAGCCTATCCACTGGCAGATTCACAGTTGACTGTAACCATTCTGGATCTTGTGCAGCAGGCAACAAACTACAAGCAGCTGAGGAAAGGAGCTAACGAGGGTATGTGTATGTCAATGAAATGGCCTGAAATAGAGAATTGCTCAGTTGCTCTAGAATCAAATTGTATTTATAACAAAATGGAATTGTCTACTAACAAGATAACTGATTATAATTATAAAGTGAAACTTTTTAAAACAAACATATGTGAGTTGAATAAATAGAAGCAGTGTAAAGGAATATTTAACCATTGTAATTTTGAGTCAGAAATAACTAAATCCTATGGCCTCCTTAGTGTTATAACAAAATTTGATATTCGTGTAATAAAATTAATGCCCAACATAAAGCTCTAATCAGAACTTTATGTTGGGCATTAATTTTTATTACACGAATCCGCTATGCAAGTCTCTCGCTAAAATTTGATATGTGTAACATAAAGTACCACAGTATGATAGTAATGCCTGAACAAAATGAATTCATGTACATTATTATGTCATGTAGCAACAAAATGTGTTAATCGTGGTATTGCTGAATTTATTGTCTTGGCTGCTGATACTGAGCCATTGGAAATACTTCTTCATTTACCTTTGCTCTGTGAAGATAAGGTAACTCACATCTTCAAAGATCAGCGGTGCTTTGGTTTTGTAGAAATGAAGTTGACTAATCTAGCTTTATTAGTTTCTTAAAACACTGCCTTGCAAACTGAAAAGGAAGGTTCATTCTAAAGTTCAGGTTTGTTGGCCTTTTCACAACTATCTCTGAGCAAGAGGCAAAAATGCAAGCGTGCTAGAACGTACATGAATGCAAAAATGTGAAGGATTTGCTTATAACATTTAATTACAACCCCCCACCCCCCAAAAAATTATCGTTGAAGGATTGTTGCAGGAAGAAATGGCCGATGTCTTCAATGCGATTTACTTGTGTCAATTTTGGTCTCGACGTTTTTCCCAACTGTAAACTTTTTGATGTACACCTGTGAAACGAAACATTCTTTTCCGCCGACAATTTTAGACATAGAATGAAACGTTCGTCCCCTTTATGAATAACATGTATGATATTTTTATTCCATAGAATATTCCATACGTTTTTGTACGATCCAAGCAAGCACTTGGTAGAGCATGTGGAGTCTCTCGACCTGTCATCGCATCCGCTGTCACTGTCAACGAAGGCTCTCAACTCAAAGCACAAATCCAAACTCTCCAGAATTCCATTGAAAAACTTCTGATTTGAAATCTATTCCGATATATCTTTTATATGTTCTAGTGAAAGCATAGATGTACATATGTAGCTGGAATACACATATAGACTTGATGGCCAACCACTACATTAAACTATTTTTTGAACACTGAGACGGAATTTCTGGTGATGGTTTTTGTGTAACACACGAAATATTTTGTTACTTGGACCTCAGATACGGAAAAAATTCTTATAGTTTTTCTATTTGTCACTAATTAGCGGCGGGCGGAATCCTAGCATTTCTGACAATCTGATTGGCTGTGGAAAGTGAGGGATTTAATCCGCACGAATGATTTCTAAATTCTTTGATCGTCAGTTATAACGGTCGAATTCATCCAGTTTCCTATTACTGTTATATAGATTTTGCAATAAATAATTGTATGATTATAAATAATATGAAATCACGGCGTAGCCAGCCCTTTTATTTGCGTTGTCCTGCTATGTTAATTTTACCGTGTTCACTTACTATAAAAAAAACTAAATGTAGATATATGATCATTCTTTCATATAAAAAAAACAATAGACAATAGATTGGTAAAGAAATGAATTAGACATTCAGATGAATTAGAGATTCAATGAATTAGACAAGAAAGAATATGATATTCTTTCATATGAAAAAAAACAATAGACAATAGATTGGTAAAGAAATGAATTATGCTTATGATCTGAAATTTACATAGCAGAACTAAAACTTGCAGGCTGGCTACGCCAACGAAAAAACTACGCGAGATTATGCCTATCAAGAAAATTGGATAATTTTGTCTACCTACGTAGGGTAAAAGCAGTTGAACTCAAGACAGTTCACGGTCGTATAATCAAATAACCTTCGATAGGTTTGAGTGATAGTTGATCATATACTTAATGATTTCTTGTTCACGAAGCTTGGACAATGTCTTGATCTTGAAGAACGAGTATTTCGTATGTATTGACTAGATATTTTGAACCACCCTTTTGTTTTGTCGGCTATGTTTCGTTGTCTTCGTCCCTAGGACGCACCGATGTCGTTGTAGATGGCGTAGGATCATATAATGAAGGAATGGCAACAGTAGCAGCCTCACAATCATAACCAAGTTTCTTCATATCCCTCGTAATTATATTCCATGTGACTTTGACACTACCCTGTGATCGGACCCGAGTAACTATCAATGAAAACAATTCAAGTATCGAAGAGTTACTTCAAACACTGAAAAGCAAAATGATGCACAGACAAACGAACGATATTACAGCGTTAAAAACAAATAAGGAATAGTTTATTTTTTGGCAACTTCGACTCGTAGGTGAAAGAAACTTTCTATTGGCTTTTACACACAAGTCATAAAAAACGACCACGTGAAATACTAGTTAGCTCAATTTATCAAATTTCTATTTTAATTACGTTTAATAAAATCTACCAACTGTAAAGCACACGCACTGACCGCAATAGCAAAATAGATAAATTGTAGAGTGATACTCAATGAAAATTTTTTCTTCACATAAAGCTGAACGCCGTGGTTAATTTGAAGTATTACGTAGTTTACCTTCTCTTCCATCACTTTGGGCAACAACTTTTGGGTCAACAAACTCGGGTCTTCTACCCAAAAACCAACTGCAAGAAAAGGCAAATCAACGCATGAAGAAAAAGACAGGCATCTACTAGCTATTCCGAAAAGCTATTGGTTCTTATTTTAAAAAAATTAATCGTTTCTCGCCTACCTAGTAAATTTTTGAAGCCTCGACGATGATTCTGGGACAAACATTGCAATTTCCCGAGAATGACTAAAATACGAAGCACATGTCAAATTTAATTTTGTCCAACCTAACCTCAACCCCTAGTAGTGTAACCAGACCGTAGCTAACGATGGTCGTGCTATGTACATTTCAGATCATCAACATTGTTCATTTCTTTAGTAATTTAATGTTTTTTAAAGCGAGTGAACACAGAAAAATTTACATAGCACGACCAAACTTGCAGCCTGGCTACGCCACAGCCAACCCCAGTCCGCGGAAGAATTACATCCACTAAGTGGAAGAAGACAAAGATACGACTTTACAACCTCCTCAGGCAACAGCTATAAGATATTATTGAGATACGAATAAGATCAAATTTACCTTCCAGGAGAAATAGGTACATGAACGGCTCCATAACCTCGGACGACATCGTGTCCGAAAGCGTCCGGACCATAACAACTGACCACAAGTTGAGGCCCTAAATACATAGCAACAATTTTAATTCTTATAACACTTACATTGTTGAAATAAAACAAACATCTTCAAAAAATTAAAAACAAATAGAATTTAAAATCAGTGTGGCACCAGCATGTGGGAGGAGGCAGGAAGGAGGGCGACTGCAGGCAGACTGCCCTCAAATATTTCCCATACTTAAGTTTTTATATGAGTAACTTAAAAATGTCAGTGATGTTAAGCAGTGGGTAAAATAGGTGACAGTTTGGGAACCTCCCCCCCTTCCTAAAAAGCATGAAATGCTGCAGGCGACAATTTCAGGTATACATGGTATATACATAATTACGTGAATCTTACATCCAAAGGGATTTGTGCTCTTGAACGTAATATCCAAGGGAAAGTTGAAAGCAAACACTTGTCGACTGTCGTGACTTTTTTGAGTGATTTGAGAAATGCCCTCTTCTATGCCCTAGAACAAAGATTTAACTGTTAAAACTATACATACAGTTATGTTGGGATAGTCCATTAACACACTGTCTTAGTAAAAAGTTGGTAACAATGAATATATAATAGTCTACTAACTCTTTGTAATCATATCAATATATAATTGAATTTTAGTCCATGTTTATCATGATTTCAGTTCATGTTTATCATTGAAACTGTAAATACTCATTTCAGCAATAGCACCACACATGGGCAATGTTTGTGAAGCACATACCACTATTAAATTGAAAGACTTTAACACACAATAGGAAATTGTATGGACCTACACAACAATGTATTTGTTGAGACTGTATCATGTAAACACTTTTGTTTGGTTTTTGGGCAGTAAAATATTTTTTTGAACCATAGTTGAAATAAATTCATAAACCTCTCTCAGGATTGGGAAAATTTAATAAGCACTATACTAACACTAAAATGAGCATTTATATGAAAATTGTAAGATATTACATACTAGACCAACAGTAAAATACATGAAATGAATAACACTTACTGATGTAACTAGCCAGTCCTGGCCATAGACAAAGTTATATTTGCAATACAGTTCATCAAATTCTGGAAACTAAAAAAATTCAATAAAATCAGAGCAAAAAATGATTTGGATGAAAATGTTTCTATTCATTCCTCATATAACAAGCGCAAGATTGACTTTATGTATATGAACCTGTTGATAAGCCTCCAACATTTTTTATTTAACTAAATAAACTTACAACATCAAGAAAACTTTCCCTCTAAATATGATGAAGTGTTTCTAACAGAATCACTGCTTCACCATTTGTAGTAATTCTATAAGTACAAACCCTCATAGCCATTAATGTTTTATATTAAAGCAAAGTTGTGAATAAGACTCTATAAAATCATTCTGGCCACAAGATTATAAAATATTTGCATATTTTTAAGAACAATCAATCCTGAGTGAAAATCCTATGAAGGATTTTTCAGAGGCTCCTAACATGATCTTATCAAGAATCTTGTATTGAAGATGAAATATTTCTCAACTGTACTATTTTAGTACCTAAATTTCAAAATATCTCCAAAACCACTTTATTATTCACAGTATTTTTCATCAAAATGTATTGATCAGTCCCTATTATTCTGAATTTTTTATTCAATTTCATCTTGTGAACTACACTAGACAACCAAGAACCAGGACAAGGAAATAATTTCAAATAAAACAAAATAAAACAGATTCCGAATATAGACATCTTGTTTTCTTTCACTTTTTCTATTCGGAATCTGTCTTGGAATCTGTCACCAAGTGGCAGAAAAAGATGAGTTTGCCTTTAATACACCATAGGTCTAGAATATTCAACTGAATATTCAAGTAGAATGCTATATGTAGGTAATGCCCACACTAGGATAAAGACAAATTTTAGCTAAAGAACAACAGAAACTATATACGTAGCAATGCGACTAGTTTAATTCATGACTTCAAATTTGGCATGAACCTTACAAGTTTTAACAAGTCCTGCAACAATCTCAACACATGTACATTCAAGTGCCATGTGCGAGCTAGAGGGGAAGCAAATTAAAATTTTACTATTCTTACTGACTGCTGATTTTCGAAAAATTCTCAAACATTTTGTGGTTTCAGTTTCTTTATTTTATACATGTTTCATAGTAATGGTAGTAAAATGTTTTTTTCCCAATTCGACGATAGAGTCTATTGATGTCAGTGTTTGTATTGTATGAATGCATAGAAAATATATAAACCAAATTTATTTTAATGATAAAGAAACAGACAGTAATTGAACGAGTAACAAACGCCCACAGTGTCTAATATACATCGGTGAATCCAAAGTACTTACCCTTGCGATTTCGATTTGACCAGTGGCCATGACAAGAAAAACACTGCTATGTAAACCTGCCATTTTTCAAAGACAATCAACAATGACAATCGAGAACGAATCTCTTCGAAGGCAACAGTGTATATCTACATTTCCATACACAATTTAACAGAAGTGAGCGTATCGTTTCGCCGCACTAAGATATGACAATATTGAGATTTTGAATTAGAACTTGAAAATGAAGAAGCAACTTGACAACGAATAAACAACTTTTCAAATTTAGAAACTAAAAGTCATTGCTCACAATAAAGTAATCTACCTGGTCAGCATACATTCATCTCTCAAAAAAACATGCGCAGACATAACGTCACGATCATTCGAATTTAGAGAAAATTTGCAGTTTTGGACATATTTGCAAACGACGGAATACGTCCCGTGCAAGCTTTTCAATTTCTATACGGATTTTAAAGTGGTGTAGTGCTACATTCGCAGATTTATTGCCAAAAATGATGAATACCGTAAATAGCATTTATTATTATATGGCAACTTAGTTATTAGACAAAATACTAATATAGGTGTTTCTTCATGATTTTTGGATGTTTTTTATATTTTCAGAGTGACGATAATCAAGTAAATCATGGCAAAAAGAAAGAGACATACTGGAACACAAGGGCTTTTTATGTCACGAAATGGTGCTGCTTCCCTCTGTGAGGAGAAACTTCATAATATTTCTTGAAAAAAATGGCAGAAGCTGCGGTAGTTCTTTTTGCAAGCTTTTATCTGTTGTATTTAGATTACCCTTTACATTCACTACATCATTGTCATTTTTGAAAATGGTTGTATTTGAAGATCAAAGAGTGCATCCTGATTTTAAGGATGATGTTGCAAAATATTGGAAAGAATTTGTTAAATTCTCTACTTAAGATTCACAAAGTTTTTTTTAGCTACAAAACAGCGCAGAGAATAATTGTTATTGTAGTTATGGAAAAGTTTTTAAACTTTGTTGTTGAAGAAAATTTCTCCATGTCAAACTCTTCAAATGGTCAGATAATTGTACATAAAGAAAACAGTGTCTTAATCAAAGATTATTTTTCTTTCAGCTGATTTTTCTAGTTTAGAAAAACAATCTTGGTTTTTTGTACAAAGATTTTCTTCTGCATAAAATTTAGTTTCAAGATAAATTTAGTAGTATAGGACATGGGGGTACCAGCGCAAAAAAGGCCCTGTTTTCAAAGGTACGCAAAAAAGGCCCTGTTTTCAAAGCTGCGCAAAAAAGTCCTTGTTTTCAAAGGGGGGGTTAAAAACTCAAGTTTTCAAAGGGGGTAAAAATCTCGAGTTTACAATCTATCGTTTAAAAATTTAGAATCTATATGTTTTTGAAATATATAGGTGCGTTTAAATTTTACAAGCAGTCTTTACAAATAAATGTTAACATAGCATCGTTTCGGAGGAAACTCGGCAGCGCAGATCACAAAGTGATCGAGCAGGGGAATGGAGTTTCCGAGAATCCTCAGGGCTCGGTGGGGAAAATTTTCACGAAGTGAAAATTCGGAGCCCAAAGTGGCATTCGAGAATTCGAAGAATTCGAAGAATAACAGACATTTAACATATGCTCTTTTAAAAAATATGGAATCTATATGTTTTTTAATTTGTCTGTCAAGCGCGTGTTCCTTAGTGCATGTTTTTTAATAATGGTTGTTTAATGTAACCAGCACATGTAAGTCGGCGCATTTTTTATATTATTTGTCTGTCAGGCGCGTGTCTTAGTGCATGTTTTTTAACAATGGTTGTTTAATGTAACCAGCACATGTAAGTCGGCGCATTTTAATAATTTAATGTAAATAATTTAATGTTTTATATAATTTTTGTTAAAAGTGTTTGTTACTAATTGTTTCAGGATTTTGTATTTTTTGTATATCGCTTTTGTCTCAAAATTTTACAAAATGTATATGTGGTAAACCGTTTTGTATTAATTACTTATTACAAACAGTTATGTGATATGTAGTCAAACATGAGGAGCAGGTATGTATGATTTTACTCTAACAGAGGCCCACGCTACATGCTTACTACACATTATAACTGTTTGTTAATATTTAGTTATTTGAATTAATAAGATAATGACCATATGCATAACTTGTACAACCATCATCTAGGATATAACGCTTATCATCAAAACAGCTCAGAGATTTTTTATTAATCTCATAACTACCAAGTTGATGGTTTACACTTCTAATAGTTTTCATTGTATGATGCATTTGTTTCTTTTCAAATAGTGTTTTTTTATAGTCTTCATGTTTATTTCGCTCTTAATAATATTTTTCTTAATTCCTTTAGCTTTTTTATCTCCTTTATTATTATCTTTAATATAACTATACATTTTACTTCTTAAACCTATAAATTCCTTAATTAGTATTCCAGCTGCTTCATCTTTAAATTTACTGATAACTTTTTTATTCTCAATATTATCAGAATTTTCTGAGTAATCAGAATCAGAATTTTCTGAGTAATCACTAAAATCAAATTTATCTTTATTAACCCAAAAATCTTGATAGACATCTTCAGTTTCGATTTCATATGTTAAACTATCTGTGTCTGTAAAAAGAAGTTTAGCTTTATAACCATACCGCTTCTTGATATAGTTGTAATGAAAATCATACATCAACGTTTTACTTAGATCTAAAATGCACATACCCACATATGCCGGCCTGTTAAGGGTTAGTGTTTCTTTTATTTTATGCACAGCTACTAAATTTTCATTAAAGATCTTTGAACTTACATAAGTAGGTTTTGAAGCCAATTTTAATAATTTATTTTTATTAGTTACTAGTCTAACATCTACTCTTTTTCTCAAGTTTTCACATGTTTTTCCAAAGACACTATTATTCATTAATTTGAAGAAGTCTTTTACAAAAGAATTTTTTGCATTAGTTCTTTTTTGAGTATTAAGGTCTATGTATTTTTTCAACCATGGAGATTGGTTAAATTTCAATACTCGGTGGACTTTAGTTAACTTTAACCCGAGATCTAAGTATAATTGAAGATTTCTATAATGTAACACATACTTCTCTTTAGTTTTTAAAGTTGGAATCAGTTTGATTACTAATCCTGTTGATATATTATAATTAGAAGCAATTGTCTTACACAGGGCCGGATTAACATTTTGCGGGGCCCATGGCATAATATCAGTGCGGGGCCCTTGCCCCAACCCCTGTGTTTACCAAAATGCAATAAAAAACTGTTTTTTTAACTCAAACAATAAAACCTCGTATTTTGGCCTATTTAAACCAATATGTTGAATATAATTCCAATTTACAATCACGTACGTATACCAAACATTACATACCAATATTAAACAGACTAATATAATAAACACGATAAAAAAAGACGTAAAAGGTTTTACTGTGCAGAAGTGTTAAGCCTTATAAACGTTATGCTTACGGGATTTCATAAGAGCAAAATCATTAATCAGGGATGACATATCAATACTACGCAGAACATCATTTTCAATACTCAGAAGAGCAAGGCTATTTAGTCGTTCCTGTGTCATGGTTGAACGAAGATGATCCTTTATTAGCTTTAATTTCGAGAACGACCGTTCACCAGAACAATTTGATATCATCATACTGAGGTAAATGCGAAACACAATAACAGTGTTTGGAAATACAGTTTCCAGGTTATTTCCCACAAGAAACCTGTATATACGCAGTTCTAGGGAGTCTACGTTCACTTTGATGTCGTCATCATCATCGGATGTTACATCGATGTCATGGTCTTCACTAGGCTGAGCAGAAGATCCAATTCGAGCTGAAGAATAATGAGGTGCAGCTGCATGACTCGCATCTAATGCTCTTTTCACGAATTCTGTGTTGAGAAAGCTAGAAAACTGGAGCAATTCATCACCCAAATTGACTTCGAGGTCAGTGGAAAATGCTTTTTGCAATCTTTGTGCGTTTTCCAACACGTCTTCAGCTGGCAGATCTGTAAGCTTTCGCAGAAAGCCAAACTTTTCAGCAATGTTGATGTAAGCACTCAGTCGTTTTCGCAACTCAGCATCCAGACTATCGATTATTACAAGGAAAGTACCTGTGCGAAACTTGTCGGCTGGAATCTGCAACAAATCAGGTGCTGATCCTGGCTCGTCGTTACGACGATTTCGTTTACGCACGCTTGATCTCTTCTTTATATTGATCACATTCACTGAGCTCCTTTCCTTTGGCTTCAAATTCTTCAAATCTGGTTCGCAGCGAAAGGACAAACTCAATCAGCGATTCATATAATGCAACAGCAGTGTTGAGATCTTGATCAGCTAATTGCAGGATCTGACTTGTTCTCTGAAATCGTTGCAAGATTTGATGCCATAATGCTGCCAGAATTCCAATTTCAAGCTGGGCCATATCAGACGCAAGACTATTGGCTTCATTTTTGGCTTCAGGCTTCTCATCTTGATCATCATGGATCTCGTCTAAAGCAGCATTAATTTCCTCGTATCCTATTACTAGAGCTTTTGTAGCATCTGCACGTGCTGACCATCGAGTATCAGACATACGTTTAACCGTTGGAAGTCTCTTGCTTGAAAGTTGGTCGGTTAAAACTTTCCAACGATGCGTTGAAGCAGCAAAGAAAGAGTACAATCGTTGGAGGAAGTTGAAGAATCTTGATGCTTCTTGACAACAACTGGCAGATGATTGTCCAACAAGATTAAGGGAATGTGCAACGCAGGGTATGTACTGTGCTAGGCTACAATGTTGCTGAATAATGGCCTGCATACCATTATATTTCCCACTCATATTGCTTGCATTGTCATATGACTGGCCGCGGCAATCCGAAATATTTATATTATTGGTTTTCAAATAATCTAGTAGCCTTTCAGCTAGCAATTTTCCGCTATGTCCACGTATGTTAAGGAAAGATACAAATCGTTCGACAGGACCAGAGGGTAAAACGTATCGAAGAATGCATGTCAGTTGATCAACGTGGGAAATATCTGGGGTAGAGTCTACACAGACGGAGAAATACTTTGCAGCTTTAACTTCTGTAAAATCTGCTCGCGAACTCGAGTTGCCATCAGTTGGATGAATTCCTCGCAAATGGTCTTTGAGAGATAGGATGTGTGACCCTTTCCTTATTTGCATTACGGTTGATGTGTTGCGCTAGAAATGGATCGAACATCGATATAAGTTCTAATGTTCCCAGGTAGTTACCGTTTTTTGGCGATCCAACGATCTCATCAGTGCCGCGAAATGGTAAACTTCGCTCGGAAAGGTAACGG